TTGTCCAATCGTTTCTAGACACAAGTGTCGGCGCATATCAAGTAACGCTTCAACGTGTTAACGTTCAGGTCAGAGTTGATATTTTAAATGCCGTGTTGCGGATGGGTACCTCAACTTGAGTAATCGTTACGCAAGAGAGGGCACGAGGATAATTGACGCTCTTAGAATTCAAGAGACCTCTCTTGTGTTTAAGTGAAAGCTCGACTTCCCCACTCTGCCAGATGCATTGTTTCTCAGCTTCCAGATCTCTCTTTCTGCTGCAGTTCTTCAGGATTTAAAAAAATAAAATAACATCATTTGGACATTCAAGTTCACGCACAAAGGGGGGGGGGGGGGGGGGGCAACGACTGTAGTGATATTCAAATATGATCAAACAATGTGTATCTACTTCACAAATGCAGACTAACCATCAACCTAGCAAGCTTTGCAATCAGATACCATGTTGTCAGTCATAATAATTGGCACCTTCAGTTGTAAATCACAATGAATACCGTCACTACCTAAGGTCAAAATGAATGAATGCTTCGGTGGACCCGAGGTAATTGTGTTTTTTGTGCTCTCTGCAAGGGGCCACTCGATCGCTTCAAGGTCGCCAAGCCTTGTGATATTTTTGAGCAGAGGATGAGGACATTCAATGCACAGTTCAATTGGTTCTCACAGGTACGCGTTTAAATGGTTATTGAGATGGCTTCTTCGACGAGCAGGCTCAGTGGTTGTGTGGATCGCGTTGAAAGATTTTTACAACCGTGTAGTTGCGTATAAATAAAAAAAATTGACAGAGATTTGAGTCTGTGTGGTCTGCTTCGAGTAGTCGTTGATGGCAACGTGAGCGTAGTATTACATGTTTTAATTTTATAAGGTAGTGTTCGCTCTTCATGAGAATGGTGGCAACGTATTTTCGGCCTTTGTTTCCGCAGGACTCTCAACGCAGTCCTCAGCGTTTTATTTTTGCCTGTGTTGCTCAGGAGTTGTGGTCGAGAAGTTGATTTGATAGCAAACGAGGTGTTGATTTTTTTCACCAATGGAATGCTTGGAACTCAATATCATCCAGATGAGATCAGCTCCATGAACAGGTTTGTATCCCGCACGTCACAGCCTGCCACACAGTCACACAGGCACACAGCAGCTCGATGACTCATAGCTACACACACCCAAATACCATATGACCAATATAGTACTGGGCAAAGACAGCTCCAGATGTATCATTGAACACTATTTCTATGCTGATAACACCCATATGTAAATCTCCATTGACTCCATGTACCCATGTTCACTGTCCACTCTCATATCCTGCATAGTTCTATCTGGTCAGACCCCTTTTGGAGGAGCCAGGTATTTGAAACTTCCAACTCGGAGAGCCTCAAATAATAACAGGCAATTGCTATGGCTGGCCATGTGGAATTTCTGAAAGATTGTTGGGGAAGAGAGGCTGTCATTCCCCTTTTGAGAGCTCAAATAATACTGCTTGCATATTTGTGGAATAGAGCTGGACTGGTTCTGGCTCCAGTCACCATTAGGTCTGAACAATGCTCGAAATGGGACAGGCCAACATCAAACACTCGGGGAGTGGCTTTTGTTACGAACAAAATAATGGTGGGAACCTGGGAGCATGGCAGTCGGGGGGTGTGGGAGGCTGCGAGTCCCAGGCCATTGTGGCCTCGCTTTCTCATCAACAGGAGGCAGGACATGAGAGTATGGATGGTCACGGTGTTCATCTTCAGTGGTGGTGGGGGGGGGGGGGCACCAAAGATGAATATTTATGGAAGAACGCAGGTAAGGCTAATTCATTATATGCCTTCCATGACTGGTCCCAAGTGTTGGCTAAGGTGGTCACTCAGTTGCACCTTATTAGGTTATTTTAATGCTCAAGTGGGTCACGAGGCTAGCCTCTCGGTGGAGCAACACGTGGAGTGAAAGGCAAGGCAGATGTCACGCAGTGTTACGCAGCCGATAAAACAGATAATCTCGCATGACTAATTCGGAGCGGGGCCAAACCAGAGTTGACCATTAGCACATTGCCCACCACCCCCTCCATATCCACCCCATAACTCACGGAGGGTTGAGGGGGTAGAATAGTTGATGACGAGTACCCAGGGAGGCTGGGTACTCTGTTAAGACCCCACCTCTTTGGGGCAAGTTCCACGTTCAGCAGAGTGGACAGCAATTACCATGTTTTACTGTCAGTATACATAACATCATTGACCAGCAGGAAACGAGGCCATTACCACATCCAGGCATCAATCAACTTCCCAATGTATCCATAACAGATGGACATTTCAGTGGTACAGCCATAAAAGACTTTCATAAACAATGTCGCCAAAAATTGTTAAATCATGTACGAGCCAGAGGATATATTATTTTGGACCCTATGGTGCACAAGATTTACAACCACAGCTCTACCTGGGCCTGTCCATCATCAGGAAGGTCCTTGACGATCACGAGCAGTGGGTCAAACATACGGGATGAAAACCCCAAAGCCCCGGCCCTTTGTGGTATCATAGGCCTTGACCAAGTCAACAAAGCATTGATGTGAGTCCAGTTGAAATTCTCTACATCTCCAATATCGCACATGGATAGAAAATTTGGCATCTGGCCTCCTACCACCAAGCCCTTCGACGATACATGTGTGTCCTCAAAGTTCACCTAGCTTCGCACAAACGCCGTGGCGATTGCCACTTCGTGGAAAAGGGCAATTATTGCGTATATACAGAGTATGTGTGCGCGTGCACGTGTATTGTTACGTGTGCGCACGTGTATGTTAAAATGGGGAGTCGATTCCTGGCCGTGGCTTCTCAGTGGCAAGTGAGAGCTGAACCGGTTCCCAGCCTCCCCCTTTTGGTCGACTCAAGCGCCTGATGCTTTTGTGCAAACAAGCACTTGCCCAAAGTCCACGAAGGCTCGCTCGAGGTGGAGCGGTCATTGTGGCATTATCATATGTGCATCTCTGCACGTGAACTCGTGTGCACGCGCGCGTACCTGTCCGTCTTACCTGCTCTCACGCGTGACCCTGGGAGGAGGCTGGTGCTGCGAGGGCCGGGGTCGGCGGGAGAGCCGGGCCCCGCACAAGAGGGCCCAGGTTCAGCACCCGTATCCGCAGGTCACCCGTGCAATGGTTCGCCATGCGCAGGGTGACGGGCACCTTGGTGCGGATGCGAACCAGGCACTTCACCATGTCGAACGAAAGTGGGGGAGCGAGCGGGTTATTCGAACAGGCTTAGGTGGAGCGGGCAGGCAGGGGGAGAGAGGGATTAGAAGTTATGGATAAGGGGAAATACAACAATGAGGAGACAAAGGAGGGATAAGTAATTGGAACGTTAAAAAAAGGAGAGGAAATAGCGGATACACAGAAAATGCACACAGCGTAGAGAGGAGGAAAAGAGGTAGAAATGTTAGCCGGTGAAATTGGTTAAATGGAGAAATCAAGGACAGTGATGTGACGGTTCAAGAGCAATATAGGGCAAGTGATAGCAAGAGAGAGAGAAGTCGAGGGCAGCATCAGGGGCTGCGTCAAGTGCCCACGCTATATACACGCATGCTATATTTAAATCCACAGCCGATTGGTGTTTGAAGATTTCCTCCACCCCATCTCATAAATCAAGCTTCAAGTGGAAAAAACACGAGGTAGTTTCTTTACTTGCATGTCAACAAAGCAATCTCGGGGAACATCTTTAGCAAGAATATAAATGATCAGGCAGTTCGGAAGACCCACACGGCAAGAGAGAATATGTTGTAAATGTGGTTAATGTGACTGCAGCAGACTTTGTGGCCTGTCTAAATGCAGCCACAAGACTTTAAACATGATAAATTTAGCAGCTTGGTGGAACGCACTCGGATCGGTTTACACACACACGTGGAGTGCGTCTGGCTCACAGCAGTTGCCCAAGCCTGAGTTTTCACCTGTTCTGTCAAATCAGCAAGATGCTTGTGGCTGCCTCTTTACTAACACTGAGAATGACTGACAGATCACCTGAAATAATTTACTGCATTAATCACGATGCCGAAATATTCCCCGTGCATCCAAACACTTAATGAATTGAAGTGGAAAAAAAGGTGCACTCGCTCACATGTACACAAACACAATGGCGAATACGACCCCCACACAAGTGACATCACATCGAACCCTCTAAGACCGAAACAGGAGGATTTCTCCACAACTCTGGCTGTCGCCTGATGATGCTGTTTTTTTGTAATTACTGGCGAAACGTCGTACTCGGTTTGTAAATGTTGTGTGGGTTTACTCTCCAACACACCGGTGTGCTGTACTAGTAACGAATTTGCACGTTTTATTTACGTGACAAACCTTACTAATTGGCAGCGTCGGGTTTCACGACATTTATATTTACGCGACTTCTATTGTGGATGTTGGTCGCGAAAGCCTACGTGTGAAACCGATCCCCATTTAGCCTTACACATCTACAGCCTTTTGTCAGTGCACTGGTGAATGAGGATATCCCGATGCCGTGTGGGTCGAATTTGACCTTTCCTCACCATACTGTCGAGAGCAAGTTAGTGTAGGGCAGCATAGATGTGAGAGCACATACGTAAAATACAACGGGTTGTACTGCACAACCCTCTGATGGTCACCAATGAACCTCTGCAGCCTATTGTCAAGCGTGTTACGTTGTGTGGAACTTGTTTTGCACTGTCCGTAGCCAACTGTGCTCAACGGAGGTGCGGGGGAAAGCATGGTGGTGGCACATCCAAGTTCAGGAAATCTTCAGGCTCAAGATTTTTCTCTCCGCCTGATGACGACCGCTTGTGTTGCGATCGAAACGCTGCGAGTTTATTTTTTTATTTTGTTGCTTTCTATCTACGTGACTTTACCGAAAGAAACAAAGAATATTCAGGCTCAAGCATTCTAAACTTCCCAGATCTGACGAGATGAGCTACATTCTGGGTGATTTAACCTTGCACAATGTGGGAGAAACATTACTTTCAAGAACTGCAATCTGATATATATAAGTAAATGAAAGACAACGTTCATTTGTCATGGTGCACCATTATAATTTCAAACAATTATTATTTTATTGACAAGACAAAGCACACAAACACATTGACCCCAATAGAAAATTAGGTTGGAAACTACTCGTTCCACTGGAATGATTCACACCTTTAGCTTCAAGCCAATCACTGCATCAAGAAACATCCGCAGGTATCACAGAGACAAATTCATCGGTTGTAGCAAACAAGGTCCTTTCAGTTTTATCCCTCCCAATTACACACCAATTGTGCCATTGGTGTCAAATAATGAGATGGGGTCATTTTTATGTCGAACTCTTGCGCAACCAGTGTAATATTCCTTCACGTTAGAGCGTGGCCTCTAGGAGATGACATCACATAACTACTTCCAAGGTACCTGGTATTACAGTATTCGTTGCATGGAAACAAAACTTATTTTTTTTTAAACCGCAGACCTGGAATAAAGCAAATGTTCTTAAAATACTAACTTAATGACGGATATTTTGTGCAATAGTGCCATCAACTTGCTACACTTGTAAACCTGGTGTAATCATTGGGTGGCTGCCTCGTTTGGAACCCAGAATCTAAGCATTGTTGGTTCAGTACTCTGACATTATCTAAGTCCCCTGGCTACTATTACTGTAATCAAAATCACCAGTCAGATTTCTGACTAAAGAGACAACAACCGTTGTATGACACAAGTTCATGGACGTAGTGCCCTGCTGCCTGTTAACAGCTGTTCAAATGTATGTAACACATACACAGTTTCAAACTGGGATAAATTCCATCCAGATGCTGCGAGCTGCCTGTTTTCATTAAACCGACAAGTTTCAGCGTAGTGCAGTAATACCAAGTATACAGAGAAAAATGTTTTGTTTCTGAATTCATATAACTCAGAAAACCCATGAATGCATACCTGATGGACTGCTTTTGTGAATGTCTGTTGGTGCTGGCAGTAGGTAGCTAATCACAAGACACGAGAGGTGCATTAGGCCTCGGCTGGATGAGTTTATAATGAGCGATGCCGCCACCAGGACATCACCAGCCATCGTAGGTCGACGCACACCATCACCCTCTCTTCGGCTTTGGGGGCTGGTACGCGTTGAGGAACTTCAGAGAAAATATTCCAAACAAGAGTGTCTGAAGGCTCCATTTCAGCCTGGTGGAGGACGTGAGTCCCTTGTCGCTAGTGTGGGTGTGCGGAGGTGGCAAAATGTTTCAAGTTCGGGGTCGTTGGAAAGACAAATAATGTGGCATGTTAGTGAATTTGATAGGAAATGACATAACACGATGTTTAACAAAACTTTGCACCATGGTCCGTTACATTTTTAAAAATCCACAAATATAATGGGAAAACCACAGCAGCATCGCCCTCTACTGGCAGATTATACTAATTTGCAAGGTGGTGCTGTGTACAACTGGTAGCGCTGAGTGGCACCTCCTCATATGCATAGCCTTCTCCGGGACTGGCTTGCTCCCACATGAAGCCAAGCATCAAATCATAGAATTGGTCAAACATTCCAATGAATTATAATATCTACATCAGTGGTTCTTAACCTTTACTGATAAATAGGTTTGATTAAACAAAGTAGTCGTACTTTACGTGCCCGTGCTTCATTTGTGTCTTCGATTATTTACCTTCTAAAAAGATCTGGCATGTCTCACACCCCCAGAAAGGGCATCACGCACCTCTGGGGGGGGGGGGAGTGCACCCCAGGTTAAGAACCACTGCTCTACATTAATAATGGTAAGTTCAAGTACAATGACATGCATATTGCCTGATATAGCATATGGATCAGAAGCATGGACATTGACAAGGAAAATAGAACAAAAGCTCAACAGTTTGCAAATAGGCATGAAGAGGTCCATACTGGGAATGAAACCAAGATATACTAAAGTTGAACAAGTGGATTAGAGAACATATGTTAGTTAGACATCATAATTGACTGTTAAGATGCCTTCATTGAGCAGGATACTGATTTCACTTAATGATGATGAACAAAACAAACCCAACTTAGGTGGTACAATTTAACATTCAGAAGGTTGCAAATTAAAGTCACAGTCCAGGGGGTTAACTCAGCCCGTCACCCCCCGGGAGAACAATAAGTAGTGTACCACTTTGTGGGAATTCAGCAATAGTCGTGCCATGGAAAGATAGGCCCACGCCAGGGGAGTGTGGAATTGTGACATGTGGCCAACAATAAGGGTTACAATGACAGTGGAGTGTGCAGTGGCTCTGGCTATACCCAGCCAACTTGTAGGTGTACAGGGCCTCGACTCCGTGGATGATCCAGGTCAGATAATACCTGTGGACCAAAAGAAAACAGAAACAGGAGTCTCCTCGTGACAGCCAGAAGCTCCAGATGAATTTCAGCCAAAGATAATGGAGCTCTGTCATGCAAAATACTTGTCTGGGTGTGAATTTCTGTGCATATTGTGTGTGCACCGTGCACTGCCAACCCACCCAAAGTAGAGTTTGCCGTAATGATTGACAGTCAGGTACTGCAGGAAAGAGCCGAAAAAGCCCAGGCTCTCGTACGGAATCGACTTGGGTGCCAGCACCACTGCCTGCAAGTGGGGGAACCAGGGGGAGGGCGATGAGGTGTGGGTGGTGAGGGAAGGAGACAGGGAAGTATAAGGAGATGAGCGGCACAGAAGAGGGGACACAGAGTTGACATGTATGAATGCTTACTTCTTTATAAGACGTCAAGTTTTAACTGACCCACAGATGACCTTTCGGTCTCCGAATATAACACTGGGTTTACAGTGCCTCCTCAGTGATAAGGAATGGCAAGATAGTCCTGAACTCTACACACACACACCCTCTCATCAGGTGGTAGTATCGTCAGCAGTTCCCCAATGAAAGAAATTAATCAATGGATAAAAATACAGATGCTGGACTTTTTTTCCCTTCTCTGCACATACGCAAGGCTAGGATGATGTAAAAAAATATATTTAAAAAAATGTGAAACACAAAATACAGATATTTATCAAACACAGCCATGTTGGTCATATCTTTCAGGGTTAGTTCATCGACCCCACTACACCTTTGGACCAGTGCCCTATGATCAGGGCCACTGAACGCTTGGGTTACGAAAATCTTGTCGTAAGAATAATGACCCAGCGAGAGAAAGGTGCAAGTCGTCAATGAAGTAAAGGTCACCGGGACCTGAAACAAGATGTTCAAACTCAGATTTTTAATGGGCAAGTGATAAATAAAATATGTTGCGGCCCGAATAAACCACATTATTGCAATGTAATTACAAGAGAATGTATTCTTGTGGCAGAACTCTGGAAGGAATGCACTTTGGCATGTGCTTGAAACAAAGATAATCAGGTGCAAACATGAGTGTTGTTTATGGGTTTGGCTGTCACAAATGAAATTATTACATTTTTAAATGAATTATATTTCCCATTAAACTGTCAAATGAGACATAGAAGCATTGATTGTATATGAGAGATTATGAATCTCAATGGGGTCTCGCTTGTTCATTAACATTTAACATACACATCTGGTATAACTAGATTGGAAACGAATTTATTAAGAAATGCTTTTTTGCATGTTTAGGTTGTTGTTCTTCCCCTGCACCTCCGATTAGCACGGTTGGCTAGAATACGGTCCAAAAAGTCAACATACATACATAACAGTCTCACTGGGGTCTTGTCTAGATAACTTAATATATAATAATACAAGCACATTTCCTGAATAGATATACAATTCCTGTATTCATATATAAAATACATATTCCCAAAGCCTCTTGTCTGCTTAACTACACAAAGACCACTCCATAACCTGTAAAAAGTGTTCTTTTAAAACACATGACGTGTCCAGGGCGCTGTAGGAACTAAATATTTAAAAAGTGAAAAACATATACAGCATTGATTTAAGTTTATTAAAATTACCTTTTAGAAACTGCTGGAGTACACCATGGGGAGTTTAGGGGGAAATTATGTGGAGTTCTGAGATAAATTTTAGTTAAGGTGTGGCAATTCATGCTGGTGTTCTCCGAATATACTGTCATGTGTTTACCATAAAGTACAGTGTAACATTTTCCCCACACATCCGAATAACACATTCCTGCGAAGGGAGCTGGTAGGAACGTTGGGTTGCTCGGTCAATGGCCAGGGTCAAAGGCGGCGTGGTGTATTCCGCAAATATGCCCGACTGTGACGGCCGGCACAAGCTGGCGTGAGTAGGTTAAACGTTGAGTTTTATAAGGGCACCACGGGGTGACCAGCCCCTCCTCACCCAGCCCCACCCTCCCCACCCAGCCCCTCCCTCGTCACCTAGCCCCTCCCTCCCCACCCAGCCCCTCCCGACCCTCCCCTCTCCACCCAGCCCCACCCCTCCCATTTTTGGATGCACGACGGACGGACACAATAATCCCCTGTGGGCTGGTGTAACCAGGAGGTTCCTACCAGTATTATTTTATGGTGAGAGTAGGTAATCTGTTGGTATCGGTGCTGTTGAAGCTAATTGTGTACGGTGGACAGAGTCATAATGGCTGACAACTTTGCTTTGCCGGTGCGGGGTCAAGTAACTTTGCAGGTTGGTATTGGGGGGAAGGAATTTTTACGTGAATTTTTGGTGGTACCTGGGTTGTCACAGGACATGGTGTTGGGCGCAGATTTATTCTACGCGACTGGTTTTATATGCTAGATGTCTCAAACGGGCGAATTGTGTCACCACTTAGCGGGATGTACCCGTCATTGCATTACGTAGAAACCCCTATTGTTGATGGCTGCCCATATTGATGTTGATCACGTGAGGATGCGGCGTTGGCAGAAAATGACAAGAGAAATGTTGTTGGGGGTGTTAAAGCGGTACCCGGATGTATTTTCGGAGAGGACGGGGTGGACATCCACATTGCATCATACCATCGAACTCTTGGAGAAAGTTCCAATTTCGTCGATGCCATACCCGTATTCTGCTGAAAAAATAGGGTTTTTATGAGGTCTGAGATTTACAGAATGATAGGATTCGTTGGACCAAGCTGCTCCCCCTGGGCCTCACTTGTGGTACTGGCTGCAAAGAAATATTGGGACGTGGATATTGTGTCGACTATCGTGGGATCGACTCGGTCACAATCCCCGATTGTTACCTTTGGCCGCAAATTCCGGACCTGCTGACATCTGTAGGGGGCGCCAAATGGTTCTCTACGCCGGCTTTTGGCAGATCCCCCTGGATGGGAGGAGTCAACGGCACTCGGCTTTCATCACACAAGGGTTGTACCAGCTTTGTGATGCTGTTCGGTCTGCGTAATGCCCCTACACAGGTTCCAACATTTGATGAATGTCCTTCGCGGTTTAGTGGGGACGTGTTGTTGTTATGTGTACATCGATGATATCATATTTCCAAAACTTTTGAGCAGCACATGGAACACTTGCACCTGGTAAGCCAAAGGCTTCGGGCAGCATAGCCTTACCTGTAAATTAGAGAACTGTCACTTCGGGACAGAGCAAGTAGAATATTTGGGGGCACATTCTGGGATTGGGAGCGGTATTATGTCAGGAAGAAGGGCCCAATTCAGGAGTGGCATTTGCCAGTAAATCGGTTAATGCGACTGAGAGACAGCATCACATTAACGAGCTGGAATGCATGGCAATTGTGTAGGCTCTTCAGAAGTTCCGTGGCTACCTGGAGGGGCAGGCTTTTGTGCTGTAGACAGATAACAGGGCTCTCCAATGGTTACACACCATGAAGGACGAGTCTGCTAAGTTGTTGACATCAGCATTGGAGCTACAGAGATATGTTTATGAAGTTGAACACGTTACAGGGTCTCACAACGGGTTTGTGGACTGTTTGTCGCGAGATAAACCTGTATATTTGTCGGTTGAGGTGGACAGCCAAGGTGTGGACACAGGTGATAGTTTAACAAGTAGGCTTTCGCGACCAATATCATCAATAATCCATTAGAGTTTTTTTTGGGTTAGATCGCGTAAATGTGTCGTTAAACCCGCCACCACCCGACACAGCCAATTAGTAAGGTTTGTCACGTAAACAGAACGTGCCAATTCGTTACTAATACATCACATCGGTGTTTTGGAGAGCAAATCCATAACATTTACAATCTGAGTACGACGTTTCGCCAGTAATTACAACTAGCATCATCAGGCGGACTGCCAAATGCATGCCTTTACCTGTGCGCTGACAAGAACAGGTACTGTACTGCTATTTTAGTGCACACAAACGACACGCATAATTTTAACTTAAAACTTTCGTGACTGCAGGAATTCATATTCTTTGGTTCTTTCGGCAAAGTCACGTAGATAGAAAATTATAATAAAAATAAAGTGAACAATAAAAACGAATGTAGACTGTGGTCTGGTTCTTAATCTGAGTGTAGTGGCAGTCTATAATGTAGACTGTAACCTGGTTATTCAGTTTGGTGAGTGTACTGGCAGTTGTATAATGTAGACTGTAGCCTGGTTATTAAGCTGCGTGTACTGGCAGTCTATAATGTAGACTGTAGCCTGGTTATTAAGCTGGGTGAGTGTACTGGCAGTCTAAAACGTAGACTGTAGCCTGGTTATTAAGCTGAGTGAGTGTAATGGCAGTCTATAATGTAGACTGTAGCAATGGTTATTAAGCTGGGTGAGTGTACTGGCAGTCTATAATGTAGACTGTAGCCTGGTTAAGCTGGGTGAGTGTACTGGTAGTATATAATGTAGACTGTAGCCTGGTTATTAAGCTGGGTGAGTGTACTGGCAATCTATAATGTAGACTGTAACCTGGTTATTCCGTTTAGTGAGTGTACTGACAGTCTATAATGTAGACTGTAGCCTGGTTTTTAAGCTTGAGCGGATTGGCAGTCTATAATGTAGACTGTAGCCTGGTTATTAAGCTGAGTGAGTGTACTGGCAGTCTATAATGTAGACTGTAGCAATGGTTATTAAGCTGAGTGAGTGTACTGACAGTCTATAATGTAGACTGTAGCCTGGTTATTAAGCTGAGTGTACTGACAGTCTATAATGTAGACTGTAGCCTGGTTATTAAGCTGAGTGAGTGTACTGACAGTCTATAATGTAGACTGTAGCCTGGTTATTAAGCTGAGTGTACTGACAGTCTATAATGTAGACTGTAGCCTGGTTTTTAAGCTTGAGCGGATTGGCAGTCTATAATGTAGACTGTTTCTTTGGTTCTTTCGGTAAAATAAAAAAATAAAAAGCAAAAACCACGACGTTTCGATCACAACACAAGCGATGCATAACGTTGATTATCATATTATGCATAACCCAACTGGTAATGGATACACATTGTAATTTATATTAATTCATTAATCTCCCCCTTTCCACGTGAAGGGCTCACAAGTGACATCAGCAGATCTATGCTTCTATTTTAAGGAACAAAACAAAAATATTCTCCACAAATCTGTCTGTCTCCAACACAACCGGTGTGCTGTATTAGCAACGAATTGGCACGTTCTGTTTAAGTGACAAACCTTATATTCTTGGTTCTTTCGGTAAAGTCATGTAGAAGGGAAACAATAAAATAATACAAATATTAACAATAAAATTCTCACGACGTTTCGACTGCAACACAAGCAATCATCAGGTGTGAAAACCACAGCAAGAAAATTTACCTTACCACATGAATTGGCTGTCGGGTGGTGGTGGGTTTAACGACACATGGACACTTTACGCGATCTAACCCAAACAACTAAAACCTTCTGTTACGAAGCCTCAAAGGGTTGATCGACCCTGTCCATACTCTTTGGTTCTTTCGGTAAAGTCACGCAGGTGACGAAAACTTCAAATCCAGATCAGTTTCAGTTGAATTTATCAGGATTTACCCTGCGTGCCATTCGGCTCTTGATTTGGGTTCAAACCGCAACAAACAATACAATTACAAGATACACCTAAAATTAATTCTACGCAAATCTAAACATCACATACGTAAACAATAAAATCCTACTGGGGGGTAAAAAAAAGCACGACCCCCGTCCAAGCTCCGTACAAAAAGTGCAACAAAAATAAAACCCCGATAGACCAAAACGCGAGACTCACCGTGTACAACCCGAGCCCCAGGCTGATGGCTGTTACGGCTCCGAGGCCGGTTCTACGGAAATATTCTGGGCCCGGTTGCGGCGCCATGCGGGGTACGCGAGAGACCCGTGAGCGAGGAACGCGGCAGCCGCCGATAGCAAACAAATAACCCAGAGAGAGAGAGTGAGAGGACACTTTGATATAGAAATCGCGAAGGGTGGGTTGAGGACCGCGCGCGGCTTCCGTAGCTGCCCACCCCCTCCCGCGTCGTTCTTACCCGCGCGGCTTCCGTAGAACCCGACCCCGCTCCCGCCCGCCCACCTCCAGGCTCTTCCCACAACGCACCGCGTCTCCCAGAGTATGGCGGCGCTCACGTCTGCGCCCACGTGTGCTTGATTCGGCGTGGTGGGAATTCTAGATTTCGCACTCATCGTGGCCGCGTTGACTCCGCGCGGTGCAGCGCAGCAACGAGAGCGAGCCGGCGTCCTGCCTCCTCCCTCGCGGGGGTCTGAACTCGGTCGTCGGTGAGTGCTGGCCGGGGCCTGAAGGCGGTGTGCGGCCTGTGAAGTGTGCGCTGGAATTCATTGTGGTCATTCGCATTTGTAATCGCGCAGTGAATTTAAGTTGGCATGTGTACGTTTGAGTTTACTTTGGGCGCGCCACCCTGGCGAGACGCGAAAGACTTTCAAGGGGGGTTCGCAGGCTGTGGCATGGATATCGTGCAGAAGATGTTAATGAAGAACTCGTGTCCCCTCCTTGCATTGCGATATATTGCTGTTATGAAAAACGCGTTTCGGCCCGTCCATAACCTCAATTCATCGCCTTTTACTATGCACCTATTAACGTTCATTCATATGGCCATTGGGCTTAACTAATTTTGATTAACACAAATATGTTAAGAGCATTGCTGATTGGTTCTCCAGCGCGCGCATGGAGAACGGTGATTCGAGGGCGGGGGGATAAGCAGAATTCAGGTGTGTGGCACTTTATGTTCTAATTGACTGCAGTACAGCAAGCTGGTTGCCAACTTGTCTGTGTGGACTTAACAAATGCATACGTGGGTGCGATATACTGGTGTTAAACATTTAATCCTAATATCTATTATAAAACAAACGTAATGTGTGGTGAGAGTATGTGTTCATGAAGTGTAATTCGTGTACACAGTACTTTTATATTGAGCTGACATCGAGTTTTCATTTGGATTTAGTGGACGAGCAGTTGTACCCGTTCTTCGCACGGAAATTAATAGTTTAGTCCTAGTTTGAAGTTTCATATTCCCTTATTTCACTGAAACACCCAGAAAAAAATAGATGCTTGCAAGAAAGAAAAAAGCCGAAACAGATCAATTTAACTAAATCGGATGTTTTTCACTCAAGGAAATGCAATCTTAACCCACTTATACGTAAGGTCTATTTTGGCAACTCGAGAAGGGAATGACGTGGCGAGCTGAAAATAGTCGCGTTCATTTAGAAATTGCAGAGAGCGTAAGCTGGGCAAATGTGACGTCAAAGCTCAGCGTTGGAGAGTTTTTGCTGCGGGTTGACGCCACACACTTCATGGTCATCCTCCCCCCCAAAAAAATATATACAAAAGTGTATTTTTATACTTTTTGCATTGTGTACAGTCTGGAAGATACCCACATGCCAAATTTCAAGTTTGCTGCATGTCGGGAAGTATGCTAAAGATTTCAAACAGACACAAATTCACAAATTTCCCTTTTGTATATATAGATTAGTGTGGGTGGAGTGAAATTGGCCTTATTCCCCCACTGGATGAAAATATAAATGTACATACATTATAATTCATTGTCCTTTGTCAATCCACTTATGGATGAATACCTTGTCTGTCATGGGGGTTGTTTGACTATACTTCACGCTGGTCAGTGCGGGTTGTGAAAGGGATCCGGAACCGGTTCACATCTCATTTGCCGTGGCCTGGAATTAAACTCGGGTTGCTCGGTGCATATCAGAGTAAGCAAACCACGGACACACCATTGAACCCCAAAATATGGATTTGTGATTATAAGTCATGAGGTCATTTTTGCATAAAGGTAACGAGTGCATTTATTGTTTTGTGTGTGTTTTAATATGAAGATAGAAAAGGCCACAAAGCAGATCATCATGGAAAAGGAGGATAATAAGAAGCTGCACCGTAAGCGGCAGAGCGGCCCTAAGTTTGACAAGAAGAGGAAGCGCAAGTTTCAGCAGCTCGGTCTCGACGATGATGGTCAGCAGCATGGAGCAGGCGAGGGGGAGTGGACCCGTGGAGCCCAGAGGAAGAAGGCAGAACGAGCGAAGTCTGCGCCGGAGAATGTGGAGGACGCACGGCGACGTAACCCCAAGGCGTTTGCCTTTCACTCGGCCGTGCGCATGGCCAAGCAGTTCCACAGGTGCGTGCGTTAACGTGTGATTTGTGCGTTGTTACCTCTAGCGCTACCGTCAACATCACCCACAAAAGTACGGTCCCTGTGGAAGTAGTAACTGGCAGAAGGGAGATGTATGTCATAGAACAGCATGAGACTCGTGTGCCAAATGATGAACAGTTAATAAACGCGTGTTATCTGGTCATATGGAATAACTGTAATTTTTGGTATATAGATGCAGTGGTACATGCAAGAGAAGTCTTGGTAGTTGTGACAGTCTTAGAATTCTTTAAATGTTTTCATGGTTTTGTCATTTTGTATGGTATATTTACATTGGTGGTCTCCTGTTAGGTGAATAGGTAAATGTTATTTGCTCTCTGGATTCCAGCCAGGAAGTCGCATTTAGGGCTTAACAGTCCCATCAATATTTAGTTGGCAAACTAGAAAAGACCTGGTGTGATCAGTTTCTGGCCCTTAATAGGGCCTCTTTGGCATAAAGATATAGTAATTAAATCTGGATTCGAATGAATGATATCCGTTTAACCCAGATGATGGTAGTAGTTATGTTTAAGGTGACACAAAAACAAGTAACAGGTGGGCTGCTATAGTTGTAAATTATTTTTAAATGAAAGAATACTGAAGACTTACATTGACTGCATACTTGGATCTCATTGTTGAAACATTTTACTTAAGTACCAAATTATGGTTAAATACATGTCACATGCAACTATGGAATTTTAAACGTTATTTTATGTATTATGTTGAACTTCTTTCGTGCCATACATAGCCAACTCTGCATAAAAATGCATTCGCGCATATTCATATTAATCTCTTGCTGCTGTGGCTTCACTTAGGACTCAGGACCTGAAGGCACGCAAACACCACATTCCCCTGGTGGATCGCACGCCCCTCGAGCCCCCGCCTATACTTGTGGCCGTTGTAGGGCCCCCGAAAGTGGGCAAGAGCACGCTGGTGAGCTGCCTCGTGCGCAACTTCACGCGGCAGAAGCTCAGCGAGCCCAAGGGACCCATCACAATTGTGTCTGGTGAGAGTGCACCCTGGCCCGGCATGCCTTAATTCAAAATCAGAATATTTATTTATACTGGAGGAAGTCGATGAGCTATAACAGGGGTCACCAAACTTTTTTCACAGTGGGCCGGATAACTGAAAGAATGACGAGCGCGGGCCGCATAATCATTCTGTTCAATACTTGCAAGCCAGAACGAAAGCTCGGGGAAAAAAGACGAAACACTAAGTTTAGCATTCCATGTTAATCATGGGTGAGTGGCGTGCAATGCACAAAAAACGAAGACAACCAACATATTTATTTACTAAAAAGTTATCAAAGAAGGCGTACGTTAGAAAAAAGATAGTTACATCAGACCTAGTGTGCACATATCCGAATCTCACAAACTAAGCAGCAAAAAAGGTTAGTGAGATTTGTGAAACTGACGTTTGGCTTTCAAGATATCATCAATGTTTGGTTTGGAATTGCTGCATCCAATCAAGCGAATTGCTTTCAAATGTTCATCAGTCAATCTCGTTCGATGTGTTGACTTCACATACTTCATTTTTGAAAATGTTTGCTCACAGACATAAGTTGTTCCAAACACTGATGCCATACCAGCGGCAAATTTCTTCAGTTTCGGAAACTCAACATCAGGTAAGCAGCGGTAAAATTCAACAAGTTTTCCTTCTCTGTGCTTCTCTTTCAACAAGTCATTTGGTTGCAAATCAATGAGCTCCAACTTAGTTCAACTGGCACATCATCAAGGTTACAATCAAACGGATTCTGGAACAGAAGAATGTCACTCTCAATTCTGTCAAGATCTGAAAATCTCTTAAAAAAATTGCTTCTTCAAGTCACGAATAATCTTTTTCGGAAAATCGAGGTTGACATTTTCAGCAATTGTAGCGTAAAACTCTTTGAAACAGTGAAAATGAGAGCATTTTTTTCCTTCCAGTTGTGCTTCAAACAATGACAGCTTTCTCCGAAATCCTTTGATGATTCTGTAGAGATCACAGACGAGGTTATCCTTTTCCTGAAGTTTCAAGTTTAGTTCATTCATGTGGGATGTGATGTCGACCAAAAATGACAACTTTGACAGCCAGGTAGGATCTGACAGCTGTGGATCAGCTCTATCTTTTTCAGTGAGAAAAACATCTATTTCTTTTCGGAGCTTGTAAAAACGAAACAGGACTTTACCGCAGCTGAGCCACCTCACTGCTGTGTGATAAGGCAAGTCACAGAAATCAGAATCCATTTCTTCAAGAAAAGCCTGGAACTGACGGTGATTGAGTGCATGTCCCCGAATGAAGTTCACAGCAGAAACGACTGGTTTCAGTACACAAGAAATATCTAAGTCTTTCCCACAGAGTGCTTGCTGATGTATGATGCATTGTATGAACAGAGTGCCCGGAATTTGCAAATCTTCCAACTGAGTCCTGATCTGCCCCACCAGACCTTTACTCCAGCCATGTTTTTTCCTCCATCAACTGTAACACCTCGAAGCTGATTCCACTGAAGGTTATAGTCTTGCAAAGTTTTTTGCACTTCCATGAAAATGTCTTTGCCAGTTGTTGGCATGCTGCCAACTCTTCCGTTATCTGAAAGGCCAAATTGACACCACGAATGAACACGAGAAGTTGTGACGTACTCGAGAGATCAGTAGATTCATCCAGTGCCAGAAAATACCACAACAAGTTCCTAGCTTTCTCGCGTATCTGTAGCACTATGTTCTCTCCAAGTTCTTCTGTTCTCCGCACAACTGAACTTGCCGAAAGGCTGATACTTCCAAACAAATCGGCTTTCTTAGGACACAAGTAATTTGCTGCTTCCATCGTACACTCTTTGATGAAGTTGCCATCAGTAAACGGTTTTCCTCGTTCTGCCATCTTATGCACTATTTTGTAACTTGTACGAGTGACAGATTCATTTTCAGCAAACTTTCTCGTGAAGAGATTTCTTTGAGTTTCTAAACCACGTTTCATGGACTCATTTCTCAGAGCGTAACTTTCCAGAAAACTTTGAATATGTTGATAGATGTTTTCTTTCATAGTGACGCTGAAGATTGTACTCTTTCAAAATGGCAACACTTTCGCTGCATATTACGCAACTAGCTTTCTGGTCCTTTGTTTCAACAAAGAAGTACTTTACTCCCCATTCTTCATTGAAAACGCGACACTCGGCGTCCACTTTTCTTTTCTTAGTAGCCATAATGAAGGGTGAAGAAAATGGGATTTGAAAATGAAAAAGACATTGAATTGTTTCCTATTGAAACACAAGAAAAGCAGAGGATTCAGGGATCACTGGTGAAGCTACGGCTCACCAAAGGTACATATAAAGTTTATAGGTACCTTTGGTAATAGAATATATCACATAAGGTTTACAAAATATATAAATAGGGCGGACCTAAATAAACAGCTCGATTAACACCTTGACCGGGGAATTTTCCTGAGCTGGGGATAATATTTTCGTAATAACACGAGGCTTCTATGGCATTGTTATGCTATGTTTGTTACTTTATGACCTCTAATCACACTTGTAGTTCACTTACCTATCACTGTCAAACAAAGAAATCCTTGTTACATACTTATAAAATGGATGACGGGCAAAAAGAAGTAAATATTTCTGGAGCGTCGGACCTGTGCTGATAGCCGGAAAATCTGGGGGCGGGAAAGATGCGTGTTTGTGTGTGTTGCCATGGAAACCATGGTAACGTCAGAGTGTAGGCAGAGCTATCACGGGCCGGGGAAGGACTTGGGATGGCGTGAAATAAGCAAACATTACAATAAACAAGAAAATCTAGATACAATAATTTACAATTGAAAATAGTAAAAAATCTAGAATTGAAAATAGTAAATTTAAGGCACATAGCAGTCAGGAGGTCTCCGTACGCGTGAAGATCTCCTAGTATTCTAAACATATTTAAATGTAAATTGTATCACAACGTCTCGTGTTCCATACGTTTTATCAACCAAATTCAAGTACCGTCGGCGGGCCTGATGGACTGACGTCGCGGGCCGGATCCGACCCGCGGGCCGTAGTTTGGTGACCCCTGCAGCTATAATAAAGCTCTTTTTCGTAGATGTCCAGTAGGAGTCGGTCAGAACGTTAGAACAACAAACAATACAAAAACACGATAGGAGTGCAAAGTATAGGAAAGGTAAACAAATCGCTTAAAAATATATATCAATAAAACAAAAAAATGTTTTACCAGGTAAAACCCACTGAGCTATTAGCTTATTTTTCGGAAGTGACCGGGCCACAAATGATAGCTCAACAAAGTAGCTTATCATGTGGAAATGTATACCGTCTTGGAAATGTACGCGTCTTGTGAGTTGATAAGGACAGTGCAATCTGGAGGTGGTCAGGAGGCTCGGAAGATGAATAAATAAATAATACCACCATGTTGGAGCAATGAACTGCCTCTGCTTTGATCCTGTGATTAAATCGGGTCCTCAAGTGGACTGAGTTGATGGTCACAGCCCAGTCAGCCAATGACCGCGCACACACAAAAACACGTTTATAAATTGTTTTATTTAATTCGACATGTAACTTTTGAGACGTAAGCTATCTGTTGGTTTATCATGTTGTGAACTCTACTATAGCAGCGTATGTGCAGTGCCCTAGGATAAATAAGACTGGAATGGATCTATGAGCTACTGCATTCTTGTAAAGTTACAAATGGAAAATTTATTTTCATGACATTAGGCTCATAGCACAATTGAAATTTAACTGGGAAGATTACAAGATACACTACATTATGTCAATTTTTTCCCACGTGGATATGAATAAAGGAGTTAATAATATTGGTGCATGGTTGAGTGATTGAACAATGCACGATTGTCCCTGAACAGGCAAGAAACGGCGGTTGACAATCATGGAATGTGGCAATGACATCAATTCCATGATCGACATTGCTAAAGTGGCTGACCTGGTGAGTGCCCAATTTTTCCCGAGATTACAGTCATCATTACAAATGCTCTCCTCTCTGCCTCGTACTCCGTGCCCCACCTTGACACCCGCCAACACCCCTCCTTGGCTCTGCCGCATTCCTTTAATCCTTTGGCCTCTTTCGCCATTGGTGCATGATTTTTTTTTCATTCAATTATATCTCATAGCAATGATCTCTCTACTTCTTGCTGTCCAATGCCGCATCCATCAACTGAGATCGCTTCTATCTTTTACAAGTTTGATTCTTTTTTAATGGTCAGATAATGGTTTTCCTCTATCCCTTGCAACCTTTGAGTAATCTCTCCATTACTATCATTTGCAGCCTGTCATTCATCCTGGTCACATGTCCTTCATATTAACGTGTCACATGCGTGACACATAAATATCGCTGATGTGTGGTTGTCGTTCATTTTCTCTTAAGGTTCTGCTTCTAATCGACGCGAGCTTTGGCTTCGAGATGGAGACATTTGAGTTCCTCAACATCTGCCAGGTGCACGGCTTCCCGCGCCTCATGGGCGTGCTCACGCACCTGGACGCCTTCCGCAACTCCAAGCAGTTGCAGAAGACCAAGAAGAAGCTGAAGCACCGCTTCTGGACCGAGATCTACCAGGTGCTGGTGTTAATAAAATAACAGCACCGGGGAGACGAATGTAGCCACATGTTTTAACTGTCCACAGCCATCCCCATCCAATTGTTTGTATGCATGTTGAACTTCTTTCACGCAGTACGTAGCTAACCTTGCTATTCGGAGGTGCGAGGGAAGGGCCACATCCTTTTGTGTGTACCGTACTTGCCCTAGGCGCTGGCTAAATATCACTTGCTCCTGCAGTGTATTACGGTCATCTTATTGTGTTTGTTGTGTTTGCGCTAAAACCTACAGGGGGCCAAGCTGTTTTACCTGTCGGGCATGGTGAACGGAGAGTACCAGAAGCAGGAGATTCACAACCTCGGCCGCTTCATCTCTGTCATGAAGTTTCGGCCCCTCACCTGGCAGACGACGCACCCCTACATGCTCGCCGACAGGCAGGCACACGCAAACACGCACGCACGCACGCGGTCACACACGTATAACGCATGCACACACATGTATGCGTGCACAGATGCATGTATACACGAATAACACAAGATCCCCCTTTGTAACCAAAGCAGAATTTTGGGGCAAGTGCTGTACGTGAGCGCCTAATGAGGGCCGGCATGGTACACGATAGGGTGGGTGTCCAGTACCATGCCTCATCGCCTTTTGTCTCTCCAGTGGCAATGTTTACACATCTTCTTTGGTTCTTTCGGTAAAGTCACGTAGAATGAGAATAAAATAATAAATTGATAAAATAAAATAACACAATAATATTCTCACGACGTTTCGGCCACAACACAAGCGGCCTTCATCAGGTGAAGGGGGGCGAGACTGTCTGGTAGGACAGCGCTGGAGTGAGAGAGCCACGTTCAGATCACGGCTTTTAAGCTGTGTGAGAGGAACAAAGAGCCTTAGAGTCGCGGCATCTCTTCAGAAAGGTGAGAGACTCGATTAGTTGAGCCTTCTTATCCCGAAGTCTGTTGAATGATCTTAAGGATGTGTGGAACCGCCTCTACGGGGAGGGATTCCACACATCCTTAAGATCATTCAACAGACTTCGGGATAAGAAGGCTCAACTAATCGAGTCTCTCACCTTTCTGAAGAGATGCCGCGACTCTAAGGCTCTTTGTTCCTCTCACACAGCTTAAAAGCCGTGATCTGAACGTGGCTCTCTCACTCCAGCGCTGTCCTACCAGACAGTCTCGCCCCCCTTCACCTGATGAAGGCCGCTTGTGTTGTGGCCGAAACGTCGTGAGAATATTATTGTGTTATTTTATTTTATCAATTTATTATTTTATTCTCATTCTACGTGACTTTACCGAAAGAACCAAAGAAGATGAATCATTGCAGTCACGAAAGCTTTAAATCGAAAAATGTTTACACACCCCACCAGGTACTCGTTTGAGTCGATCTGGCCACAAATCGAACCCAGGTCGCATGGTTTGCAGCGCCGAGCTCTTAACCACCACGCCACCACTCCCCCCATATATATAATGCAGATGTATACACACACCTACATGCACACCCACATGATAGGTTAAGTGATAGTAATTCTACAACTTGACAAGGTTTTTCACACAAGCTAAAGAATAGCTGTGTGCTGTTATATATAAGTATTATATTACTAGCCTTTTGTCCGTCCAAGGACGGGTGTATTGCGGTAAATCTGAAACTTGCAAGCGAAAAGCAGCCCGCGACGTGATATTGCATCAATGCGTGTGCAATTTCGTGAGGGCGCGGTGACACAGACCTATTTCATTTTAAGGTTATAATCTCGTGTTCATCATGACGTCCTTTTTACTTTGATGTCTCAATAGCGTTACGGAGATCACGTGACGTGAGGGTTCTGCCTTTGTAGTGAGGGTTGTCAGTTGACGCCGAGGAGGGGGGAGGAGGCGCCTCGGCCCCCTTGTGGAGTGATGTCAGCCGCTAATTATTATTAATGGGGGGCGGGGGGGGTGTGTCCATTTGGAGGACGTCACCTTATAATTATTGTTATTGAGGGGAGGCTGTTCAATGTGGAGTGATGTCACCTGCTCATGGTTATTAATGAGGGGGGGTCCATGTGGAGGATGTAACCTGTTCATGATTATTAATTAGGGGGGCTGGTCGACGTGGAGTGACGTCACGAGCGTTGCACACATTCTTGGCTCATTATAGTCGGTAATAATAATGGGGGGGGGGTGTCCATTTGGAGGACGTCACCTGCTCATAAATATTAATGAGGGGGGCTGATCGATGTGGAGTGACGTCATGAGCGTTAAGGACAGACATTCCTGGGTGATTATAGTAGGTATACCAAGGGAATAGTGAGCACTGAGTTTGTTCTGAGAAAACAAGCAGGTGTTTATAAATGTCCAAGTAATATTTACCAGTCACAGTAACGTTTCTCCGCAAACCTACTAAGTGCGTGCGTGCGCTTGCGTCCCATCAGAATTGAGGACCTGACGAACCCGGAGGAGGTCCGGTTGAACCCCAAGTGCGACCGCCTGGTGTCGCTCTATGGGTACCTGCACGGGACTCACCTCAAGAGCCGCTCGCAGGTGCACATCCCAGGTGATTTCCCGACAGTCCCTTTACCGGTTGCCCACTCCAGTCGTAGCATCGAGCGAGTACCTGACCCGATGAGTGTCGGACGAAGGCGGGGGCCCGGGCGCGCGTTACGCTGGCACCTCCCCTCTTCGCGTGCCGCGCGGGCACACAATGAGGGCCACCGTGGGGCACCGCGGTGGCGAGATGTTTACTACCTCGCCTGGTATGCAGGAGGTTGTGGGTTCGATCTCAACCCTAATGCCCGTTTATTTGAATTTTGCATGCTTCCCCAGTGGTCGTGTGGACTTTTTTCCATGTGATAAGCCACTTCATTGAGCTATCATATGTGGCCAGGTCGATTCTGAAAAAGAGCTGAATAGCTTCGTGGACTTTACCTGGTAAAATAAAACATGTGATAGGCGCTCGCTGATGTATGTGCACAAAGACGGACCAATATCCCCCATATAACCTTAACAGACTGTTGGGGCAAGTGCCGTTAGCAAGCACCTATGAAGGCCGGCACGGCACACAAATGGGGTGGGTGGTCAATATGCTCGGCCACCTTGGTCTTCCAAGTGGTGATGTTTACACACCGCACCAGGTACACATTTTAGGCTGAGTCGACCTTGGGGGAGGCCCACTACCGGTTCGGATAATCGTCACTGGTGTTGGCAGTGAGAATCGAACCCGGGTCGCCAGGTTCACAGCGCAGCGCGCTAACCGCTACACTACCGCTCCCCACACGCACGCACACACACACAGGCGCAGGCGACTTCTTCTTGCGCGACGTGAGCTTCCTGCCGGACCCGTGTCCCCTGCCCGAGCGCCGCACCAAGCGCACGCTCGACCACCGAGACCGCCTCATCTACGCGCCCTTCTCCGGGGTCGGAGGCATCGTCTACGACAAAGACGCTGTCTACATCGACCTCGGCGGCAGCCACTCGCACAAGCACGGGCAGGTACGCCCGCACGCACGCGGACACGCGGGTGTGCGGGCGAGTTCACTCGCGCGCGTCGAGAACAAGTCGCTTTCGTAGATTTTGTTCAGAAAATGTTGTGTTTTTTCCGTGTTGTGCTACGTAACAGTTTTATTTTAAATTTCGCCTGCTTTCCCAACAAAAGCGCTATTCAGATATATTATCACGAGTTTACAGCTTGGGATATTTGATCGATTTCTTATTGAGTGCTTATTCACATGAGAGCATTCAGGATTCTATTGTAATTACATTGAAACATTTTAGGTATTGCCTATCAATATTGTTCCTTGGGTAAAGGATTCAAAGGTTTATCCTTAACTCACTGGCTAAAATGAGACCTTAGGCATAGTCGTAAGAGGAAGCCTCTGATTATGTCATGTGCTTTATGGCTATAACCATTGAATTCACCTTGCCCTTTTTTCCATGTCACTGCCACCCATTTTCACGACCCCTCCTTCACTTTCACGCCCCCTTTTTCTGCTGTCCTCTTTTTCTGCTGCTCCCCAATTCCTAACTCTTCTTTCACTGTGGCCTCCTTTTCCCTGACACCCGCCGTCCCTTGTACCTCCGTCCCTTCCGTTTTTCCTGCAACCTAATTCTCCTTGCCTTGTGCGCTCTCTCCGCCGCCGTCCGTTGCAGGAGGAGCTGGAGGAGACGCAGGGGCCGACCCAGGAGCTCGTGCAGACGCTCATTGCGAACCAGTCCACGCTGGACGTCAAGATGGCAGCCAGCCGCATGGCGCTCTTCAGCCGCTCGGAGCCGATGCAGTCGCTTGACGTGCAGGAGGAGCCGGGCGCAGAGGAGCCACCGTGAGTAGCGCTCATCCTGATGAACCGGGTGGAGCCGATTAATGAACTTATATGCATTGAAGATGATAGAAATGGCAGCTGTGGTGCAGGGAACCATAAGAACACAGCATGTTGGCACTGGATGGATCTGTACGTGCCTGTGGGGGAGCAGTGGTACAGCGGTTAGTGGGCTGTGCTATGAACCCCGTGACCCGTGTTTGGTTCGTGCTCACGGCCAACACCAGTGACGATCTGCTCTCGGGGCCTGCCCTAGATGGACTCGTGAGTCCTTTGAGTGGTGTCTAAACTTCGCCACTCGTGAGACAAAAGGGGGACTGGGCCGGGTGTGGTGCTGTCCACAACCACCACCCTCTTGTCTGATGTTCAGGCCTTCATAGGTACTCTCGCTAACAGCACTTGCCACATAAGTCAGTTCATGCTATTTGGGGGATCTCTGTCTTTTGTCTTTGTGTGTGTAAAGCAGTGTTACTCCATTGGTAGTAAGAATTGTGCGGTGTTCATGGTGAGAAAGAACATTTTTTTCATGTTGGTTTTTAAAACGACCCACCATAGGAACATGGAATTTTCTTTCAATTTCTACTGACCACGAAATTGTGTGATTGATTCAGGCACAATCTAAATAAAAAAACATGACTGCATATAGCAAACATTTACAATGTTAACATTAGGGAAAAAAGTATTTGATCCCCCCGCTGACTCTCCCTCACTCGAGATGGACTCGTCCATCTGAACAAACTGTCAAATCGCTCTCCGTGGTGCTAACGTTAATAAAACCGCCACTTTTTTCAAATTTTCTTGTTGTGGTTTTCACACCTGATGATGATTGCTTGTGTTGCAGTCGAAACGTCGTGAGAATTTTATTGTTTTATATTTTTATTATTTTATTGTTTCCCTTCTACGTGACTTTACCGAAAGAACCAAGAATATGAATCCCTGTAGTCACGAAAGCTTTAAATCAAAATTATGGACACATTTGGCAGAACTAATTATGAACGATACAGCAAACAATCTTATGATTCGTGTATTTAATAACTTTAATACAAATCTAGTATTCCCAGTTCATAGTCGTCGATTGTGATTTGTGCATGGAACCCCATGAACCCAAATAGATGTGACATGTGCCACAAGGGCAACGGAGAAACAATTAATCGAATTGTGACTCCGAATTTGTGACAATTCAATCATTACATCCTACTAAATAAATCTCTCGTGATTTGTCTAGCGCGTATAGCCTTAAGAATCGTCTGTTAAGGTTACGTTGCCAGCCATTTATGAAATGGCCATGGTGTTCAGGTGTTGTTTTTGGATTGTGCAATGTGCTCTCGCGTGTTTATAGCCATCGCAGTTGTCTTGAGGTTTATGTGTTGACAAATTAGATCGCTGCTGTTAAAGACTCAATAACAATTGTAACCATGCTGCAGGTCGGATTCCCCCGTGGAAGAGCGCGTGACGGATCCTGGGACGGGTCGGGTGAGACGCCGGGCTGTGTTCAGTTCTCAAAGTGGTGACGCTGGCGCTGAAGATGATGATGGTGATGATGATGATGACGACAGTGAAGAGCATGACAGTGAAGGAGAAGCGGATGAAAAGGAGGACTCGGGAGATGATGATGACGATGATGGTGATGATGGTGATGATGATGAAGATGAGAAAGAGGAATATATGAAAAGTCCAAAGAAAAAGCCCCTTGGCCGTGTAGGTCCCATGTTGAGTCCGGCGAAAAGGTCGAGGAAAAGTTCAGTCTTGACAAAGGAGGAGACGGCGGCTTCCACAGACGAAGACGTTGAAGAGGAGCCACGGGTGGTGAGCAACAAGAAGAACAAGGAGCAAGGGCAGCCTTCCCTCGATAGAGATGGTGACGACGATGATGATGATGATGAGGCTGTCAATGAAGATGGTAGCAGTGATGATGATATCGATAACGAAGATGAGAGCGATGAGGAAAGTGATGAAGATAAGTCAGGAGGTGAAGTCTCCGATTTTGAATGCCAAAAAAAATCGAATGGACATGTTTCTGAAGGTTTGGGAGACTCCATTGAAGACCGAGATGGTAATGAAAGCAGCGGTGATGAAAGCGATGACGACGAAGATGATGACGATGATGACGGTGATGAAGCAACAAAGATGATTGCCAAGAGTAAACAGGAAAAAAACTCAAAAAGAGCTCCCATGGACTCGGGCAACGCTTCACGTGACCAAAGCAGTAGCGGTGGCGATGATGAGGGTGGTGAAGAAGAAGATGATGATGATGGCAGTGAGGACAGTGATGACAATGCCATCGAGAAGATGTTGAAAAGCGAGGATATGTTTGTGGAAACTGAGGACGCGGACAGGGAAACGGAAGGTATGCATGTTCGCACACACGACGGTCGTGATAATAGCCAACGATTCGTGCAACGAACAATATTATAATGTGCAGGGTGGGCAGGAAAGTTTTTCCCTCTGCTTTACACTTGAGGGTATCGCAGTGGTAGCTCTGTGATATCCGCTTCTATGGGCCATTCTCTTACAGGTTTGCACTGCCCTTGAGAGATTAAAATAGTTGCTTCGTCTCGTGTTACACTGGTGGCACGATTGGGATAAAATTGATCGAAGCAAACAGGTTACCGTTGCCGCATGCTGTGTGTTTGTGCAGGCGCTGTCATGTGGAAGCAGGACCTGGTGAAGAAGGCTGCTGAGGCATTTGTGCGGAGGCGCAGGGCAACAGGGAATCTGCAGAAACTCGTCTACGGGAACGGTATGTATAGTACTGGATGTTAAACTTCTTTCGCACCGTACGTAGCCAACTGTGCTAAATCGGAGGTGCCAGTCGGGAGGACAAGAAACAACACAAAATGCAGTTACAAAGAAAGTCGTTTTCAGTTGAGATTTAAAGTGTGGCTCCAGTGGCTTCCTAATATCGGACGGAAGAGCATTCCAGATGGCCGCAGAAGCGCATCTGAAAGCGCGCGATGCGGTGACCGTCTTTGTTCGATGGCTAGCCAAAATCCGCTGCTGCGAAGACGACCGGAGTTCACTCGACGGTTTAAACGGTGAGCGGGGGGGGGCGGTAGGGACGTCTGCTGTTGTGCCGTGGACAGTCACGATGGTCTTAAGGCACGTGTAAACGAGGTGTCAAGCTGCAGATTCAAAGTTATTCTTAAGATCACGGTGGATGCATTGCATGACGCCTGTGGAAATCGACCTATTTATCGCTTGAGCAAAGTATATGCATATGCTGGCCTACCGCTCGGCGGAGCGGTGGTTCAATGGTTAGCGCACTGCGGTATGAACTGCGCGACCCGCCTCCTGGCTCTGGACAATGTTGGTGACTCATGATGTCTGAATTGCCCATGGGCAAACCACCCTTACAACCAGGAATGGTAAAAAAAAATAACCCCCAAAACTACCCTTCATCTTGCAGAGAATTTACATTAGTGCTGTAAATGAACTTTTTTTATGCACATTATTAGGTGTTGCTCCATTGGCAGAGGCGCTCATGATCAATTAACAAAAACAACTCGAAACATTAATCAATTTGTGCTTCCTTGAAAGGAGATAATTGGTGACACTTTGGGCAATGGCTCTTCATAGAACATGAATGTTATCGAAGGATGTGAGTTTTTAATATATGTTACTATGACATGTAGATTAATAAAACAAATGCAACCTACAAACTGGGCAAAAATAGAAAGTAAAATATAAATGAGATGGTCAAGGCAAGAACAAAAGGAAATGATTGTTGGATGGAGTCGTAGCCCAGCTTTCTGACAATTCATTGATTCACTTGGTGGGGGGTGGGGGTGGGATAATTTCTTGCATAGTGGTCACAAAATCGGGCATTGACGGTGATTTGATGAACGACAGTGACAACTTCCATGTGGATGGTTGCGATTGTGCTTAACAATATTACTCTGATTACAAGTGGTGCTATAGAAGGACGAGGTATGATGCCGATAACGCCCGTGGTGCTTATGAGCATCATTAATGTGACTCCGGGCCTGATTATTGTGACGATCTAAATTAATCGGGTTCGATTCCTGGCCACGGCTAACATGTGCTGGCTCTTTAAAGACTGCATTGTGGCTGTTGAAATAAAAAAAAAATTACTTGTTGTTTTGGTAGCCGACCCCTGACTATGGAAGTCGATTTTACCACTGGCAGGGATCGGGCAACCCCTTATGGCTCCGGAGCGGCGAGCGATTCATTAAGAACTGTTTCGTGACGTTATTTATTGAGGACCGCCGTCTCGTATTCACGTGCGTTGCGGTTCTTGAAATATTGAGTTTTTCTTGACCGATTTCAAAAATAAATGGCTGCTCTCGTTGTTTTGGTTGGCGCCGCCGCCTGGCCGCGATGGTGCCGTCGATGGCTATATCCGGGGGTGACAGCAGTGACGTGCTTGCCCTTCGCACCGACGAATGATGAGGCAGAAGTAGAGGCGGAGGAGGGAGAGGATGGTCGCGGTGACGTGGAGTCCGGCGGGGGCGAGCTGGGAGGGCTGTTCCGCGTGAGCGTGGCGGATCGCACCGAGCGCACGGCACGAGGGCGGCTCGACGACATCGACTCGACGCGGTACCCGCCGGAGAACCTGCAAGACTGGGACCTCGACGAGGTGAGCGGGGGCGGCCCACGGAGGGGTTATGTGTGCGGCCAGGTGTCGGCTCCGGAGTAAGAATCAGAATCTTTATTTAGACGGAAGGAGGAATCCAATGAGCTATGAAGCTCTTTCGCAGATGTCCAGTATGGGCGGGGTCAGCGAGTTCAGGCTGGGTGCCGCACCTCACTTGCCCTGCAACGAGCTGGAATGTACCGGATGTACAGAGTAACAAATCGATCAAATGTATTATAATGGTTTGGTTTTAGCTTGTGTGTATGCCCATGTAGGGGACGGCCCGATGTTCCTCGACACTCAGGTCTGTGCTGTGTTCGATTGTAAGATCAGGTGATTATTATGTTGGTGAGGCCAAAACCCATGGTCGGTGGTAAGTTCAGGTGTGTGTTTATCAGTCATTATTAGGCATGGTAACAATTCGTCACCCAGGGCTTGAGGGAGGTGGCCCAGTGGGGCAGAGCGCTGAGCCCCTGGGTACAAATCCATTCAGTCGCCTGTGATTATACCAAGTTCTCAAATCAAAGTGAGTTGGTGGACTCAGCCCATTCAGCAATAACTTTTCAAAACGGCATCACATTCTAGTTTTGTATTTCACTCCCCAGTGCGTGGGTGTAAAACATTATTTGAAGACACTTCGGAAGAGGTTGTGAGGAATTTGCTTCTGCAGGTCATTCTCTATAGCACACGGGGAGAATGCATTGCTCTGCGAGATTTCCAAGTGCATGCTTTGCCTCGTGACATTCCCCAATAGCAGAATTATAGTGGCAGACAAAAATATTTCATCCGTAAATCGACGCATTGTTTCTTACATGCCCATCAGTAGAAATGCCTCCACAGTAGTAAGGTCAGGTGCAAGCAGAGTTGTCTCCATCGCAGTCAATGGATCCAGACTTTTAAATCCCTGGCTGAAGACCTCACCACCTGTTTAAAGCCACCTCCTCCCTCTAGTTCTCTATCTGGTCTCTAATGGTTTTTTTTTTCCCCCCGGTTCTCATTTTCTTCCTTTTATTTGCACGGCTCTCTCCGAGATCCATTGTTTGAGGGTGCCTTATCAATCTGAATTATTATTGCGTTTCATGTTTATTGTTGAGGCCTAGGTAGGACCGGAGATGTTGATAGGCGTGAAGGCACAGCACGCTCGCTCCACGTTGTGACTGCGAACCCGCACCCTGCGTGCGTGTCCCCTCGCCCCAGATGGTGGAGAGCATCAAGGACTGCTTCGTGACGGGAAAGTGGGAGGCTCACAAGGATGCGAAAACGCTTCTGGAGCAAGACGGTAAGGGGTGCCCGCGTCAAACCTCGTGCCTGATCCACGTGCCTGATCCACGTGCCTGATCCACGTGCCTGATCCACGTGCCTGATCCACGTGCCTGATCCACGTGCCTGATCCACGTGCCTGATCCACGTGCCTGATCCACGTGCCTGATCCACGTGCCTGATCCACGTGCCTGATCCACGCTTGGCGTGCGAGAGGACGGCCACCGTGGGGATGTGGGAGTGGCGACCTCGGCACGTGCAGAAGTGGTCTGTGGACTTTTGTTGCACGATGGCACCGCGAGATGGCAACCGCTTGGAGAGAGAGGCCTTCATCCAGCAGTGGATTGATCACGACTGATGATGATGTTGTGTTTACTGCACTACTTTACAAGTTGTTGGTGCAATTCCACGGGGAAAGTTTGTTTTTTGTATATGCTTCATCAACTTGAGCCAACTTTTTAACTCTGTTTTGTTTTGAAGATGCCCTTTATGGTGACTTTGAGGACCTTGAAGCTGGAACGATTATTCATGGGAAGAAAGATTCAGCTGGCGCTGTAAGTAATTTGCCGTTTATTTAATTGTATTTATTATGCATTGTCTTTAATTAAATTATTGGTCTTGTGGCACTAACAGACAGTAGTTAACTGTGGTTACTTGTTCAGTTTTGGGAATAATAAACCTAAATATACGATTGACGACTTTTATAAATATTTTCATTGCATTTTCGTCAAAAGGACCTCTTTGTGAGAGGTTCTGCGATCGTTTTTCTTCCCCTGAAAGTAATACGCACCACGAAATAGCATACTGTTTTTTTACATGTTATACTTGAAGCCTAATCTCAAATGTTTAAAACTGTAAAGGATTTCTTAAATCTGGACTTTTCTTGTTCGGGCTGGAACTTCGTATATTTGGTTTTTGGGATCACCACGTCATTTATTAACCCTGAGGAAGCAGCCCTAAAGTGCCGTATTTTCTCGCATATAACCCGTGGGGTATACCACTTTTTACAAAAAAACAATACCCTGCAGTGTATATGGAGGTGCAGGCTATCTCAAAAATATTTTACACGTGTGACATGTCATAACTCATTAATTTTTTTCATGGTAGGACTATCCACTATGCAACACTTACCTTTGACTAAGGCACTGCTGAATAAACCACTCGCGCTAAAATTGCACATGTTATCAAGGTTTTAAATTATTCGAATTGTTTGTACAATGAAACGACTGGGCGCACTTTGTTTACCGGCGACGGGAGAGCTGGGAGGATAGAGAGGTGGAGGGGGGGGGCGAGACAACGGCGTTACCGTAGTGCCGCTATTGTCTGCGCAGTGCGCAGTCTACCAGTGCTAAAACTGTACTTATCTACCAGTTATGTTACTTATTTATTGGATATTTACTTTTGTTACTTGTTTACTGTTTTAAGTTCACTCGTTTCCGGTAAGTTTGTTTTCTTTGTGCACGTTATGATTTTAATGTTAACAATTGATAGTGGAATGTATTACAAATGTAAACTTCGTGTTAATATGATGGAATTAAGCTACGGTAACAACGTTATAGATATGAATGCATGCGGGGTATATGGAGGTGTGGGCTATCTGAAATTAGTTTTACACAAAACGCTATTTTTGCGGGGTATATGCATCTGCGGGTTATATGCGGGAAAATACGGTACTCCACACTCCTCTAGTGGTTGGATCTGGAATACCCGTACAGACCATAATGTGTATTTTGCTCAAAAAGGGTGACTTATTATTGAGACCTTTTATGTCACAAGACATCAAATGTCGTGTATTAGGTCATGGACGAGCCTGTAACATGTACAGCAAGGATATATGGCCGCAAGGATATTCTATTCTATTTTTGAACTTGGCAACATGTTCAGGAGCTGAATACTAATGTCAAGCTCTGCCAGTCATGAGAGGGCTTCGGGAAAGTTGATGCAGTTTTGCTATTTCTCAGTTGGAGTGCAAACTCTACAGTGGTTTGCTATATAGGCCATAGTTTTGTTTGCATGGCCACAATGGCACCGACTCATCTTTGATTTTCCATTTATCGAGATGTGCAGGTGCAGTTATGTTGGACTAAACTTAAATCACCCAGAATTAAATGTCTTTGCCGATGACACTCATGCGAGTCTTGGGTAAATCTCAAAACGAAGTCGAACATAATCCTCAAAAAATCCATGGGATTTTTTTTTTGCCCGCGTTCTACTGTATCTAGGTGAGCGTATAGTTAATGGTGGGATGCATTGAGACTCATTGCACGGGAGGCACGCGCGCCATTACATATCGGACGATGGTGACAAATCGTCAACTTTCAATGGGTTCTGCGAGGCAGGAGGGAGCCGAGGCGGGCAGCTCGGACGACGGAGAAGACGGCGCCAACGATGATGACAGCGAGGGCGAGGGCAAGGAGAAGGGGCAGGAGGAGGAGGAGGAGGAGGGCGACCTGCGGGGGAAGCGTTTGGAGAAGAAGCGCAAGCTGAAGGAGATGTTCGACTCGCAGTACGACGAAGGCGGAGAGACGTATTTCGACGACCTTAAGGCGGAAATGGACAAGCAGGCACAGGTGAGGGGGGCCCCTCGCTCGTGGCCGGTGCAAATTAAGTATGGTGTTCTTTATTTGGGAAAACATCACCGTGTTTTCCCCCCCGATTCTTTGTCAGGAGGGATCTCCGATTAGCGCATTTGGCTATGTACGGTGCGAAATAAGTTCAATATACGTGTATACATCTGCATTGGGAGTGGTGGGCCAATTCCATTACTGATTGCGTGTGAGGGGCAGATAAAAAGCTGTGCCACATGGATTTAAATACATCAACGTACTGCCATATTCTGGCCACCTTACAGCCCCGAGTTTCAAACAACATGCAAAAATGTGTAAAAAGCACTGTGCCTTTGTACATATGCAGCAACCATCATTGTGAAGAAGTGCATTGTGGGCCTCTTCTCTTAGTTCACCATAAAAATGAATTTGAGCATCTGTGACCAATTGACTTGAGCACAAATGCAGTTATAGACAGATGTGGACCGGTTTAATCCTCATTAGGTCTTATCAGAACAGTATAGTGGTCCCCATTTGGCTGTCTTGTATGATTAACATACACACTGTTGTAATGTCATTGACCTGGGTTCTGCTCCCAGTTTACCATTAATCAAGGCCTGGGGGAACCTTTCTAGTCCAGCCTGCACCCTCATGAGGCCTACTACTTTGAAACAGCCTGATTTTTTTGATCACTAACGATCTTGGCCATACGCAGGCTCTAGGGAGGAATATTTTCGACCCGACGACACTGTTCTTAATGAAGTGCACTCGGTTATTTCCATTATGCAAGGGGCCTCATGCATTGACGGCAGCGACTCAGGCGTGCGTTCACATGGGGCTCGCCAGCAGTATTCCAAAGGCCTGTTCGGCCCCTCGTACGGGAAGGGTTCCCCTGACTGGGGTAAATGATGGGAGAGGAAGGTCGCGAGTAGACTTTGAGGACACTGATCTTAAACAACTGCTTGCTGTGTCGGTCGGCAGCTGAACAGGGGAGAATTTGAGGACGTGAGCGAGGAGGCACGTGTGCTCTACGAGGGATTCCGCCCTGGCATGTACCTCCGCGTTGAGGTTTCCAGCATGCCCTGTGAGTTCATCGCAAACCTGGACTCCAGATATCCCATCATCCTTGGCGGCCTTGGCGCCGGTGAAGGAAATGTCGGCTTCGTGCAGGTAAACAAAATGTGATTGCGTCAGTGTTCTGGTTCATTATCTCTCTACGATCAAAGTTAATGGCAAGTCGGCGATGTTTTAACCTATGGTAAATGTTGATCCTAATAGCCATGGGACCAAGGCGGTTAATCATTGTAGCTTGGTGTGCGGTGTTTTGTTTCATATGCAGGTTTTTCTCGCTTTAGGCGGGGTTCAGTTTGTGCGATTTTGCGTGCATGTGTCTAACCTATTTCTACCCAAAATTATCTGTTTGCGATTTAAATTCCAACGAGGTAAAGCGGTAAGACGTGGGACAACATTGTGCGTGTCCTGTGTGTGCCACTTGGCATGCAGCTGTCTCGTGCGGTTTCGCTTTGTGCGCCCTTTTTTGAATGCATCTACTACCGCACAAAGCGAGGGGACACCTGCAATGAGGTTTGTTAAAATGAGAACAGATTTGGTTGATTTTGAAACTCCACATGATTGGCTAAATATCCTTCAAAGTGCCACATTAGTCTCGGGGTGAATGCTGACATCAGTTATTTTGGATTATATCAAGAGTGATTTTTTTATCGCAGTTGCGCATCAGCCCCAAAGGCCTATAAATAATGAAGCAGCCAGCAACCTAGTGATTAGAGTGAATTGGAGCATCGATCAATGGGTTCTGTGAAGCAGAGTTCAGTTGGTATGAGGAGCTCAATTGCTGGGGTGACAAGGGTATTCAAACCTGGTCACACTGGAACTCTGCACAGCAAATTAAAACCAAGCTTCTTCAACGCCTCCTAATGCCATGCTTTTGAAACCCAGACCCGGACACATCCAGACATTAAAACATCTCTGTCAAGAGCTGAACTTGTCGAACATTCAAGAATATTGCTTTGGTCCCTTTACTCATTCAATGCAGATATGGTAGTCGCTTATCTGTTTGCTCTCTGGTTAGGTATTTGTACAGGATGTTTCGTTTTGCTGTGTTATCTTGTTTGCTTTTAATACAAGATATCATTTGGGGGGGGGGGGGTAACCAAAACAATGACGCAAATGCAAATCCTCTAATTTTAATATTACATTTATTTTATTTGTATATTTTTTTAAGTTCTAAACAAATATGTTATTTACCACTGAATTCAATTCTACATTCCGACCACAAGTATTGTAGTTAATGCAGACATGATTCCTTGTAAAAGGTTTCAGTTTGGTGTTTAACAACTTAACACTTTTTTGTTGCCAGAAAAAAAGGGGAAAAGCCTAGTTTCATATTTTGGTACTGGCACAGGAGGTCCCATGATGTAGCTGCTTGACCCCGAGCTCTAATTAGTCTGCATTGTCTTTGAGCTGTACGCCTTTTGGCGTCCTCTGGTCTAACACCGTTTGAGACGAGGCTCAAAAGAAAGCTGTCTCTGGTGTGGACCAATCAGTTTCAAGGACAATGCATATATTATCAGTGTTTTTTTTGTTTCCATTCTGACCACAAGTATTATGGTTCATGCAGACATGATTCCTTGTAAAAGGTTTGGTGTTGAACAACTTAACACCTGTTTTGTTGCCAGAAAAAAGGGGAAAAATCCTATTTTCATGAATTTTACATGGTTAACATCAGAGCTGTAAAAAATTTTGACTTAAAATTTTCGTGACTGCAGGAATTCATATTCTATAGCTCTTTCGGTAAAGTCACATAGATATAAAAATAATAACTATAAAAAAATAATTAAAATGAAAATAAAGTTAATAAAAAATAATAAAATATCACGACGTTTTGATCGCAACACAAACGGTCATCATCAGGAACAGGGAGGTTAGCCTCTGAGGGCAAGCTGTGTATAAAGGATTAGAGCTGGGCGGGGCAGCTAATGTTAATGCAGGAGACGTCTCCGACACCAGCAGTAGGTCTACACCAATCAAAGAGCTGTTTATAAAGGTTTAGAGCTGGGCGGGGCAGCTAATGTTAATGTAGGAGACGTCTCCGACACCAGCAGTAGGTCTACACCAATCAAAGAGCTGTTTATAAAGGTTTAGAGATGGGCGGGGCAGCTAATGTTAATGTAGGAGAGGGCTCCGACACCGGCAGTAGGTCTACACCAATCAAAGCATTGCACCTCGCTTCACACACCCACACTGCTGACGGTGGAGGTGGACAAGACTTGTTTGTCGTGATATTTTATTATTTTTTATTCACTTTATTTAATTTTTATTATTATTTTATTATTATTTTTCTATCTACGTGACTTTACCGAAAGAACAATAGAATGTCAGAGCTGTTGCATCGCATCCATCGAGTGAGCAGCAGTCCCCTCTACTCTAGAGCACATTAACAATATCTCATGCCAATTAGAAGCTTTATATACACAAGTACATGTGGAAATATTCACATTTGGAATCGCTTCCATAATTATCAGCGGATACTGAACAGTTGAGGTGGAGCTGCGGTGCAGTGGTTGGTGCACGGTGATATAAATTTGGCGAGCCGTGGTCCATTTCCGTCACGTCTAACATCAGCGGCGAGTGATATCAGAACTCATCCTGGGCCTCCTTCACCAATCTGCACTGACCAGAGTGGTAAAGTTTAGCCACACAACTGCCATAGCTGACGTGTTTTCAGGGAAGCCTTCCAGCAGTGGGTTGACAAAGGGCTGGACATTATTTGAATTCACAAATTGACTTGAGGGGCCCGTGGTGTATTTGGCGTGCTCTCGCCAACAACATCCAGCAACACAACAGTATTAATTTAATCGGTCTAACTCTTCTGCACCAGAGTTGGTACTGTATCAATGCTGATGAAATTATACCCTCCCAGAAGGCTGTGGGGACGATGGGTTGTGGAAAATACACTTTAAATACACTTTTCCTAGCAGGAAGTACCCGGCATTGCCCGGGGGGAAAATATATTTCAAAAACTTATCTTAAAAACATAACATATACATACACAAATACTAAGCCATTGTGATTGCCTGGTGTTCCGTTGGTCCATTTGTCTGTCAACACAATTATAAGAGGCTTGCAGAAGTCCAAAAATTATAGAAAGTAGGGGGTAAATAGTTGATCTGAAAGGTTTCCGAAAATTGTCGACCTCCCCCTCAAAAAATGTTTTTACCCCCGCGTAGGCATTTATACCTACACACCCTACAGACAATAGAGTAGTATCTAGTGCATCTACAGTAGTATCTGACTCTATAGTAGTATCTGTTGACTCTATAGTAGTATCTGTTGACTCTATAGTAGTATCTACTAACTAGCAGTATCTACTGAGCACAGTAGTAGCTACTGACTAGCAGTATCTACTGCGCACAGTAGTAGCTACTGACTAGCAGTATCTACTGAGCACAGTAGTAGCTACTGACTAGCAGTATCTACTGAGCACAGTAGTAGCTACTGACTGTATAGTAGTGTCTACTGACTCTACAGTAGTATCTACAGAATCTATAGCAGTATCTGCTGACTCTATATCAGTATCTACTGACTAGCAGTATTTACTGACCGTAGTAGTATCTACTAACTCTACAGTAGTATCTACTGACTCTACAGTAGCATTTACCGACTCTGCAGTAGTATCTCCCAACTTTACATTAGTATCTACCGATTCTATAGTCGTATCTCTATAATAGTATATATCGACTCTATAATAGTACTAACTTCACAGAGTGTAGTGGTGAGGCCTAGTCCCGTGCAGAACCCCTGGCCTTGCCTTCATTGGCTAGCAGGCCGATGTGGCACCTTTTCAGGCTGGGGCTGGGCTGCTACCCCCCCCCCCCCCCACCATCCCCCCCCCGCCCGCTTTCCAATAATAGTATCTAAGGGCTATAATAGTATCTACCGACCCTATAGTAGTAAATGCACACATTGGGGTGGGTTGAAAAGAGGACATCACACTTTGAATAATTTACCTCGGCGTTGTGTATTTTTTTTTTACATTTTTAACGCGAATGAGAATTCCCCCCCTCCCCCCACCGATCGCGTGTGTGCGTTGCTATAGGAATCACGGGTCAGCGTTTCGCGCATGCACAGATGTGTGCTTTGGCACGCGCTAAGCGTATCAATATAATAAATAGTACAAAATAGTTAATTTGACTACTTTAAAGTTGACGGATGTGAAATACGAACAGCGCTGGCTCACCCCCGGGCTTATTGCTTGGCATCTGGGTACTTATTAAAAACGTAAACCCCACAGTTTGCGAGTTAAATCCGTTGCAAGTTGCGTACACAGACAGACATACAGACAGACAAAAAAATTACTCTTATATCTAAAATATTTTATACAAAGATGGATCAATGAAGGAAACATTGTCGGCTTATCCATTTTAACTGCTGTTTACACCCCAAAGTATGGTCAAACAAACCTCAACATGACCGAAAGGCACGGCGAGTTCTTCACCCAGCAATGGATTGATAAGGGACTCAACTTACGTAAATATATACGCGCGCGCCCACATGAAATACGTATTTGCTCTGCGTTCGCGTTCAGACGACGCCCCGCCCGCGTTGATCTCTTGTGTCGCAGATGAGGGTGAAGAAGCACCGCTGGTACAAGCGCATCCTGAAGACGCGCGACCCGCTCGTGTTCTCGCTTGGCTGGCGGCGATTCCAGACGGTGCCCATGTACTACATCGAGGACCACAATGGCCGGCACCGTCTGCTCAAGTACACGCCGCATCACATGCACTGCCACGCGGCCATCTGGGGTGAGTGGACACATATGGGGGGGGGTGAATCTGCCGCTGGTCAAGCTGCGAGCGTTTTTTTTTTTTTTACGCCTTCGCACGTTGTGAGCGGGGGACAGTACAATGTCGCATATCCGACTGTCCTGCATCGGCCGTGATTGGTTTACCTGTCAGAAATCCAGTGTGGTACTTCTACACGGTGTCACTCGTTTTGTGTTGGTGTTCACAAATCCGAACTTGTCACCACGCATTTGTTTATTCTTAAATCTCTAGCACGTCATTTTTTTTAATAATGCACGGCGAAACATTTTCGGCACGTTTATAGGCCTTTGCGTTTAATTTTTGTCCGGGAAGCTATTTGTGTTTCAAACTTTTCACAAATTCACCTGTACACAGTCCTCAGAAAGTCAGATATGCGACATTGTACTGTCATACTTGATGATGACAGCATTGACATTTGTACTCATTGCAAATAACCAGTCTCATTAGCAGCTGCTGAGGAGATTCTTACTGTGTGTGTGCATGTGCTTTGAATGCTTGAGCATAATTGGATGTGTTCACGATTAGTACAGAACAGTGTGTAAATGTGGCTGAATCTCAAGACACTATAAACAATAGGGCGTGGGGGGAGGGGGTCGAGGTGGGCAAAGATAGAAGAGGATGGTTATAGAAGGTGCAGTTGAAGATACTTCCTCCAGAAGAGACGGTCAGAGGCAGGGGAGAAAAGGCTGGTCTTAATCCTGCACTTGAACTAGGTACAGGAGATATGGTGGTGCTAGAGGCTGAGGAAGGAAATGTGATGATTGAAGCCACTCAATGTGAGGTCGTTGACAAAGAGTGTGTAAATGTGTGTAAATGTGGCTGAATCTCAAGACACTATAAACAATAGGGCGTGGGGGGAGGGGGTCGAGGTGGGCAAAGATAGAAGAGGATGGTTATAGAAGGTGCAGTTGAAGATACTTCCTCCAGAAGAGACGGTCAGAGGCAGGGGAGAAAAGGCTGGTCTTAATCCTGCACTTGAACTAGGTACAGGAGATATGGTGGTGCTAGAGGCTGAGGAAGGAAATGTGATGATTGAAGCCACTCAATGTGAGGTCGTTGACAAAGGACATTGTTTGCTGGCACAGTACATGAGGAGGAGCAGATTTTATATCACCCGCAACAATCGTATGTACTTAGTATTTTTTTTGTTTCTTTTTCCAGGACCTATCACGACGCAGGGATCCGGATTCCTGGCTGTGCAGTCGGTGGCTGGTTCCTCTGTAAGTATTGTTTACATTTACTAAAGCCATATCCAGATGAATGGAGGAAAACCGAGTTGGGCGGAGAGAGGGGAAAATTCCGATGGGGTTGACCGAGTCTGCACATTTGTTTCTTTCTGTACTGCGGATCTTCTCAGCCGGACTTCCGGATTGCGGCGACGGGCTCCGTGCTTGACCTGGACAAGTCTGTGAAGATCGTGAAGAAGTTGAAGCTCACGGGATGCCCCTTCAAGATCTACAAGAATACAACTTTCATCAAGGTATGACGGACATGGCAACCGTCAAATTATGTTAATTACTCTCACTGTGTATAGGGGCGTCGTGTAACTAATGTTCTTGTCAAGGCAATGAGCCAGCACTTCTGTGGTCCTTACTTTAAAGCGCTGGGTTGCTGTCTGTGATAAACATTGGTGCATACAAGTTTGATGGTCTCGGAAAAATTGCACACTATTGCTGTGATAATTGTGAAAGTGTTTCTGGGGGGGCGGTAGCGTCGTGGTTACCACGCTTGTAATATGAACCTGGCGACCTGAGTTTGATTCATGCTCTTTCAAGATCGCTGACGATTATCTGAACTTGTCCCAGGATTGCTCTAGGTCGACTCGACTTTAAACAGGTACACGGCAAGGCGTGCAACCATCGATGCTGGGAGGATGATGGCGGCTTGGTTCTGGCCACACTGCGCTATTGCGTGCCATGCCAGCATACACAGACGCATTTGTCCTAACTGCATGGCGATGCGGGTGGTTGTTCGTCTTTCTCGGCGTGTGCGTATGTACGAGTACAGGACATGTTCAGTTCGGCACTGGAGGTGGCGCGCTTTGAGGGAGCGGCGCTGCGCACCGTGAGCGGGGTCCGCGGGCAGATCAAGAAGGCCATCAAGTCGCCCGAGGGAGCCTTCCGCGCCACGTTTGAGGACCGCCTGCTCATGAGTGGTACGCGTACCCCTTCCTGTCTCCCCACCCCCCTCATTTCATCGCCACTGCAGATTTGGCACAGCCCGTGGATGAACTTCTCACGGAGCCATGATCAATCGCTCCATCCCAAAACGTTTATTTTATATTATAAAAAAACACAATGAGCATAGGTAATGCCCACAAGTTTAGTGCTTGCACAGGGAAAGCGATGTTTTTTTTTTTGTAAATGTTGGCTACGTATGCTGCGAAAGAAGTTCACCATTGCGAACGTACATGTGTGCGCTCGCAGACATCGTGTTTGTGCGCACGTGGTGCCCTGTGGAGGTGCCCAAGCTCTACAACCCCGTGACGACGCTGCTGAAGCTCACGGAGGAGCGCTCCTCCTGGACGGGCATGCGCACGCTGGGGCAGCTGCGCAAGGACCTGGGTGTGCCGCTGGTGCACAACCAGGACTCAATCTACAAGGTCGTCCCCCACCCCCCTCTCTCTATGAATGTGTGTGCTTGCACGCATGTTGTTGTGGTGCAGCTCTATGGGTTGCAGTCGTTAATACAGTGCACTACAAACCCAGCAAAGGGGGTTCAATTACCTACCCTTAAACAAAGTGCCTTGTGCAGTGTGTGTGTGTGCCAGACATGAACACTGGAGAGACGACCATGGCCTAAATAGGTGCTGACCGACAGTTCTTGTCCTAAGTCCAGTTAGACTCCATGGAGATCGTTACCTTTGCGTGCATTCCACTAACTGATAACCACATGCAGTGGAATGAACCACAGTGCTATCAACCCCGGCTTACGTGGGTTGAATTTCCATCCGTAGATAACAGCGTCGGCGTTGGCCTATATGACTTGTCCCAATGGTTTGTGTGTGGATGCTAACCTGTTTTGCTTGCGGCCCGTGTGTGCGTGTGCGTGGGCCCCATGCATTCCCTGCGTGCAGCCCGTGGAGAGGAAGCCACGGGTGTTCAACCCGCTGGTAATCCCCCGTGAGCTGCAGAAGGCACTGCCCTTCAAGTCCAAGCCCAAGCTGACGGAGGCCGCGAGCCGCGTCCCGCGCGACCGTGTGCGTCCTGCTGTCGTCCGGGAGCCCATGGAGCGCAAGGTGCGTGCCTCGTCTAACGGAGTCCACCGCCGCCCTTCGGATGGAAGCCATTGCTATGATGTTTGGTTGCTTGCTTCTGCACTCGGATTCACCGCAGTCACTCCCGCACTGTCGTTCGGTCACCTCCTTGCCTCCCTCTCATCGCTGCTACCACAGTCGTTTTCATTAAATTAACGTCTGAAACCCTACGCCATTCGCAAGGATGACTCCGTCCCAAATTGACTACTTCCCCACTGTTCAACTAAAATACTGGATGCAAATTTGTCTTCATATTCTCTTCACACTGCTTCACTCTGCAACTCTCCATGTCAAATTTTCCCAATTTCCTGTAACCGAGGCCAATCCAAGAAGTGCGACTCATCTTCTGCACTCATCATTAGCAATTTTAGTTTTTGAACAATTTTGTAGGCCTTTAGGCCTGTGCTCGGCAACCATGAAAAAAGGGGTGTGGTGAAGTTTTGGGCCATTTATAAGATGCCTCTGTTTGGATGCATGCTGGGTACCTGCAATTCTGTGGTTTATCTCAATGGCTGTTAGTAATCCATAAAGCCACGGTTCTGTCATGTGACCTCTTTCCAGCAAACCTTTTAACACTCATGAGGCCTCAGTGCCCCGAGCCTCGCGCAAGTGCCATCGCGGCATCATTGTCGGTTAATGTAAAACGGCGGCTGTTGTTGAGTGCGAGACACTTTGGCTCAACCCGTATGCGCGTGCGTGGCCCGCACTTTGTTTGTGCCGGGCTGACGGCGCCAGAGTTTCCACCCCCGATTGACCCACGTCTGCATTGATGACCGCAGATCGCCGCGCTCCTGCAGTCGCTGGGCACCATCAGGAACCAGAAGGTGCGCAGGCAGAAGGAGCAGGCGCTGCAGAAGAAAGGCGAGTACCAGCGACGCCGTCAGAAGGAGGACGAGGCGAAGATGCAGAGGATCAAGGAGGTGAAGAAGCGCGTCTTCCGCACCATCGGACAGAAGGAGCGCAAGCAGCAGAAGTCGAGTCTCTCGGGCCCGCGCCGCTAGCGGTGACCACGAACTCCGCGGCACCACTGGACGGTGGGACAGCTTGTAACTGTGCTGGCGACATGGTGGGGGGGGGGGTGGGGGGTTGGGAGAGGCACGATGGGGAAATCTTTCCCATGGCACCCTCCAAATACATGCCTCCCTGTTTGGAGGTGGCCCTGTGCAGGACTGGAGACGGCTGCATTCGTTGCGCTTGTTCCAAGTAGTCTGGCCCTACCAAACTAATTAGAGGTTTAAGGAGCATACATTCAATGGTTTTGTTTGCTCCTGATATGTGCATTCATTTTCCAGTGTAATCATCTATTCTTATATTTTTATGTAAGGGATTCGTGTGCCCCCCCCCCTCTACCACTCCCAACATCTACATTCACTACCATGTAACAAAATAATTGCTTTTTGAATCAGATTGCTATCCTGAACTAAGTCGATTGTTATTTGCAAGTGGGGGAAGACTTTCTAAACCCCGAAAACAAATGGAACCCAGCTCACCGCACTCACCATTGCCGGACCGTGGGATGCAGTTACGTTTTTGTCAAATGTTTGCATTTTTTGGAAATGTGTGATCTTTTACATTTTTGTTAAAAGGTCTGTGGTCAGAGTTATGTTAATATTGCGCAAGGCTTGAGTTTGTAGACTGAATGCACTCGATTCTACTCGGCCAATCCATTTTTATAAATAAGCGCTCCATGTTGCATACATGTGCTTTGGCGAGTTCAATAAAATATTCTGTCTATACTGTGTGCGTGGTTGTGTTGTGCTGCACGTTGACATTTGAGATATTAGAATACGGTGTGAAGCAAAATAGTTAAACCTCGACTAGCTGGACTAATATGGAGGAGGAAGGCCTGGCCTGGCCTGGCCAGCTGAAATATCCTGAGAAAGCTGCAGAATTACTTCCGAAAATCACGAATAACTGAACACCATTAGGGGTGGGGCTGGGTGGGGAGGGGCTGGTCACCCCATGGTGCCCTTATAAAACTCAACTTTAACCTACTCACGCCGGCTTGTGCCCGCCCTCACAGTCGGGCATATTTGCGGAATACACCACGTGCCGCCGTTGACCCTGGCCATTGACCGAGCAACCCAACGTTCCTACCAGCTCCCTCCGCAGGAATGTGTTAGTTTACTCTCTACATGTTCTGGGAATGCATCTATTGCAGGTGACAGCTTTTCACTGGTGGAACTTTTCGAGAAAAGCTCAAATCTCCGTATGACTAGTGAGAGGCGTTTTCTGTTGGCATATACCAGTGATGTGAGTTGTCGAGCGATGCGTGCAGAATAGTGACCCCCAAGGAGCATGAAGCCATCCAGTAACGTCACAATTTTCAGACAGGGTCTTCATCCACTTTGACCTATCCCACTGAATGCACTTGCGGAGTCACAGGCACTCAAAAGGCATGGTTTGAGGGCGATACAAGGAAAATGTCTTGTCCAAGATTTTGAGCAAACGGTGTGACTTGGGGTGTAGCGTTTCTTCTGTGCAACTCCCGTATGTACTGTCGGCATGTTGAACTTCTTTCGCGCAGTACGTAGTCAACTGCTAATCAGGGGTGCGGGGGAAGGACAACAAACTAAACGTAAAAAGCTGAGCTTGTATCAACCAGGCGGCTGTATTTAAGAAAAAACCGGCACCACTTCAGAAGTCCACATTCTGCCCGAAGGAATGCCCACAAATGTCATAGAAAAGCTTGGCACCATCAGAAATGTTCTCGCTTTCATGGATGAACTAAGAAAACGTAACAGGCTACATTTTCTTGAAATACAATAAAAAAAATGGGTCATGGAGTTGAAAACCTCTTAGTTATTTTTATAATGCTGCAATCAAGACAATTTCCATGTTAAAATGTTGCAAAATATATACACACTAATTTTGGCTATTTTGTAACAAAACACAGCAAACTTTCTTTCCAGCACAATGAAGGTAATCATTCCCACTTGAAAAGTGCCCACTCATCATACATGATCATACATGTTTAAATAAAATATATACAAACACGCAGCGCTTTACACAACATCGTTGTGCAAATATATGGATACCAATCAATAAAGACAAATAAATGGTTTACAGCCACAAATATAAAAGGGCCGCAAGGCACGGTGCCCGGACAAATTTGCAAGTTCTCTGCTAAGCTCGTCGACAGGAGAACGGTTCGCAACAAATATGCGGATCGCGTGCCTACTGCTGCTGCTCCTCGGCGCCCTATGTCAGGGCCACGCAGCGCCCGCCGATGGCGCGCAGGACGACGTCCAAGCACAGGAGGACTTTGACGCCTCGCGGGTATTCGTCGCGCGCCACTGCCACGCGGCGCTGACCACCACCACCACCACTCGGCGCTAACCACCCCTGCCACACTGCGCTGACCACCGCCGTCACACAGCGCTGACCAGTCTTCTTGTGCCAATTATCTGGGGGCAAGCCCCTGCGTTGTGTCATCTTGTTTAAAGGACGGCGGGAGTGGCAGGGGGCGAGATGTTAACTCCCTCGTCTGGTATGCAGGGGATGCAAGGATTTTGGAGATTAGAAGATGTGGCTCGTACTGAGCCGTACGCACAAAACGGATCAATGTATCGCTTATCCTTACAATGAAAACCCTCGATTAAAGTGAGGAAAAAAGTGAGATTCTCTCGAGATCCCGTTGCATTTGGCCTCGGTGGCGAGATGTTAACTACCTCGCCTGGCACACAGGGTCACGGGTTCGATCCCGATCCTGACCCCTGTGTATATTTGGAGTTTGCATGTCAGTCTCCCCTTGGTCGCATGGATTTTTCTCCGGGTTTTCCGGGGTTTCCCACCACATTTAGAAACATGCGTTAAGCGTATTTGGCTGATATCAATTTCCACGTGATAAGCCACTTTGTTGAGCGAAAATTTGTGTCCAGGTAAGCTTCTGAAAAACAGCTATATAAAGCTCCTCGGACCTTACTTGGTAAAATAAAAATAGTAGTAATAGTATATGTTGGGCAATCGTACATTTTAAAGTTTACGTTTTTTCGTCAACGTTTATTTTCATTTGTTACTCGGACGATCCCGTCGAGCCAGTTGCCCGGCTGTTTTACAAGGGAGGTGCGTGAACCCATCACTACCGGCAACATCAACAGACAAAAAACATCAATATTGCAGAGAACGAATACAGAGTCCCCAAGGAATATTGCAAGAGAACCAGTACAAGGTCCCTAAGGAATATTGCAGCACAACTAACAAACGAGGTATTTAACGGTCACAAACTAAATACACGAGAAGCCCAAAACAGTCCAAATATAGCGTGAGAGCGAGAGGCGGCAGAAAAGTCAGGTACAGGTGCAAGTAAGTTCTCTACGGTAAATCCTCATTTCACGTGCATTCACACTATGCGTTCTCGCTTCAACGCGGTTTATCTTTTTACGGAACCTTTGCTTCCGCTTAACGCGCGCCCGCTATAACGCGAGTCTGGCGCATGACGGACTGCTTTTCAGAGCGGCGTGGGTGTTGGCACCGCTGTTCGGTGGCGCTGTGAGTTGGTGCTGTGGTACTGTGTGACGCACGGTGGAACGTCTTCCTCTGTCTTTGTGCCGGCATCCTTGTGTGCGTTGCGTCATCTCCCTCCCTCATCTTTCACTCGCCATATATCTCTCTCTCATACTTTATATTTAAATAAATTACTGTTACAAATATCATACTTAAGGAAATATTGCAACGGCACCCCCACCTTGAGCGTTATTCCTTATGGGAAACTTACTCTCGCTGAAGGCGAATTCGCAATGTTCAGGAATGCAACCCCCCGCGTTAAGCGAGGACTTGATGCACTTTACGAGAAATGTAAAACGGAGATGAAATTTTCCTGTAAGTTCCCCAACCTTGGTTACAGACTCGCAGGACATTTTGACGACCAGACTTAGTAAGAGTCCCCCCCTACCCCGCTCTCCCAGTGCAAATCCCAAGTGGCGGTGGTGGCGCAAAGCCTCATGTCCTGGATATTCCGTATTATTTTTCTGTGGGCTGCACGAGCACAGTGCACCTACGATCTCCTACATGCCAAGGACGTGGCTATCGAGCGAGTGTACACAGGTGGTGGGCAACCTGCACCCGGGCCCATTAGTGGGAGGCGCCCAGGTGCCAGGCTACCAAGAGGGCAAATTGGACAGGGCCCATGCCAATTACGCTATGCCACCGGTATTACAATTCTCTCTCCTTGCTCCAAATCCCACTCAAAGTTTCTTCCGGCACTCGCCGGTGCAATCCTACCACGTTTAAAACAAAAGGTTCCCCATACTCTTTGGTTCTATTCGGTAAAGTCACGTAGGTAAAAAAATAAAATAACAAAAATCACGACGTTTTGGCCACAACACAAGTGGCCTTCATCAGGTGAAGGGACCGTGCTGTCATGAGGATAGCGTTGGAGTGAAAACAGCCAAGCCCAGGTCGCGTCCTTTAAGCTGTGTGGGAGGAAGCAAAACGCTTCTAGAAAAGGTTCCCCATTTGCTATATTATTCTGCGTCGCCTTTATCATAATCAATCTGTGCTCACCGAAATGCCGGCACGATGCCCTTTTGTTAAAAATATCTTGTACAACCCGTCGCTCTCACCCCGGCTGAACGGCAGTTCCTGGGCACGTGGTACGTGACCGCCTTGGCCAGCAACTGCAACTACGTGGCCAAATACACCAAGCTCAGCACGAGCTTTAAGATGGAGATGGAGGCCAGCGAGGAGGAAAACAAGTTTACCGTCACGTCCACCAAGTCCAAGTAAACGACAACTTCCTGCATGGGTCCCGAGGTCTTGCCGCTGACGCAGTCACTGCACTAAACAAGTGGGCTTGCGCCACGGTGACGGGATGTTAAATACCTCGCCTGGTATGCAGGAGGTCGTGGGATTGATCCCGACCCTAACGATGCCTGCTGTATATTTGGAGTTTGCATGTTCTCCCTGTGGTCGTGTGGATTTTTCTCCGAGTCTTCCGGGTATTTCCTCCACGTTTAGAAACATGACTTTTAGAATATTTGGCTGCTATAGATTTATACATGAAAAGCCGCTTTGTTATCATTTGTGGCGAAGTCGATTCTGAAAAAAGCTATATGGCTCAGCGGGCATTACCTGGTGAAATAAAACTAGTTTATAGTTTTATCAGATGGCAAGATATATGTTGTTCACACCACTTTCCTAGAGTATTGCTAAGATATGTTGATTTTGGTGGTTCATTTTTGCAGTGTTCTTTGGCATGTTCCCTCCTTTGACTGCCACTCGGTCACTGGCTCTACCATAGGCCATCGACCCTTCTCGCGATCTGCTCTGCCCAAGCCCCACTTTTCTTAACAGTATGTTGAACGTCTTTTGCACCGTACGTAGCTAATCCTGCTAATCGGAGGTGCGATATCAATACGATATCTCTAACTTGGCTATGTTCTCCAACCCACATGTTTCTCATTCTGCCACCGAGTGGCATTCCAGGTATGCAGGTCTCCCCTGGTTTTGTGCACATTTCGTCTTTTATTCGATTGTCTTTGTTCATTTCCATGTTTCTGATCCGCATGGCACAGCAGGTAATTCACACCGATTATACACGCTCTCCTCGGAGTTGAGTTTCAGTAAGTTCAGTTTTCAAAAGCGCTAGAACCCATGGTTACCGTGGGAATCTAGCGATGGCATTGGCTCACGCGCAGATGTTAAAGATGCATTGTGACCCCACAAGCAACCATTGGAAAGATGTTCTAAATCGAACCAAACATTAAACTAATTTTTCAATGGTACAGTATATTTTTCAAGTAGTGTTACCTCTAACTTTCGCAGCTTAAAATCCCCTTTTCACACCACCAGCATGTGGACGCTGCCGTGCCCCCTCGCCAGCCTGCACAGGTCGACCCCCTCCCTACATTTCATCATGCTAAGTCCGCCTATTAAAATGCAGATTTTCATGCTTATTCCTTTGTCAAGGCACCTTTATTACTCTCACACAGCTTAAAGGTCGCGGTCTGAGCTTGGCTGTGTTTCACTCCAGCGCTGTTCTCGAGACAGTCTGGTCCCTTCACCTGATGAAGGCCGCTTGTGTCGTGGCCGAAACGTCGTGATTTTTGTTTTATTTTTTTTACCTACGTGACTTTACCGAATAGAACCAAAGAGTATGCTTAGCCTTGATACTCACGATAATCCACCACTGGATGAAGGCCTATCCCAAGCCGGCACCACCTCTCAAGATCTTCCGGTGCAATGATCCATCCAGCACTTGGCACTTGAATCGATTTCATTGCTCCATCATCCTCCCGGATTCTTGGTTTTATTCCCACTTTGCCAGTCTGGTTTATTTCTGGACTATAACCTTCAAAGCTACGTGTACTTCCCAAGCCCACTTTTTGTAATACGGATGTCATTAACCCGCATACGCTTTCTGTCTCTCAATGCCATTCTAAGCAGGACCGCACTATTTGAATGTCTGAGTGATCATGACTGAATGTATTTTGCCTGCTTTATTATGATGCTCTGTGATTCCACAGAAATGGCGCATGCTACCAGCATGTTTCCACCTACGAGCTGATTGAAAATGGGAAATTCTTCACCATTACAAGTACAGTAATTCATTACCTATTGTACGCAATAACCACCAGTGAAACAGACAATATATACACATACACAGAGACCTATACACATGTGTGTATAGATGTATAAATATGTACACGCATGTAACGATACTTGAGAATACAAATACACTTATAGATGTAGGAACATGTTCACATACACTGTTGATACACGTAGAACCATATTTACACATTCCCTAAAGTAGAAACATAATACATATGTTTAGGCCCAACCAAACACACGTACATGCACAGGTATACACGTACATGTTTACATTACCGGACTCATATTTCATAGTTTCTGTATTTTCTTTAAGTTCAATAAATGAATGCACATCAATGTTACATACGTGTAAATACAAATGCATTGTACGTCGTGGACACGTTTATTAAATCCTCCCCACATCTGTCCACCCCAGCAGCATAAATGGGTTCACCACAGTTTCGTTTATCAGCTGGTACGCCAACCTCATCCGAGACATCTGCCCAGCATGGAAGAGGAGGCCAGAATACGACGTGGAGGGGCTCTCTAGAGCACCCCCCCCCTCTTTTAGTGGACGTCCTTCCACCAGCAGGTGATGTGAGCAAGCAATTTCTGGGCTGCTCACATTAACCTTTTATCATATATGTTTAAGCCGTAAGAAAGACGGTCACTGCATCGCACACTTTCAGGTGAGCTTCTGTGGCTCTCTGGAACGCTCTTCCTTCCGATATTCGGAAGCCACTCGAGCTATGCACTTTTAAATCTAGCTTGAAAAACTCATTTATTTAAAGCTGCTTTTTGTGTTTAGGGTAAACACCCATCTCCCGCTAATAAGCACAATCATAACGTCACAGCTCTCTCAGCTGTCAGAATTCAACAAAAGCGCAAATCCAAATTCCACATAAATTGGTGCCAATCACAAAAATATAATTTGTTAATTAATTATAATTACACAGCAGTTTGAACTGCATGGTTGAGATTTTGGCAACATATTCATTTTGGAGTGAGGTATCTTCAACAGCACATGACAGAAACATCGGAAACAATTGTACCCCCAGAAACTGGGGTAAAATACCTGGGTGTCCCTCGAATCTAGACACGATTTTGTGTCATTAACAAATATATTGAGGTTTAGAAGGCTGAAATCCATCAACTCATGCGAGCGTATCTATAGTTTCATTTTCAGTGAACTAGCTCAAACTATGGCACACCTGTCAACCCCTTATCAGTGCCAACTTTATTACGGACAAATTCAGACCTTACCGATCACCCCGTGCCCTTCTAAATATCAATGTTCATCCTACAACGTCTCATCACAAGGGAGAACACGAACAAAGACTTTTTTTTTGCCCGCATTGAAACGGCTGCACGCCGTATGGACCTAAAAACTCAATTTCCCTGTACAAGAATATGGGGTAAAGTGTATGGGTTCACATATTCTGCCGTATCATTATAACTGTTCATAATGGAACGAAACCTCTACGGATACCCTGCAGAAGGATACGATGCAGTATTTCTGCAGGTACAACGCGAACGCACGGAGAGACTCCACTGTTTTGTTCGCTATAATAACGAACGCATGAGAAGGGTCACACGCGATCGCCCCGTAACTCGACACGTTTCTCGTCCGTGCGCGCCCGTCCAGAATGGAGACACTCAAGGCACATGACCCTGACGGTCTTACGCACCGACTACGAGACGTACGGAATACTCTACTACGGAAAAGTTAAGGAGGGCAAAATCATACGGACCATGCGCATGCTGGGTAAGACTTTGTTATGTTGCGGTGAAAGTGATCTTTGGGTTCTAGGGCCGGAAAGAGAGCAGAAGAATAATAAGAAAGAAATGGCAGCTGATCAGTGTTCTTCACCGACGTTGTGCGACGGATGAGTCCAGCGAGGCGGAAGGGAATGGAGAGCGTGACGATGAGATCTGGGGAGGGCAAGGAGAGAGAGAGACCAGGGAATAGTGAGATGTGGGAGAGTGAGGTGAGAGAGCGTGTGGCAGGATAATTACACGCAGTGACTTCTCATACGTCAGTATTGTGATTGTGGCATCCAAGTGCCGGGCTCTATATAAAAACACAAATGGGCCGTAGTGGTGGCACCGCATCATAAACCCGGCAAACGGTGTTCGATTCCGAGCCGCAGCTAGCATAAGTGTCGACTGATATCATATATGGTCCTAGGATTCCCCGCTTCACCAACTCACACCAACCATGATCATCATCTGGAATCCCTTGATGTCGAGTACGATGCTTCTCCATGGACAGCGATGATTGTCAGGGTTCCGTGGGTACGCAATTTTCTTTCATGGAGGACGCCTACGCGTGAGCAGAACAACGCGAGGACACTTTTGCGCGTTAGTTTCCACACGATGCTTAATCAGCACGGGACTTGGATCCAATAGCAAAGGAGACGAAGGCAACTGGAGGATCCCAGTGGCTCATCCGCCCGAAAGTGGGCCATCTAGATCACGGCTCATCCATCGCACTAACCAGTCGTGGAGGGGGGGGGGGGAAGTATAATTAAACGACCCACATGACCGATATGGTGTGTGGAGTGCCTTATCCAACAGTGGATTGATAAACGGCTGCAAATTGTAATTTATGTTTAACCCACATTTCAACCCCACTGTTCTCAAACCTCATTGATTGATGCATCTTAATCTATGCCATTCAATTGTTTTTAGGAAAGTAAACAAATGTATGCATTGATACGTGAAATAATACCGATGGAGTGATGATGCATGTTGATCGACAGGACATTCGTTGCATGAGAATAAGAGAAAAGTACTTTGCAACCAAACATTATACAGAGTAATTCCTGCAGTCACGAAAGCTTCAAATCAAGTTGATTATACAGGTCATCTCGGTGCTTCACATTAATCAGGCCATGATTTTGTCATGTGGCTCAATCTGCAGAGCCGACACGGGATTTGAACCTTTAATCCTGTGTTTTTTTAGTTGTACTGAATATTTGCTCATCAGAACGACATCCGAGCGTCCGCTCCACGTGCTGGGAGCGAGCAAGTGGAGCGAAACCGTCAGTCATCGTGCCAAACAACACGCAGCACAACGCGAAAACTCATTGGCGTTCACGTTCGAGCTATGCCGCACAACCATGAAAGCAGTAAATCTTGCATCTTTATTTCACAGCCAGGTCACCGGACGTCAGCGAGGACCTCATGAACGAATTCCGCAGTTTGAGCCTGGAGATGGGACTCGCAGAAGAGAACGTCTTCTCACTGCCTTACACCGGTACATGCGCTGCAGCACTGTTTCTCAAACTCCGGTCCTCACGATAGCCCCACGTTTCGGCCATCCGTCATGACAAAGCTTTTAAGATTCTCGTGAAAATTAAGCACCTGGTGGTATGCAATCAGGGAGAGCTGCACTATGTGGGGCTGTGAGGAATGGAGTTGAAGAAATGCTGTCCTGAAACTAGAAGGGTTTAAAAAATAAGAATACTGGAGTCTGATAAGGATTAATTTGAAATCTCCCATTTAATTCTCACATTTCGCCTCTCCTCCTTCAACTTCTCTGGCTTCCCGTTGACTGTCGCTGTTTTGTCAAATACCTTACACTAAGCCTTTACATCTGTCGATGGCCTTCATCAACCTTATCTTGCCTCTCTCATCTCCTTTGCATGTCGCTTCTCATCCTCTTCATTCCCAATCTTGTCCGTTTCTGTGTCTCTCCTCCTCCCTGGGCCCAGTCCCCTTCTCGATCCTTCTCCCTCCTTGCACCCCGCTCCTTAACCTCCTTCCGTTCCTCTCTCAAAGCCTCAACCTCTTCCTCATTGCCAATTCCCTTTCGCTTCCCTCCCCTCGCCCCTCCACTCCACTCCACTCCGTGCCGTCCCATCCCTCCCCTGCCCTTTCGTGATCCCCAGGTGCCCTCTGTCATGGTCACTCATTCCTCGGCCATTGCACGCCCCTGCCATGTAAATTACCAGATTTTTGATACCGCTTTTGAAACTATGTAAAGTGCCTTGAGCTTAGGCGCTCTATAAATATAAAATTATATTTTACGACAATCATTGACAATGGAAAGTAGTGAGAGTAATGATTGCAGTAGTGAAATTTGGTAAATCATACGGATATGATTCAGTTTCGCAGAAATACATTTAATTGTCACAATTCAGGAGCGCAATTGGATTCAAGAATAGTTCATTTTCATCATTTTTCTGTCTCACCTGCATTGTCCGTTGGGTTTGCCCCTATTATGCTAAATTCAACATCAGCATATAGTTTGCACAAAATGAATTGTTCAAATTATTTTCATGCGCCCGATTCAAGATACAGCGTGCGTGTACCAATCGATATTAAGCATCAAAGTAATACTCTATCGCTGCCTTGTAATTGCAGCATTGCTTTTTCTGCCGACATTCGTCTGCTGAAAGACAATGGATGAACCAAACAATGCGATTACTGTGATTTGTCATTTTCAGACGAGTGCATCGCTGGAGAACAGGGTTTGATTCCGGTGCCACGCACTCTGTAGGAGTAAACAACCTCCAATATCTACCCGCGTAGAACAAGCCGGATCCTCATTAAAAGACGTGTTCATCGCACATATAGACGCAAATTACATCAAGCATGTGAGATATGATGACACACGGCAGATTATTATTTCCCATGGCAGTGCTTGCACTATCGTTGTCAGTTGGCACGTGTTGGCTGTCGGTATTTCCAGATGGAATACCTCCATGATCATATTCTGCCGACTTTATTTTAGAACTGTAACGTATCTCAAAAGGAGAGTGTGAATGACTGCCACATTGAAATTACGAAAATAAAGCTGATTTGTGCACTGCATTTGAAACGGATGATTTGTGATTCAGAGTGACTTACTAATAACAAGGCAATATATGTTGCTTGTGCAACAAAGCCTCACCGAGTCTCTAGATTTGTTTAGGAAGGTCCTCCTTATGAAATGTTTATCCAATTCTATAATGGAGTGATTGGCATGTTGGAGGAGTACGAGAGGTTAACGCTCAAAAACCTCTGCATGGATGGATTCAATCAAATGCGATATTTCCATTTCATGGCCACTTCTTCAGCACCGTTCCTCCCATGATGAAAAGGAGAGAGACGCTCTCAATGATTCCTGTTAGGGAGGAGGAACAAGAGCATGGGAGGAGTTTGGGGGGAGCACGGGGGGGCAATATCCCCCCCAAACTGAGCACCTTTATTGACTTATTTTCAGTGGTTTAAAATTAGGATTATAAATAAATGTTTTATATGTACCCGCGATTCCTAATGTGAGGGACAAAGCGAACCCCTGCCCCCTCCCCCCCAAAATATCTAAGTCAAACTCCACCTGTGCCCAATAGTGGAGGCGATTGCATGGCTTGGTCAGCATGGGCCCTGATACATGAAATGGAATGGCGTCCTCTGTCAACCTTCCCCACTCTACATGCTCAGAGATTGGCCTGCTTCGGCTCATGGGCCTGGGTGCAGTTATTATTTTCGATTTTATAAAAAAATTGTATATTTTTATTTTACCAAGTAAGGCCCACTAGGTCAACGAAGTGGCTTATCGTGTGCAAATAGCAGCCAAATATTCTAAACGCGTGTTTCTAAAATGTGTGTGGTGAGGGGGGGGGGGGGACCAGTGGACCCGGAGAAAAAATCCACGCGACCATGGAGAGAACAGTGGCACTGCCTACACACTCGCTTGATAGCTACGTGACTGTCTGGAGGTGTTGTTGATGTATTTGTAAGCGAGGACTGTGACAGGGTGGTCGAAAGCCACGGGAAATTCTTCACGAGCGAGATTCACCGTAGAGAATTCCACTAACGACTGCATACGAAAGGGGTAAAAAAAAAACCTGTTCATGATGAGCAACAGCTTTTAGACGTTAAGTTCTTGGACACTCATAGAATATGTCCAATGTTTACATTTTCCAATATAATACATTCTCATACATCTTCTGCGGTGTATCGCTTAGCACACTGGACTTGCGTTCCAGAGGTCGCCGGTTGGATTCGATCTCCTGGTGCGGCAGAGACAATGGAGCAAGTTTTTTTTTTATTCCCTGCGCCTGTCCACCAAGCAGTATGAATGGGTGCACTCGTAAACTCGTGCAGTGGGGGTTAAAGTGTGGGTACGCTCACATCAGACAAGATTTAAACTAAACTTTAAACTATATTTTTTTTACTTTACCCGGTATGGTCCATCGAGCCATATTGCTCTTTTTCAGAAGCGACCTGGCCACAAATAATAAACGAAGTGGCTTGTCGCGTGGACATTTAAAAGCAGGCAAATACTCTAAACGCATGCCGATTCTAAACGTGGAAGGAAAAACCGGAGGACCCGGCAAAAAACGCACGTGATCACGTGGAGAACATGCAAACTCCAAATATACAGGTGTAAAGGTCGCGATCGAACCAACGACCTCCTGTATCACGGGCGAGGTAGTTAACATCTCGTCAACGTTGAACCCAAGTTAAAACTGCATTGTGCTAACAACTCTGACCGCTCCACTAGACTTAAAAAAAACTCGGCACCATTCAGTGGATACACTGTAGCTGAGTGAGTAGGGCACTTGGAGGCGATGTTTGACATGAGACGGATATGGGTTCTGAACACTGGATGGGATGAACCATATTACCCCGCACCTCCGATGAGTTGGCTACTTACGGTGCGAAAGAAATGAAACATATATTTACAGTGATAGTTAATGTGTAAACAATCCTACTATATGCATATGGAGTCTTCGAATTATCTGCTTTTCACAGAAAAAGGAATGACATGCAAATGGTGCAAATTTGATTTAATTTGTTGTGTTTATCTCTGGTTGAGTCACCCATAAGTGTCCCCTGGCAAGACTAAATTAATTTTATTACCATGAATATAAGAGAAGTCATCCGGAATTGGCAGAAAATTCACAATGTTATCTGCGTTTACCTGCACACATCAATGTGGAGTTATTTTTGCTGACTGGTGCAGATAATGGTATGGCAATAACACTCCCATATCAACAAATTTAACAATATTTTAAGTGTAAAAATAACCTTATGGGAGCCTTTGGCTATTTTAACCTTCAAGCATGATTGATCAACATTGGGAATCATAAGCTGCGATTAACTTAATAAATTAAGGTCGACAAGTATTGCTGGTTTAAAATCGACAATTTGTCATTGAGAATGTTTCTCTTGTTATTATTTATAGTGCACAATGTGGTGTATCTGACTTCGTCACGTGCTCTGAGCAGCCCATGCCATTGGTAGTCATGTTTTCTGCTGGGACATTAATGAACGTCTTCTTTGTTTTCATTCCAATAATTTTGAAGGAATTTGAAATAAACTTTCCTAGGAACCCGGGGAATGGAACAGAAAATAATAAGAGCCAGAAAAAAAATGGAACGTAACAAAATGCTACTTTGAACAGGAAAATCATTGGAAGATCTTTTGTATAATCCTCATCACAGGATATAAAAAAAATTAACATGACATGTTTGCACAGCTCTTTGTGAACAGCTCCTTTGTCATGGTGGCTGTCTAACTTTCCTGCACAATATTGTTCATTGCAGGGGGGGGGGGGGGGGGGACGATGTTAGCAATGCCATTCAACTTCAGGTCCATAGAACAAAGCGCTAGCCACGGTACCAAGGATAAACACGAGTGTCATCACGATCATTGTAAAAGGACTGATGACTATTGACGTAAACAAAGTCACGTGCAAAGCGCATTCACGCAAACACATGGGAGAACAAAAAACACACACATTGCAGAATGCCATTACCGCTGCATCACACACAAGGCACAAATAATTCCGTGCAATCTTTCACAAACATGCCCTGTGCACCGATCAACTACATGCTGACGGTGCTGCCGATAACGCGCGGGGTGCTGGCGCAGCGTGGGTGGGTGGGTGGCTGGGTGGGTGGGTGGCTTGGTGGGTGACTTGTGAACGTGCCCACCGGGCACCCATTTGGGGGCGGTGGCACAGAGGGCAAGCAAGCAGCAAGCAGCCAGAGCGAAGCCAGAGAGCAAAAGGCGTGCGAAGCCACAAGGAAAACATGAAGCTCGCATTGTGCCTGCTGCTGGGGGTTGTGTTCTATGTGGACGCAGCGCCCACGGACCCCAGCGAAGATGAGGTTCAAGCCCAGGAGAACTTTGACGTGACCAAGGTAACTTGGCTGGCTGGCCGGCCGATCTACTGACATACCGTGTTCATTTTTCGTCGAGTTATTTCGTTCATAATTGTATATACCGTTACGACTGACAATGATGATCGTTTATTGTACTTGTAACCAGGTTGTGAAGCTTCGTCTGCTCGCTATTTTGCTTTAGGGTCAGACGCAACAGGAGGCGAAATACTCGGTTCACCGATTACGGGGGTCATAGTTTAGGCCACGGGGTCGGCAACCTGCGGTTCTGGAATCGCGCGCGGCTCTTTAAGGAGCTGCTTCATGACACCGTCATTCACACTGCATTCTGTGCATGCTCTTCAAATATTGAGATCTTTCATCAGAGAACGACACATTTATATATTTACGCGACCTAACCACCCCCCCCCCCCAAAAAAACCCCCCTCTATTATGGATATTGGTCGCGAAAGCATACAACGTGTTAAATTGAGATCTTTACCAAAATCGAAAATAAGAGGCTCTTTTTGTTATGTTGGTTGCCGGCGCCTGGTTTAGGTGTTTAGTCAGCGACATCAGCCATTCAGAATGTTTGGTTGATACCCTACGAGTGAAAATAATCATTCTCCGGGGCATATTATTTTGGCGACCCAACTTCAGAAATGTTGGCTTATGGAATTTTCTAGTTACAGTATAAGCATAGAGTTGACTACGTTTGTTGTAAAATGTTGGCTTCTTATTAGAGCATAAAACATAATTAAACTTGTAAACAAGTCACTTGGTCACAATTGCCTATGTAATTTAATGTTTTACAAGTGCGTTACTTTTGATATTTGTAGTCAGTGCACCATATAAGCTTGCATTGGGCACTGGCCATTTTACCTTACACTAAAAATGAAATTTAAAGGCAATACTTAATCATATGCATCGGGATGTTACACGGATTCTTAAGGGGGATTCTGTAATATGCACGGCTCTTCTATACTCTCGTATGTAGTCTTCGTTTCGTTCCGAATAAAAAAAAAGTTTTTAAAGCGTCAGATTGGAGAACCGATCTAATCGTTAATCAGCAGTTCAAAGTACCTCGTACTGTGCTATATCACTGCAGTTAAGATAGAAGAAGGCCCGAGCTAAATATATAGCCCAACACAGTTACCGTTACATATTGTGCACGGTGTATCAAAATTGTTCATGACTTTCATGGCAATGTTGAATTTTAGCTCAAATACATTTGAATCACGAGTGTCAAAAATAGTGGATAAATTACAGCTGTATTCAGACCGAAAACCGCATTTGGAGTGCTGATTGTAGCATTATATATTTACAAACTAAGACATGGGTACAACTCTCTCCTGCAACAAAAGTACAATACATATTTCATGTATACTGGCACCGCCCGTAGGTTGACTCGGCCTAAAGTGTGTACCTGCTATAATATGGTCTGCTAAATCAGCTTGAGGAGAGAGCGCGAAAAAGGCAGCAATGAGCATGATTGATGGCCTCACCACTCCCAAGCATCCTTTACCAATGACAGCCACAACGCCGATTATCACGGTTGATTACGTACGGCGCCAAAGAAGTTCAACATACATACGACAATAGGCGCTCGCAAACAACACTCGTCCCAAGCAGTTGAATCAAATGCAAGCGGGGGTGAGGCCGCCTGTGTTTGTGGCTACCCATGCCTGCTGCGCTTGTGTTTGTGTGTGCTCACCTGGGCAGTCGGGAGCAAAGGCGGTGCGTCTATGATTGGACATCTGTTAAAGAGAGCTTCATGGCTCATCAGATTCCTCCGGTGTAACGAAAGATTGTGATTCTGCCAGTCATCTACGGAAGTTAACCCGGGTGTGTGCCATGACCTCGACCTCCTTGCCAGTAGCCTGGCACAAGCGCTGTGGTGCTGCTCTTTTGTTGTTGTTGTTGTTTACCTGCGTGCGGATGCTTGCGCGCAGTTCCTGGGGAAATGGTACGTGGTGTCCATAGCCGGCAACTGCCAGTACCTGCCCGGGCACGTGCAGAAGCACCGGGGTGGCTCCTTTGAGATCGTGGCCGGGGAGGAGGAGGATAAGTTCACCGTCACCTCCACCAAGGCCAGGTAACGTACCCCGGCAACCCACTGCTGCTACCTGTGGTAGCTGCAGAGGCTAACGGGACGGGGCCAAACTCCCCCCCAGCTTTGCCCCAGCTTCTTTCGAAATTCATAGCCCAAAATTCAGCGTCGCAGACTTCCTTCATTCAAATGTACACGGAGTGTGAGAGACAGCGCTTGGGCCAAAATGTATGATAAACAACATCGGATCATTCTGTCCCGTATTTAATACTTGTCTGTATAACATAACTGGCTTTTTTTAACAAGGTCACGCTGCAGGGTTTTGGGCCATAGTGCCCTGTAACGCGGGTTCACAAAGCTAAAGTCTGCGTGGGATGGGGAGTCGATGCCTGAATAATGGATTTTATTTTGAAATGGAGTCGACTTCAACCCGACGATCGATTCCAAATCTTGGAAATGAAATTAGACAATTGGGTTTTATTAGTTGAAACATCACAAATGTATTTAATTAACAGTCATTAGGGCAAAATTACTGTCTGCCTGCACGACAATATGTAGTTTAAGGAGAAATTGCATTCACGGTTTGCCTTGTATGGAATGTGCCACCTGTTTTTTTTTCCATTGCTAATTAAAGCAATCGGTTTACCTGCCAATATATCCGCCAGGGTGTTCCTACTGTAAACACACCTTCCATATCACGCCTAATCGATGACTGAAATGCGAACACAGCGTCACAACTACACCAATGCTGTGGACCCTCGCTAGACCAGTTATGCTAAGAAGCTGTCAGTATCAAAACTCGGCTGATGAAGCCGCTGCCGCTTTGGCGCTACGGTTACTGAAAACCTCTCAGTCGACGAGTTGCATGAAACGAGAAAATACCACCGTTTCAATTACAGCTGCAACCACTGTCCGCCACAACAACAACAACAAAAACCCACTCTTGCAAGTGTATATAAACATATATATTGCACAGTACGTATGTGGAACTTCGCACCGTACGTAGCCAACCGTGCTGATAAATCGTGATGTTGGGTTACACGTTGCAGTGGTGGCATTAGAAACAGCGTGAAGTGCAAGTAAAACAAAATCTACACGCAGGAAATTGAACGCAAAATTAACTTGATCGTGATAGTTGAGAGTAATGTGCATTGTACGTCGAACCAACACACCTGAAGACGACCGTTTGAGTTATGGTCGAAACGTCGTGAGAATTTTTTATTGTTTTATATATATTTTATTATTTTGTTGTTTCTCTTCAACGTGACTTTACCGAAAAAAACTAAGAATATGAATATATTTGTACGTCCTTGTTTGGGGTAGTGACATTGGTCAGCGGTCGTGAGTTCGGAGAGGTTCACGGTTCGAGAGTGGCGGCCGTCCTGTAAATTACTGCGGTTCAATAAACTACATAATTCTAGATTTAAAGCTTTCGTGACTGCAAGGATCCATACTCTTTGGTTCTATTCGGTAAAGTCACGTAAAAAACAACAAAAAATAAAAAAATTCACGACGTTTCGACCACAACACAAGTGGCCTTCATCAGGTGAAGGGACCAGACTGTCTAGAGGACAGCGCTGGAGTGAGACACTGAGACACTCCTCTAGACAGTCTGGTCCCTTCACCTGATAAAGGCCACTTGTGTTGTGGCCGAAACGTCGTGAATTTTTTTTTATTTTTTGTTGTTTTTTATGTGACTTTACCGAATAGAACCAAAGAGTATGGAAACTACATAATATACGCACAGTCTGCTTGGCAGTAGACGTTGCAGATCATGTAATGTCATTCGCAAGAGCAGGCGGGCATTACGTGCCGGCTTCATGGTTCAAGTTTGAAGAAATTACTCAATTGGAATATACAGAGCAATCATCGCCTTCCCTACTGCAAAACACTTGGCAAGAGCGTCCTGAAAAATATCCATGAGACTCAGTGAGGCTTTCTTGGGCAAACGAGCATAATAAAACAATTATATGAGTTGTTACATCACAGGGCTGCCAGAGATGGTGATGGTTTGGGGAGGCCTTCATCCAGCAGTGGATCGATTGTGGTTGATAAGTTATAGTATGCCTGTAATGGACACGTGTTCCCTGTTGTTTAAACAGAGAAGGGGAGTGCCACCAGAGGAGGTCCACGTTGAACATGGTCGCCAACGGGAGGTTTTTCACAATTATGGGTGCGTTTGCCCACACATCTCATGATCTGTCACATGAGTCTTGAATGTAGTGATCGGAGTACTTGCTTTGCATACTGCATTATGAGCCTGTATCTATGTATATTGAATTTATTTTGCACCGTACGTAGCCAATCGTGCTAAACTAAACACAAAAAGCAGTTCTAAAGAAATTAGTTTTCAATTTAAAACCTGGTAACTTGGGTTTAATTCCTGGCAACGGCTAAAATGAGTGGCAAATGATATCTCAACTGAATGAAAAAACGCGTGTGAGATTAGATGAAATGCAAATTCTAAAGTGAAATGTCAAATTATAATTTTAACTGTTACTTTATTGTGCAATGGTGGCTGATTTGACCGGCAACTTGAGTGAGATTCCTGACCACGACTAATATTGTGGCTCGTGAACTGGACCTGGGCCACCCCACCCTTCACCAACCTGCACTACACCAGCATGGTTAAATATAGTCAAACAGCCCCACACAACCAGCATGGCATTGGATTTACTATGGGGTATAGGGTTTAAGTTACAAAAGTAAGGTTATTTTTACAGCATTACATCAAGGAGATATTTTTTTTATAATACAGATGTGATTGAAATATATTGTAAATACAGTACTGTGTACAACTTGGGTGGGAAAAACTAAAGTAAAAACTACGTAAGAACAAAAAATGTCACGTCAAAATCGAAATGTACAATATTATGGTGATATTCTTGCAGCAGACAAAAATATTCCCATTGGTGGATGTCGATGATATTGGGCGTGAATTTGCCCACACTGCTGATTCGGAGGCGACATCACCGATAATCACCAAGCCTCCACATAGGCTATTGAATGACTCAATAACCTCCATATGCACACACACACATATTCCGTTGAAAATTTCTCCTTGCCATACACAAGAAGAAATAATTCCCATTTAAACGGTTGTTATTTTCTGCTTTCGTGGTTTCTCTATTAACCCTCAATGCACTCTGACCATCGTCATTGCTTTTTTTTGTTGCAGCATGGAAGAAGCCAACCCATATGAACATGATCGTGGTGCGCACAAACTACAATGAGTACGCCGTGATGTATGCCTACAAGGAGTCTGACAAATCTGTCAAGGTCCTGCGCTTGATGTGTGGGTGATCGCAGCGACTGACACGTTACACCTGCACATGCATCATTTAACAGTGCAGCAATAGTTTGCACTGATTAGGCACCTTTCGCAATGTCTCAAGGTGCCATGCTATGAAAAGGACACAGATAATACAGAACAGAATTTATTAGAATAAATATATATTTTAAAAATGTGTTTTAATCTGGAATTAAATATATCAACATTGTGGGATAACCTGGTCTCCGCAGGTACGGAATTCCACAACTTGGGGCCACCACAATAAACGCCCAATCGCCACAAAACTTAATCGAAATCGAGAGATTCACAGCAGGGCACCACTAGCAGATCTTAAGGACCTTATAGGTCAATATGATTGAATTAGCACTTGAATATGACGGAGAGCTAGTCCACTCAAGACCTTATATACGAGAAACATGATCTTAAATTGCACTCGTCTAGAGACAAGGGGTCACTGGAACTATGCAGCAACAGGAGGGATGTGTTCTCGCAGCGGGACAACCCTTGTGCACTGCTGGATGAAGGCCTCCCCAGGGCGTGTGGGTTGTGGGGGGGTTATTTAACCACACGTTGTGCTGGTAGGTGTGGGTTAGTGAAGGCAGGGAGCATAGAGGTGAAAGGATAGAAGTTCGTACTGTACATTATTTTAGCAAATAATTTTGCTCACTGCCCTCTGTTGCCCACCAGGTAGCCCCATAGCCTTGATGGTGCATGGTGGTCGCCTGTCAAAGCAATAGCCAGGCTAAAATCTGCTTAGCTTCTGAGACCTAATGGCATCAGATGGATCCTGGGTGATTTTTGGTGGTGGAAAATAAAAAAAAATATTTCTACATTTCCTGAGGTCACACTCAGCCAAAATGTTTGCAAATTTGTCGTAAGAATGATAGGTGCTATTCAAAAGGTGCAATGTTTAACTCTGTCCCCAAGATAACGTGAAAACCTTTGTGCTCATTAAGGGTGGTACGTACGACTAATGTACTATACGTCATGTGAGTTACTCGGTAATTGCATGTGTGCCAAAGGTTCAGTAGCTGAAAGGCCATCAGAAAAATAAAACGTTTCAATTAGTAATTATACAGTATATCTTTAACAGCCAGAATATTCCACATTTTCATTCTCAGATTTGAGTCCAGGAAGGATTTTTTTGTCATTCATGGCAAGAGAAACATAAAGGCAGGGACGTCTTGCAGTAAAGTTTTAATGTTTAGCCAGTTAATTCTACTCCTAAACAATGACTCATTTACATGTGCCAACGTTAATTTAAAAAAAAACATCGTTTGTTTGAGATGCAAACATTGGCTACATTATTCGTCATTGATGAACAAATAATACATTACATCATGTTATATTATATACCATAACTACATTATATCCTATATAGCTGAGACGTATACATTGTAATGAAAGTTTCATATATATACAGTCAATTGGCAATATTTATTAAGTGTTGCATGTGCTGTTTCGTTATGCCTTTTGTCATATTTAAACTATTAGTTTACATATATACTGTATTGCTTTGTGATCGAGCTCCCTGTAAAAAAAAAAAAACCTCCATAAATCTGGGTCACATGGCTCTCACCTGCTTTGAATATCAATGAATTATTGACGAACAAAAACCCCATTAAAAAACATAAAATAAAACATTTTAAAAACACAAAAAAACCATAAATCTGGGTCACATGGCTCTCACCTGCTTTGAATATCAATGAATTATTGACGAACAAAAACCCCATTAAAAAACATAAAATAAAACATTTTAAAAAGACAAAAAAACCCATAAATCTGGGTCACATGGCTCTCACCTGCTTTGAATATCAATGAATTATTGACGAACAAAAACCCCATTAAAAACATAATTTTTTTTTTAAAACAAAAAAAACCCCATAAATCTGGGTCACATGGCTCTCACCTGCTTTGAATATCAATGAATTATTGACGAACAAAAACCCCATTAAAAAACATAAAATAAAACATTTTAAAAACACAAAAAAACATAAACCTAGGTCACATGGCTCTCACCTGCTTTGAATATCAATGAATTATTGACGAACAAAGAGACAGTAATTTACTTACATCTTTTCATCACAGTTTCAGTCATGTAATGCGCCTTGATTTTTAAATCGTCGATCAAAGTTTGATCTTTAACAGCCGGGATGACTTATATGACAAGGCATATAAAAAAAAATCAAATACTCGGTGGCCTGCACATTAAGGCAGGTCCAGAAGTTCACCCAAGTCTCAACGATTAATGCTCGTGCAGGGAGGTAAAGTTTTATCTGAAAACCTAGCATATTTGATAGCCAGATCTGTGCACTACCATGTCAGGTTTACAGCCAAAACAGAGTTAATCAGTACGGGACTGCAAGGGTTGCTTATCCAGCTAAAGCGAGGTTGATTTGAAAGGTTTGTTTAGTCGGTCAAAGAACGGTCATTCACCTGCTCTGTTGGGGATTTCTAGCCCGCGTCAGCTAAACAAATCTGAACTATGGAATTGCTCACCACCACACGTCAAATCAGTTCATGACCAATCCTAAAGTGTGATTTTGTGCGGGCGGCACATACCATTAGAACGAATAATGCCTGCTGGACAGGACTGATGACAGAGGGGACGCACCTGAGAGAATAAGCACAGTGGAGAATGAGCAATGAGATGAGATGCCGTGCAGGAGTGAGATAGATCCTGGCGTCGCAAGACTGCGAGTGACGGCAGATGGTGTTGTGAGGCCTCCATCCAGCAGTGGATAGACAATGGCTGTTGGTCATCTTGATGGCACCAAGATTCCACAGATGAATAGCATCTTGGATGGCTTTGCTTTCAGTGAAGGTTGTAGTTATGTGTGGCAGGTTATCAAAGTGTGTCTGTGTACTGGATTGTAATTGGTCAGTATATTATCTAACCATTGCATGCAGATGTCACTCACTCCTGGGTGTTGTCGTCAATCTGCATTTTTTGACAAGTTTATAACATATATATATAAAAATATGCCGTTTTCAAAATAAATTTATGCAAACCGACACACCTGATGATGACCGTTTGAGTTATGGTCGAAACGTCGTGAGAATTTTTTATTTTTTTATATATATTTTGTTATTTTGTTGTTTCTCTTCAACGTGACTTTACCGAAAAAAACTAAGAATAAGTTTATAACAGTCTGAAGCCGCAATAAAAACTGTAAAACATTATGAGGCTGATATTAGGTCTTTAGTGCATTTCTATAGAATGTCAAAAGGCTGTGCATTAAAGCCATTTGAACAATAAACAACACAATCAGTCAACATAAATTATGAAACAAAAGTCAAACAAAAACACGAGTAGAGCAGATTGACACACTGTCAACAGCTCTGTCAACCAACATCACCCCACAGAGAAGATGAAATGCCCTGCAGTTCATCCGGTGAATGTGTAATGATTGAAGCAACATCTAGAATAGTACAAATAATTTCAACTTGTAACGCACCGCACAGTATTTTTGCTCGCTCTCGAGGAGAGAGACAATGACCCGGAGGCACAAGGAACAACAGACAAGCAGGAAGGTAGCCGCACGGTGAGCTGGTGCCAACAATTGCCCAATTGTTTATGCAACCAGCAAAAGAACGGGAGATGTGACCATACGTTTTGGAGATAGAAGGTTACATGGCTGGGGGGAAATCATGGACTCTTTTGTTTTATGCTGTACCTATGTAGCAGCAGAGGAGAGGAGGATGGTCTTAAGTCTGGACATGAAGACAGTAGGGAATGATGATGATTCATGTGCATGTTAATGTGTGTCTCTTATCATAGCCAGGACCCAGGAAATCAGAGACGACCTCATGGATGAATTCCGAAGCCTCTGCCTGGAGCTTGGCCTGACCGATGAACAGATCTTCATGCTCACTAATGATGGTGAGAATTGGAGTTGGCACTAAGAACCGTACTATCAATGGAACATGCAACCCAAGACAACAAACAGCTCCTACCCTGTAGATTCACACCGAGGCGGTGTGTCTTATCGGGCCTGTCCAATATGGATTTTAATCTTTGTTCATGAGAACATGACACTTCAAAATCCACAGTCAGGCACCATTTTACAGTGCACCGATGTCACTAGTACATTCACAAAGTTGTAGGCGTCTTCTTATTTTTCCATTTGCTATCAGAGGTCAATATCCAAATCACTCACCCACCCACTTGATAGCCTTGTTATCAAGTTCAGTAATGTACATGTAGTGGTCGACTTGACGTGGACAACTTTCTTGTTTTCTCCGACACCACTTTTATTACAACTCTTCACATTTCGTCTGTGACTCCGTCATTCCGCTTAGCCGCAGCTCGCTCGCCGCGCTCCACCCGTCTCGCTCACTCCGCTTCCTCCCCTGTCCCTCACTGTCCCTCTGCGTCGTCCCTGTCTCTCTCCGTCACTCGATGTCTCTGTCTCTATCCATCACTCGATGTCTCTGTCTCTATCCATCACTCGCTGTCCCTGTCTCTCTCCATCGCTCGCTGTCTCTGTCTCTCTCCGTCACTCGCTGTCTCTGTCTGTCTCCGTAGCTCGCTGTCTCTGTCTCTCTCCATCGCTCGCTGTCTCTGTCTCTCTCCGTCGCTCGCTGTCTCTGTCTCTCCTCGTCACTCGCTGTCTCTGTCCGTCACTCGCTGTCCCTGTCTCTCTCTGTCACTCGCTGTCTCTGTCTCTCTCTGTCACTCGCTGTCTCTGTCTCTCTCTTCGTCGCTCGCTGTCCCTGTCTCTCTCCGTCACTCGCTGTCCCTGCCTCTCTCCGTCACTCGCTGTCTCTGTCTCTCTTCGTCGCTCGCTGTCTCTATCGCTCTCCGTCACTCGCTGTCTCTGTCTCACGCTGTATCGCTGTCTCTGCCTGTCTATGTCCCACTCCGTCTCTCTCTGCCTGTCTCTCTCTGCTTGTCTCTACTCGTCTCTACTCTACTGCTAGCCTGTTCTGTCTCCTATGTCTTCGCTCCGGTTCTCCCCGACCTGCTTCGTTCCAGTCCCAGCGACAACAACTCCACTCCTTCTTCCCGTCTCCCGAATATGTCCCCGTTCTCATTACCAACCAATTAATTAGGCCGCGTGCCACCGACGCCCCCCCCCCCGCACCTGTTACTTGCCCCCCTCTATTCCCAGACATCCCGGCGCCACTCCGCCCTTGACAGCAACCCCAGCCAATCACAGCCGTACATCGCTCTCCAGCTTAATTGGCCCGTCAGTACCGCACAGTTAACCCGCCGCCACACCTGGCCGGCCCCATGTAACCCCACTGGTCCATAACTCGCGCGTCTTTGCCATTCCTCCCCCTGTATGCGCGTGTTAATCCACTACATACGTATATGGTTATGTGCTATAAAGAAAGACCATTGCCCGAAACATCGCCTATTACACATTTTTATTTTTAAGGCAGTGTATAATTGATGATGACTGTGTTGAGTTAGTGCACGGCTGCTCCAAAGAATACGTGTTTAGTTGTAGAAGTGATGTCGCCGGACGTCGCGACAGTGTCATATCGACAACCTCGAATGTAACTTTGAAGCCTTTTATTCTCATTGACACAGCTTTAACGTCATGTCAAACAGCGCAGACCACATGGCACGGGGGCACGTGTACACGGTGTATGCAAGATGAGAGCCGTGTGTGTGTGTGTGTTTCGTTTGGTCTTCCTTCAATGATATATAACCAACACCGGCAATGAATGGTGCCGTCATTGTACTGGATAATTGCACCACAGAATGAGTTATGTATTTTGTTACAGCTCATTTGCACCAAGCATGGCTTAATCTTTCACGCACAGGTAACGTGGACACAAAGGGTAGACGATTTACATATGTTTTGCAACAACGGCAGCGCGTTGGGCAGTATATGCGATCAGATCGAGATGTGGAATCTTTTCTTCTCAGAGGAATGCGTTGCCGGTGAAGATGGACTGGGCCTCGTACCACAGCGGGTGCGTTATCATCATCACCATCAGCCATGATCAATCCACTGCTGGATGAAGGCCTCCTCAGTGTTATTATAACACAAAGAAAACAAGGGAAATTAGCTGGCTCGCCAGTCCTAATAGAACCTAAGATTTGTAAGGGGATTTGACTGCACAAACAGTGCTTGAGAAATGATGAAAACTCAATGTACATAGATGTTATGCGCCAACACCCACGCACACGTATTCTAAGACACATTATAATAGCATTTGTACATATGATTACATTATTATTTATAATTTAAAATGCATTTTCAGAAGTATTTCAATGCTAATCTTGTCCAAACATTATACGGATCTGGATAGTAGTATGGATGACTTGTGTGATGAATTTCAAAGGAATTGATTTAGCGGTTTTGTAGTTTTGTAAAAGTGTCAAGTATTCCTTCGACGGACAGAAGAACAGAATGTCATATATATGTCCTCAAATATCCTTGTAAGTGGTCTCTCCTATCAGCACCTTGAACAAAGGTTTCATAACTATTTGTTTTGTAGTAACAGCTAATCAGATGAATTGAATGCTTGAGCTGCTTCTATACTGTATATTGTTCACAGCGAGTGCCCCGTGCCATTATGGAAGCGGAGGAAGAAGGCTCTGGATTTCAACCTGAAAACAAAGGTGAATTAAGGCCCAGAAATAATATATCCCACCAAACTCTTCAAAAACATATACATTTTATGCTGCAAATAAATAGCAATAATATACTCAAAAACATACTGAGCTACATCTGCTGTAACAGTGAAGACAAAATTCCACGTTAAACACGATACCCAGTAAACATGGACGCGTTGGGCCAACGTTGCACGTTTACTGGGTATATTCCTGCAAGGAATGCGCTGTTCCAAAGCCGATTACACAATGCATCGGCAAGTTGCCTTGTAACAGCAAATGGCTTCTCAAGTCAGAATCATGACCATTTATTTGTGGCGACAAAGTGACTCGTTGCAGTTTTACCGCTGCGATGCTGATGGTCTCTGACTTTACAAAAAAATCGCCAGTGTTGAGTAGATCACAGATTTAAAAAACTGAACACTTTTGAAAGTCTATGCAAGGTGTACAGGAGATGACAGTAGAGCAGTGGATTCCGGAATATATCTGTGGTATACTCTGGTTTCCTCTCACGCGCCACTCATTTATGGAATTGGATGAACATCAAGCATGTTTACATTGGCTCGAGTGAAAATGGGTCAGAGGCCTTCCAAACAGTTGGAGATTATTTTGAATGTGGGATGTTGGAACTCCTATGGGGTATCCAGGTCAAAGGTCAAGCCATGTTTACACAATTATCCCAATACAGGAGCCTACTGAAACACGGTCTTAAGGTTGAATGAAGCTTTCTTGCAGCAAGAGAGTATCAACTTACACATCACGTTGGCATCATTACTGACACCTTTCAGTACGCTATTGCACTGACCAGTTAAGTAAATCAGATTGCAGTGACTGGTTAAGTAAAACTGAACTTAGCAACCAGTCAAGTAGTTAACACAAAGCACGCCTGATCCCGCAGAGCTCTGCCTACTGCCCTCCGATTCCGGCCCGTGCTTTGGAATGTTCAACAAGTTCTACTACAACAAAACGTCCATGAACTGCGAGTCCTTCGTCTATGGAGGCTGTCTGGGGAACAAGAACAGGTTCACGACGGAGAACGAGTGCTTCAGCACCTGCCGCACCGAAGGTACAAACCCAGTGGGATACACCACTAATGGCTTGGTACTGAAACCCAGGTGGCCAGCATTGAGACACGTTCAGCTCACCATCACGTACAGCACAAAGGACCGTATGCTGCATTCCGTGCTATCGTGGTGGGTTGTAGGTAATCGGTGTGTTTAAGACCAGACTAAAACGTGCATTTTCTCTTCTGTTTAGTTAACACTTTATTGGTGCCATCCGCGCTTCCATCTGAGCTTTTTTGGAGAATATGGCGCGTTACAAATCTTGGAACGGTTAAATATTGTAATAGACAAGGCTCTATGTCGCCATTAAGACATTGTACTCAATTGATATATCAGCATATGGGACTTCTCACCAATGTTTGATGTAATAGCGGATCATGGCTCCAGGTTGAGGAGGCAATAAAGGCCACCTTATGTTCTCCAGTCTCAGGTGACGTGTGCAGGTGAATTCATTGAAACACTACAGTGTGCTCGCAGTGGCTTCATCATCATCAGCAGTGCTTTCTCCACCAGACCAACGCATATTGCCCACGCAGCTTCCCAGAAGAGCTGATCTCGTGGAAGCTCAGAACTGGTGCATTATCTCCACACATTACCTTTGTGTTCTAACCATCAATTAATCCACCTGAAAATTTGTTTAAAGCAAATAACACCACTTTATCAAATGTTTGAAAAAAAATTACACGTTTTTATTTGCTTTGAAAATCACGATGCGGTAAATGGGTTAAAAATAAATCATCAGCCTACCGCTGGGTTAAAGAATGTGAAGTTGGCCGTGGCTGGGAATGAGTCTCAGGTGGCCTGGTTCACAACGCAGTGCGCTAACCACTGCGCCAAGGCTCCCCCTTATGTTGGCCAACTCTTCCATCCTGGCTAAATGTCTGCGAAAGAAGTGGGTGGTACTCCCATTCAACCCACACTAATCCCATCGCCGAACAACGAACTACAAGTGTGTGTGTGTGTAAATCCTGTCTAAATGCAATGACGATGGCGTGCGTAAGCAGCTGCGGCAGTGGTAGCGGTGAGCGCAGCGAACCCGGCGGCGACCCGAGTTCGATTCCCGCTCACGGCCACCAATACCGGCGACGATAATCAGAACCGGTCCTGGGCCCTCCCAGGACCGGCACATGATGGGGTGGGTGGTCAGCGTGGTGCTGACCACCCACCCCATCGTGTGCCGTGTCGGGCTTCATAGTTGCTCGCTAACAGCACTTGCCCCAGCAGTCTGTAAAGGCCCCCCCCCCCTCTCCTCCACCCCGATCTGTGGTTTGTACGCAGCTGCGTGCAGGCTGCCCGTGGACGTGGGGCGCTGCAAGGCCAGGAAGCCTTCATGGGCCTTTGACTCCGCCAAGGGCGCCTGCTTCGCCTTCAACTACGGCGGGTGCAAGGGCAATGCCAACCGCTTCGGGTCTCGGGAGGAGTGCGAGAAGCACTGCGGCGTATCGCAGTGACTTTGCCAATGACGGTGGTGGTTGGTTGGTGGTGATGATGAAGGAGCAGCCCAATAAAGTAATTCCAAAATAATTCGGCTGGAAGGAGCTTTTGTGACCGATTGCAAGGAGGCAGGCAACTGGAGGAGCCACAAAGCCAAGCACGGGACATATTTACATTGTTTGTGTGTTCCTCTCAGGGCCACCAACATTGCTATCATCATCAGTATTGTGGCATGAGAAAAAGTGTTAATTTGGAACTCTTCCAGAGCAGTGTGTTTAAAGTGTGGCACGCATCTCTTCAACAGTTGATATAAGAGAGACCGTTACTTGGAATTTGAGTTCTGCAGATGCTTAGCTCTAGTCTAACATACCCTTAAATGCAATCAAGTCTAGGCTGTTTGAATGAAAATAAACTTTGTTTTTAATCAAAATAATTTGGTTGTGAAGCACACACACATGCACCAACACAAACTATTCTCAGATGCACTGCACTATTGTGGGACGCGCTGTTAGTGAGCACCTACAATGACCAGCATTGTACATGTTGGAGTCGAATAGTAAGCATATCAGTACCGGTCATCTTTGCTTCATGGCAATGGTGTTGACACAGCAATCACCACTCATTTAATTCCGAGTCAACCTTCGAGAGCGTCAGAGCGAGGCATATGACCCGCCCCTATTGGACATCTGTGAAAAGAGCTTCATAGCTCATCGGATTCCCCCAGTCAAAACGATTCTGAAATCCCAAGGTTAGATACCGAACCTAGATTACTTGCAGCGCATTGAGATATGACCACAGTTCATCAACAATGATACATCCACTGCTGGATGAAGGACTCCCAAAGCCATTGCCATCTCCTGCGGTCCTCCAGTGGCACGTCGTGGTTGATACTCCCAGTCTCAAGCGTGTTCCACCCTTTGGCTGCCACTCCATCGTTAGTCTTGACCAGCGGCCATCGTCCCCTCGAAGCGAAGTCTCCTCACCCAGCCCACTTTCCTTAACAGTGCGATTTCACAGATTGGCGTACATTCTGAAACGCACGTCCTCGTCTTCCCGTCTCTCGAGTCAGTTCAAGCATGTTACTGCCGGCTCCATATACGGAAAGCACACAATATTTAGGGACAATCCTGTAGCACGGCCGTATTTGAATGTGGGTTATACCAACATACAGGGAAGGGTAGGGTCCTGAAGAGTCAATGTTAAACAAATGGAATCCGTGACTTTATAACAATTCACAAGTGGAGGTGAGTGTTCAGCTGGGGGGGGGGGCTCAGCCCCCTAAAGACCCCATGACCCTATGGGGAAGTTTATCGAGTATTTAAATAGGATCAAGTACACAATATTTGCGGAGTGCTCAAGCTAGTATCGAGGGAGTTAGTATAACTATTGATACCCTTAAGAATGCACAAACCGACAGTGAAACGATTACTCCGTTGAGTTTACTTTAAAAAAAAAAACCTCCCACGTGGCAATGGAACAACAGCAAGGAGAGATTATGAAAATAGATCGAGGTATATGCTGTGTTGATGGGTCATTTAGCAAAATAAAACAGCACCAAAAAAGTGAATGACTTAAAATAACAAACTTTATATATATATAAAAAAAATAACCTGTTGTACCTTGCACTTGCGCATCCACACACATTCCACTTTAATAGCATCATAACTAAGACTTTTTTTTTAATAAACTTTTTTTTCAAGTCAAAACATTTACACACAACGTACAAATGTTGGTGTTGGATATAAAAATTATTTTTTGTAAAAACAGGCAAAATTTACAGGTTTTGACATCTCGAGCCAGTTTGCTTGACATGAAATGGCGACTTTAAATAATATTAAATAATTTCCTGGAAAAAATTCTATTTTGTACAACGTAATCTGTCAATAAAAATGTATGTACAATATATGTGATAAAGTTAGTTTTTCTACACAATATTGAACACTTGCCTACTTCAAATGCTTTTTATAAACAAGACGTAGCATGGAATTGACATTATCCTTAACACTACAGCTCTGCTGAAGTTCATATAATTATATTTCACGATTTAAGTTTTACAAATGGTACAATTAAAACTGTCAAACATTGTGATCACAAGTCCAATATGTGGCTGACAATATGTATTTTTTTAAAGTAGGCCTTCGAGTGAATTTAAACACACGTAGGGAATTTAAATCAATTATATGGACGTGCATATGCTGCGTAATACACCTGTATGCATATTGAACTTACGTAGCCAACTGTGCCAATTAGAGGTGTGGGGGAAGGACACCAAACTAAACACAAAAAGCAGTTTTAAAGAAATGAGTTTTCAATCTAGATTTAAAAGTACACCTGCCGTGACGATTCGCAAACGGTAGTCTATGCACTATGCATTGTTGATTAACTGCAGTTCTTGACAACCTCAAGCAAAGGATAGTTTGGGCTAATGAGATACGTTTAGAAGTAGAATAAGGATGTTTTTGTCGCAGGCTTTTGTGGCAATAACTCATCACGATTGCACTGAGTGGGGTCTACAGAAATGTCTGATGTCATCTTCGACGTCTTAACCACTCACAACGGAAGCTCCGCTCCTGCATTGAGACGCTCACCTGCATGGAGTCAATTGATTTTTAAAAGTATGAATTTTACAGGTCATAAGAAAAAAAAAGAGTAAAGTTTGAAATATAGTACTGTTCTGCATTTCTCAAATGTTACCAGAGCAGTTCTCAACATAGCGACATCACATTGCACAGAGGTGCTGTGATTTAAAAGTTTTCCATTCATGTATACGGTGCTTAAGAGTTGTCTTTTTACGAAGCTTATCGACATGAAGACTTACCTAATCATCTGACTAGTTGTGGACGAGACATTTCAAATTGAGCCAATTAAAAGCGTACACAAGATACAGTGGAAAATCAGCAATGTGTAAGGTGTAGGCCCCCGGTGCTTGGAATTGTGAAATATCTCGACATCTTTCTGTGGGCAGGAAACTTGCCAGGTACAAACAAAGCGTCCCGTGTGCATGGCTTGAAAGTGAGCATATTGCGGCTTTTTTTTTTTAAACAACCCACCCTAAAGTGACAACTACGATGCCTGTCCCACCACTCCAGGGTGCAACAAACCAATCAGCAGCAACTTACCAGCAACGAAGCCGAGTCGCTATGGTGAGAAACTGTGTGATTTGGCCGTAAGGGTTTTGGAGGATGGGGTGAATTTTTGTGTATTTTTTTGTTCCTTTGTTTTATTTTTTTAAATTATTTGAAGTTAAAAACGAATAAGTTTTGTCATTTATATGAGGTAGTAAACTTAAACACAAAAAACACACCAGCACCAATTTGAATTATCACAATGGTTTTTTTGTAAAATACATAATAAAAAAAATGTCACTGTGCACAAAAGCGTAATTAAATGTAGCAACAGACATCAAACTGCTGTGTTTTGTGAGCACCGAAGGTATTAACACTTTAGCATTCCCAGATATGTTTGCAATATGTGTTGGAGCACAGCACCAAATCACGTTATTTAGTATCGTCAGTTATTGCACATCTGGAAACGATCAGACTCTCGATCCAACAGCTTGCATCCACAAGTGCCGCTGTGGCCGAGCGTACTATTAAATAATTATTTACAAACGCCTTCACGATTGCAGCGAGGACGAGTCGAACGAGCGCGGATCAGCCCGTAAAAAAAAATAATAATCCTTTTTCGCGACCAACCCCAAGCCTCGTTTCTTGCATATTTCAGCAGTCCTCTCTCACGGCTGCGGTCAACGCCAATATATGAACGCGCCACAGTCGGTAGAGAGAAACGTTTCTGCGTAATTTTTGGCAAATTGCGTTGCTACCATGGTGGGTGTGAATTCCACATATTCTTATATAAAAATAGAATAGAAAGTTGGATTTAATCTTTCAAAATGCTAGTCCTTTTGTAAAACCATGTAATCCTTCATTTCATACTTGCTAATAAAAAATATAATAAGAATTTGCATAAGTATCTTCAAAGGAAGCAGACGGGTCCCACTTCAAGATGGTACTGGGAGTCGGGCTTCTGGTGAGTAAAATGGACGTCTACAATTGGCAAGTGGTTGACATCCTGAGTGGTAAACAGAAACTCGGTCTTGTGCCACTTCCCATCGTCCATCTGCGAGGAGGAACAGACACAAACGAGTGAGCAGTGGGTCAAACGAACGGTTAAACCCAGGGAAAATTCCATGGACACGTCATCTACGGTAGAAATGCCAATAGAACGACCATCAATCAATACGTTGGCGATACTACTTTAATCTTCGGAAATAATATTTGCTAGTTGCTGCCATTGCTGATGTACCATCTTCGTGAAGCCACATTCGTGAGCCATTACATTCATTTCATGATCGAAAAATATTATTCTTACACATTCAATTCAATGCATGAATCATGAGCTTAAAAGTCACTATTGATATATTGAGTCATCATTACACCTCGAATGTTTATTAAATAGCAGACACATTGCTGATGTAATTGTATGGCCCAGCTTTAATTTGTGACTGTAATATCTACAGACACAATGAGCAATAGTTCATTTGAAAGACAATGTTCAAATTCAAAATGTGTGTACAGTACACATCCCCGCAACTGCTTATAATTAGCGACAAAAGTACTTTTGGAAAAAAACGTACGAGGGAAAACATTTGGAACACTTAACCACCATCACCATGCTTCGAAACCACCGGCCAACTATCGCAATCCCTGCAATTTAATCAGAGCAAATAAATGCATCTTGTGTCGGATATGTATGCACGTATGCTGAACTTCTTTCACGCCGTACGTAGCCAACCGTGCTAAACCGGAGGTTGCGAAATCGACCAATCGATCGACCGTGCTTGATCCTCCAACCCTGAAACGCACAAGAGGGATCGAAAAGCCCCTTTGAGACAGGCGTCGCCGTCCGCTCAAGCGACCCAACGACCGCCTTGGCCGTCCGTACCCGGCAGCCGTCGTGGAGCACGCGCGGCTCCAGGAGGCCTCCCGGCTCATAGAGGCGGCCGCTCCATGCGCGGAAGCGTGCGGCGTGGCGGTGAGGGTGCGGTGAGGAGGGGTCCTCCCAGGCTGGCCCGCCGCGGCAGTGCACGGTCACCGGCTGCACGGCCTCCGAGCTCAGCAGGTGCAGGAAGTTCATCTGTATCTTGCCCACTCCAAAGTCCAGCTGAGGGGAGGAACGAGAGCGGCGGGCAGGTCAGCGACGCGTCGTGACGCGAGCGAGTGGTTGCAAGGTGCGGGATAGGATTGTAACAATTTTATTCAAGAATCAATTGATTTTTACATTGATATATATGTATTTTTAACCATAAGATGCCGCCACCCTTGTTCCGAGAGACCGAGCGTGAGGCCTTTTGTCTAAACGTTACAGGCTGTTCCTTGATCTTATATGTCTTGTTACTTAAAGGGATCAATAAGTGATCTTTTGTGAGCAAATATTACCGCTTGTATAAGTCTTCCAGACCACAATGTGGAGCAGTTCATGGCTGCGCTTTAGGGTTAATGCATTTCCCCCCGATTGGATCCTGGTTATTTTGTGGCATCACGAAATTACACGAAGCAATGTGATGTAGGAACTGTTGCAGACCAGTGCATCACCCCGCGTGTATACGACAGTGCTCTGAAAAAAAAGGTGACGTCACAAAACTACTCCTGAGATCCCTTTAAATGACTTCTTTTCCACACTGGGGGCACTGCATTTTCCCACGTGCAGTACACCAGAGAAACGTCTGCGACATGGCAGTCAGACCCATACATTTAATTTTCAGAGTTGCAATATTTGCCAAATTAAGTGAAAAACCCAACGTAATATGTTTTTTTTTAAATTAATAATTGGTGACTGGGCTGAGCGCATCAACTCGTTATACTTGATAATCTGATATGAGCACAGGTGAGGACCCCCTAGATTAAAACCCATGATTTCATTAGTGCTCGAACCCTGAACCTATTTGAAAATAACTCTCACAAGCACGATTCGATGCATGTATCATGAGTGTTGAGAACCTAATTCGAATCAATGAATTGATGCATTGTTACTTGCCCAGTGCCAGTTATCTGGCGAATGTGGTCCCGTGAAATAGCAGCGCACATTCTGGCCAATAGGAAGTTCTTACCTTGCTCATGGCCAGTGGCTTTAGGCATGTCTGGCCACCAACAGTAAAGTTGCAGAAAACGTCAATGCTGTCCGAGGAGCAGCCGAGATTTGGGTCAATCCAGTAATTACCTGGTAGAGAACAGTGCGATTGAAAGTTAGATGCAAGAATAATAGAGAATTTACGATTTTACAACAACACCGGAACATGTTCCATTCATTTAACTAGATAGTACAACAACAACCAAGAGTTAGATACGTTGATATAAATGATGCAAACATGTTTGGCAGCCACGATGCTGCACACAATAGTGTTTAAAAACACAACCCAAGTAAACACATCTAACATATCTCATGATACACCCATTGCATATGTGCCCGAGGCTAGTGTTTCGCAACTCCACTCCTCGTGACCCTCCCACGGACTGCATATTTGCGATAACCAATATTTTCCATTGGGACCCAATTTAAGCCACTGCACTCTGCAGGGCACCTGGATGGTTGGTAATCATGGCGATTTGCAGGGACGTGGGGATTGGAGTTGAGAAACACTGGTCGAGGCTGTCCAGCATGAGTTTTAAGCTGAGTGGAAATTACAGGTCAGGAAGCCTCTATAGGAGGGGTGGGCCAACCTGTAACAGATCAAGAGCCAAAAAGTACCCATGAGTTCTGCAAAGAGCCAAGTGTATGTATAAGTGTGTATATATTGCCAGTTTTCAGCACAGCATGGGAGACATTCACTAGTCTTGCTACTGTGATCGTATGTTTAATGTTGTTATGCCCTTTCCATAGAGCCGCATGTGGTGGATTAAAGACCACATGTGGCTCGTGAGAATCCAATTGGACACTGCTGCTATATAGCATCCTCTTGTAACATCACTGCAATGTGCCTGCCGTAGCTTTTAATAGTGAGATGGTGCTGATAGATTTGTAATCATAATTGTTTACTCTGATTCCAGAAATCATCACTTTTCAATCTTGACTTAAAACTTTCGTGACTGCAGGAATTCATATTCTTTGGGTCTTTCGGTAAAGTCACGTAGATAGGTTCAAAGAAAATAACAAAAGACCAGGGGCGGAGCCAGGATTGACTTTGGGGGGGCTGACTTCAATATTCTGAGATATCCAGTGTATGTTTTCCAATGGGCGCCACAAATGTTTAAAACAAATTTTATTGGATTTGAACGCGGAGTTTATTAATAGATCGGAGCCACTGATGTGGCTAATAAGTTCGATAAGTTGGAAAGGCTGCCGCTCAAGCAGCCTACAGGGCAGCACAAGGTGGCAGCCTGCAGGGCAGCACAAGGTGGCAGCACGAGGTGGCAGCACAAGGTGGCAGCCTGCAGGGCAGCACGAGGTGGCAGCCTGTAGGGCAGCACAAGGTGGCAGCCTGCAGGGCAGCACGAGGTGGCAGCCTGCAAGGCAGCACGAGGTGGGAGCCTGCAGGGCAGCACAAGGTGGCAGCCTGCAGGGCAGCACAAGGTGGCAGCCTGCAGGGCAGCACAAGGTGGCAGCCTGCAGGGCAGCACAAGGTGGCAGCACAAGGTGGCAGCCTGCAGGGCAGCACGAGGTGGCAGCCTGCCGGGCAGCACACAAGGTGGCAGCCTGCAGGGCAGCACAAGGTGGCAGCCTGCAGGGCAGCACAAGGTGGCAGCCTGCAGGGCAGCACAAGGTGGCAGCCTGCAGCATTTTGCAGCAGCCGGATATCCGGTTATCCCGATTACCGACTTTCCCAAAATTTCAGGCGGAGCTAAGCCCCCCCCAGCCCCCCCTGAGGCTCCGCCCCTGCAAAAGACTATGACGTTTCAATCGCAACACAAGCGATCGTCATCAGGAAAGGGATGATGACGACCGCTTGTGTTGCGATCAAAACGTCGTAGTCTTTTGATATTTTCTTTGAACCTATCTATGTGACTTTACCGAAAGACCCAAAGAATATCACAGTTCAGGTCCACGATATGAAATACATTTTCTCGCTGTTGAAGCTTCACGCTTGAATCAGAAAATGTATTTACACTGGAGGAATCCGATGAACTATAAAGCTCTTTTTCACAGATGTCCAGTCGAGGCACGTCAGAACGTTACAAGAACGAACAATATAAAACTACGATAGGAGTGCAAAGTATATGAAAGGTAAACAAATCACTTAAAAAATATATATACAAATAAAACTAAACATTTTTTTAAATCTTACCAGGTAAAGCCCACTGAGCTATTAGTTTTTTTTTTTCAGAAGCGACGTGGCCACAAATGATGGTTCAACCAAGTGGCCTGACTTGGACATCGCCTGACACACAGTCAAGGCAATGCATTTACAAAGCGCCGGCTGTGAATGGCCTCCGTTGTGCTCGGGGAGCCACACGGGGGCCCTTCTGTTCCCGGTGCCGAGCTCTCACCGTCAGCCACCTTCTGCTCGCAGTTCAGGAGGTCGCGGCAGATGCGGGCGGGGTTCTCGCGCGAGCCCATGGGGTTCTTGATGCCCTGGATGAGCGTGCTGAGGTAGTGCAGAGTCTTGAGTATCTCCACCCCCTGCTCCATCGCCGGGAGGGTGGAGTCCTGATAGGTCTGTGGCAGCCGTGCGTGGGTGTGTGCGCATGCACGCGTGTGTGTAGAGCGCGGTAGAGCAGTGGTTAGTGCGCTGCGCATCGAGCCGGGCGGCCCAGGTTTGATTCCCGCTCACGACCCACGAGAGTGATATCTGAAACGGTCCTGGGCCTCCCCTAGGTCGACTCAGCCTCAAACGAGTACTTGGTGCAGTGCGGAAACATCGCCACCAGGGAGACAAAGGCGGCCGCGGGTGATGCTGGCCACCCACCCCCTCGTGTGCCGCGCCGGCCTTCACAGGTGCTCGCTAACAGCACTCGCCCCACAAGTCTATTCAAGCTATACTAAGGAATCTTTGTCAACACAGGGTCTGTCTCATGGGCACATGCGGCACTCCGTGCTGCCCTCACCTCTATGTTAAGTGCTGTATTGGACTCGATGAAGGCTTGGAGAGCTGCGCCAAAGTCGTGTTGTCTCTAAAGGTAGACACAACAGATTGGGGAGAACCATTGAGTGTGTTCCACACTGTGCATCAGCAACATGCAAAGTAACATCGCGGCACTGAACCCAGATGTCAACATGGGAAATTATTTGGTGATGTTGCCATGTTGGCAGTGGTGCGCAAGCACAATTAACAAAAATACTCAACGCATTTGTCAATAACGATGCCTTCACGCGCAAAAATGAAGGAGGACCATTTCCCGAAACGTCGCCTATTTTATATTTGAAAGTTTATTTCAAGGCAGTATTATGAATGATTGTGTTCTTTTTAAAAAAAATATTAATTTAATTCATACCGTATGTGTGTAGCATGCAGTTACCATTCCAAAGTAATTTGTATGAGATTTAGAAAATCTGTGCTCAGGGCAAACCGAACTGAATTTGTAACGATCGCTTTCGTCAGATGTAAACGACAAAGTCAATCGTGACTCACCAAAGAGCTCGGTAGAGCCGGAGGACCCTGGAACAAAAGCGAATGCAGCAAAGTTAAATCTGCAAAATGCATCGGTTACTATAATATAACAGGGGGAAGTGGTGGTGCAGTGGCGAGCGCACTGTGCTATTAAGCCTTGCCAAGTGAGCTAGATCTCCAACCACGGTTAACGTCAGTGACGAGCGATATCCGAATCGGTCTCGCATGCCTTTCACAAAATTGCAATCACCAGCATGGTGAAGTATGGTCAAACACAGCAAGAGAAGGCCTGTATCCAGCCGTTTATTCGTTTGTTTTAGTAAAGCCGTAATTAAATCACGTTACAGTCAAAGGCTTTCTCGATTGAATGAGCATGACACAACAAGCAGCTCTTGTTTATATCCCTGATCTAGTGGTGGAAACTGTACATCCCTATGATGGGGATGAGTCCACCTAGAGAACAACCACTGCTACCTTCCCCTAAAGTGTAATAGCCCAGAACTGAATGGATCCCCAACCAAGATTTGAACTCGCAACCTTCTGATTGTGAGTCACGCACTCAAACAAAGTCACCAACCAGCTGGTCACCGAGTAATTGAAACCAATTAAAGAGAGAAGCTTAACTCACAGGAGGCCCAGCCTGGCCTGTCGGTCCCTTTGGTCCCTGTAAAGATGAAACACGATTGTTAATCTGTGACCCTGTTACGCACAATGTGTAAAGAGATGCACGATAGGTAACGGATTCATATTCTTAGTTTTTTCGGTAAAGTCACGTTGAAGAGAAACAACAAAATAACAAAATATATATAAAACAATAAAAAAAAAATTCTCACGACGTTTCGACCATAACTCAAACGGTCATCATCAGGTGTGTCGGTTTGCATAAATTTATTTTTAAAACGGCACATTTATTTATTTATAAAAAAAAACGTTGGCGTCACGCGCAGCGATTGGCAGTTTGCCCAGGACTAGTCCATCTATTTTTTTTTTTTAAAAGAGAGACGAATTTTTTTATAATGTATGCTGTCTGAAAGCCACTGTAAGCGTGAACAATAAATCAAGAACTGAAATGATTTATCAAATCTTTCCAATGATTGCTAAGATAGAATCCATCTTCTCGGTTGAAATTGTCTCTGTGCTTGTATATGTGGATAGCCTCATGAACGAATCTCTCATGGAAGCCAGATGGCTTACAAAGAACCTCCATCTTGGAAAAGTCAATGGCATGTGAGCCTACTGAATTAGAACAATGATCTGCTACGGCCGAGGTGTTGGTCCTACCGTGTTTAAGGTCTGCTTTATGTTCACGAATACGGTCCGAGACATGGCGTTTGGTTTCTCCAATGTAACTACTACCACAGAGGCAACTTAGTTTGTAGACATAAATAAATAAATGTGCCGTTTTAAAAATAAATTTATGCAAACCGACACACCTGATGATGACCGTTTGAGTTATGGTCGAAACGTCGTGAGAATTTTTTATTGTTTTATATATATTTTGTTATTTTGTTGTTTCTCTTCAACGTGACTTTACCGAAAAAACTAAGAATATGAATTACTGCAGTCACGAAAGCTTTAAATCAAAAAGGTAACGGATTGTGAATGGCTATTACTTATCGAAAAATATCAGCATATTGAACACATTCAGATTTCACATTGTATTTTTTTCTGCTAACACGGCAATGTACAGTGATTATTGGAGGCATAATGACTCGCCACCTCACGCCCCTGGCTATTTGAGGGTCATAGTCCATGGTTGAAATTGTATTAATTCATGTTGCATTTAACATTGTGGTGAATGTAGTGGTTACTAATAGCGGTAGGTTCAAGTAGAGCCCAGTACATATAACATAAACGGATTAAAATAAATAACAGTAAAATTCTTACACGTGCAAATGCATCAAATGCATCGTGAGCCTAAGAACTGACGTTAGACAGTGAACTCGTGCGTCGGTACACTTCTGGTAAATAATACTTTAGCAGTCACTCACCCTTGGCCCTTGAAGACCCTGAGTCTCAGAGGGACAGCGAAGGGAATGGGTTTGGGAGCACAGAGAAAGTTACACTGGAATTCCCAGCTCAATGTCATATAAACATTTCCTTTGGAGACATTTTTTTCTGATTTTCTCCCAGTTTTTTATTGCAATTGTGACATCAGCCTCATGTCACCAGCCTCAGAAGTTCCCATTCGCAACTTGCTACAAGCGCTGCAATCACCTTGCATCTGAGAACAGCAGTTGTTTCAGAAGTTTGGAGAAACAGCAGTTGTTTCAGCAGTTTCCCCGCTGTGATTGTCTCACCCTGATGATGATCGCTTGTGTTGCGATCGAAACGTCGTGATTTATTATTTTTTTCTACCTACATGACTTTACCGAAAAAAAACAAAGAGTATGGATTCCTGCAGTCACAAAAGCTTCAAATCCAGATGGAATATGACATCACTGAAATAGCTCTGAAGTCAAGTTTTCATTTAAAGCTTTCGTGACTGCAGTAATTCATATTCTTAGCTCTTTCGGTAAAGTCACGTTGAAGGGAAACAATAAAATATATGTAAAACAATACAATTTTTTATTATAGCTCTGAAGTCACTTCAATATACTGAAATGCACACTAATTGGCACACCTTTAAAGATGCCCTGCAGAGTGGTCATCGTGTGTGAATCATATTAAAGCATTTAATTATTGGAGCTGGAAAAAGCAAAAAAAATGAGTGTGATTGTTTTTTTTGTGTGCAACGTTGAGTATTGAGCTGAGACGGTCAACTTAATACACTTGAGAACCTGTTTAATTAAACTCATCACTACCAGTTGAAAGCACTCGCATGGTAAGAGTCGTATGAGCCATGAGTCCTTCATCCATGAGTGCCTTGACTAAGGTGTGTAAATTTTTATATATTCATAGCAATACCAGATGGTTCAGATCTATGAAACACTCTAGCTCCACATGGCTCCATGTCTTTAATGATTAACTAATAATGAAAGTCTTTTCATCACCATTGACCTGTCCCTTTGTGGTGAGCATGTGGTTTTCGTGGAAATCAGTGGAATTTTGTTTGCTTTAGATTTGCCAGAACAGCGATCTCTAAAATCAATTTCACAATCGCAAGATAAAAGGACAGCTGAACTTTGTTTTGTTAAAACTGATGGATGCTTTTTTTTGTAAACCATCCCTTACGCAATACAATGTTAAATTAAATATTTATTAATATTTACATTTAAAATCCAAGGTGGTACTTTTACAGTAATCGGCATGTAGATGTAACAATTATATTTTCAATGCTTTAGATTTTTTCACTATTGAAAAAACCATAACATCTGCACTTAGTTTCTAGGTCTATAGATTTTCATTTGGAATTTCAACACACCTCCCTTGCAAAACAAGAGCATTTTTCAATGGCCTTTCATCTAGCTATAAAACAACATCAAGTGCTTCATTGCCTTACTACGCAGACATAAGTAAAACACTATTGCTTTTGTAAACAATCAGAGTTAGAATCTTTATCTGAATAAATCATCTTTATTTAGACTGGAGGAATCTGATGAGTTTTGAAGATCTTTTTCAAAGATGTCCAGCATGGGCAGGTCAGCAAGACTGGCCTGAGACAATCAAATCACTACACTTGGCAACCAGGTTTAATCACGGCGACTGAAAGCTAGATTCGAACCCAGGTCCCTCAGCTGTGCCAACTCAACACTGCACTTTTAATCCTCCCCACCGGTGGCATGAAACCTTACCGTCTCTCCTGCTTGTCCCTTTATCCCCTTGAGGCCCTGTGGGGTGGGAGAGGGAAGAGAGACGAGTCAAGACACGAAACATCAGCGTTACCTGCGACAACCCCTTGCGTGTGCGACAACGCAATTCGACCTGCATGTTGTGCGGCTCGTGCAGTGTCGGGGGGGGGGGGGGGGGTACACGGCGAGACTCACCGGACGGCCGGCCGGCCCGACGGCACCCTCTGGTCCCACGATGCCTCGGCTTCCCTGAAAACGTCGCGCAGCGATCATTGTAAAGGTATCCACGGAGAGATCAGAATCAAAACATTCATTTATCACCGGAGGAATCTGATGAGCTACGAAGTTTATTTGCACAGACGCCCACTAAGGGGGTGGGGGGTGAGGACGTTGCAACAATGAACAATACAAAACATGACAGAAGTGAAAAGTATAGGAAAGGTAAACAAATCACATAAAAACATGTAAGACGAAATTATTTATTATCTTACCAGGTAAAGCGCCCTTTTCAGAAGTGACTTGGCCACAAATGATAGCTCAACAAAGTGGCTCATCATGTGGAAATGTATAGCAGCCAAATAATCTAAATAATCTCAATGCACGTTTCTAAATGTGGAGGACAAAAACCGGAGGACCCATAGAAAAATCCACACGACCAAGGTGAGAACATGCAAACACCAAATATTAAAATCAGATAGTTTTCATAGTTCCAATTATTTGGTATAGCCCTGTGAGCCATTCGGCTCTTGAATCAGGTGCAACCGCAACAAACAAAAAACAAAAACATGAACAAGAAAACATCTTAAAGTGATTATGTGTGACTGTGCAAACAGAAAATCCAGGAAAAAAACATCAAAATATTCCTGAAATAGCACCGTACACCAACGCTGTGTGAAAAAATCCCAGTGGGATGCAAGTCAAACAACAACAACAACAAGACAACTAAGATTTAGGCCATCAGTCTAACTCTGTACTACAATAAACAAAAACATGGCCAAACCAAAAAAACGTTTTCGAAATCACCAAAATAAAAGCCATAAATGCAATGTAACAGTGATCGTAGGAACTGTGACCGAATTTTTAACAATAAACTACGTAAATAAATTATAACACCAAACCCGAGAGCCATATTTTAGGCCACTGAATAGCAGTGGCAGCTAGGGGTGTACAACTCCTCTAGAGCAGTTTTGAGTGAAGATCTCATAGGTAGTGATTCAAGTTGCAGTTTATTGGCAATAGCATTCCAGACCCTGGGGGCATCAATAGCAAAGGCCCTTCCTCCGGTTTTTGTACGGCAATAAGGAATGTGAAGCTGGTAAATGAGCGAAGACCTGAGGTCAAATTTGTTCTTTGAAACAGAGAGGAGATCCAGTAGGTAGTCTGCGGATGTTTTTGTAAGTACATCGTGAATAAATAAGATCTGGTGCACAAGCCGTCGAACATTAAGAGATGTTAAGTTTGACCCAATGTAGAGATCACAGGAGGCTGCCAGAGCACCCCCTTAAAAATAGACATAAATAATCATCATAATATTGGCATTTATAAGGCATTGCTAAAAAGGTCACGGAAACTCAAAAAACCTTGCATCACATCTCGAACATTTAAAGAGCTAAGCATCCCTTTGTGTTGGACGATGTAAGGCATGCAGTCGGCACGGGTCTGATTGCAGCTCCGATTATATAGGAGGAGATCAATCAGTTTACAGATACTCATTTCTTTAGAAGTGCTTTTACAAAGCCACTGGAGATAATAGGAAGCAACTGGAGCTACACACTTTTAAATTTAGATTGAAACTAGTTTCTTTATAACTGCTTTTTGTCTTTATTTTGTTGTCCTTGCCCCGCACCTCCGATTAGCACGGTTGGCTAGGTACGGTACAAAAAAAGTTAATACATTTGTGTGAAGCCAAAGCAGCTCCTCTAAAATACCAAACAGTGGTAAAGGTTACGACCCAGCCCTGTAACTACTCGCTCTCGCCACTGCTAGTAGAAGGGGTTCCATCAGAGAGAGCTCTCAATAGCCCATATAGAGAGGATGTTGGCCTACTCTTCCATGCTGGACGAACATCTTGAAAGAGGTGGGAGTACCCACAATTTACCCCACCACACGTGACTTGTTGATCAACTAACTTCCCTGCATACTGTTGGGTGGACAGAGGTGGGGGGATTTCATGAACTTGCCATTGCCAGGAAATTGAGCCTCTGGATTGCAAGTGCAGTCTGCTAACCATCACACCAAGGCAGCATTGTCTTTAACAATAATACTACATCCAGAGAAGTCTCACTGAGTGTCAAGATTCCTTTAGGAGGGTCCACCCTGCTTGGGATGTTTTGATTGATAGAATGTTTGCAGTCACCTCAACACTATGAGCATTCATGGACAGGGGCGGAGCCACATGGGGGGGCTGGGGGGGGCTTAGCCCCCCTGAAATTTTGGGAAAGTCGGTAATCGGGATAACCGGATATCTGGCTGCTGCAAAATGCTGCAGGCTGCCACCTTGTGCTGCCCTGCAGGCTGCTTGAGCGGCAGCCTTTCGAACTTATCGAACTTATTAGCCACATCAGCGGCTCCGACCTATTAATAAACTCCGCGTTCAAATCCAATCAAATTTGTTTTATACATTTATGGCGCCCATTGGAAAACATAAACACTGGATATCTCAAAGTCAAAATCATGGCTCCGCCCCTGTTCATAGATGTATTATTTGGTTATTTCATTGTCAACTTTTTAATCTGATTATATGTACTATTGCTAATGATTCAAATCGACATTTTCTGTTCAGAAAACAACAACTGGTTGATAGCTTGAATACTCCAAAATGCTTTGGTAATATATTATAATTTGATATTCCAGAAATAAAATGAAGCATCCATTTAAATGCAAAGCTAAGAAAGCTTAAGATTAAATCAACTATACAGGTGAAAAAGAAGAGAGTCCCTGGTATTTGAGTAAGATATTCATTGTTTACGTGCATCATGACTTTATAGAAGAACAGATGCCAATTATTTAAAATGATGCCAATTATTTATCCAGTAAAGGCTCACTGTGTCTCAAGACTTGTTCAGGAGTCCCCTACGACATTGTGTGACTTGCTGACCCACCCCTACTGAACATCTGTGCAAAAAGAGCTTCATAGCTCATCGGATTCCTCCAGTCTAAACAAAGATTCGGATTCTAATTTTATTTGGCACATGGGAGGAAACTGGAAAGCTTGGAGAAAACCCACACATTACAAGGGGGTGACACTCCACATTGCTATCTCCTGGCCATCTCAAGGCCCCACACCTACAATGCCTAGCCAGCCCCGACTGTTACCCATCCAAGTAATAGCCAGGCTATAACCTATATTCTTGGTTCTTTCGGTAAAGTGACTTTACCGAAAGAACCAAGAATATGAATCCCTGCAGTCACGAAAGCTTTAAATCAAAAGGCTATAACCTATTTAGATTCTGGAATCGGACGCATTATAGCCGTGTTCTTGACTAATTTTCAGACGGGGTCACTTTCACCGATAAGACATCAGTGTGAGGGCCGCCACACGTTTTAAACCATTGGGGTTTGACAGCAGCACGATGATGGGGTGTTTTCACAAGTGTATTGTCGGAGTCCGCACGTCAGGGGCCACACCAAAGACCACCAGGGGCCGCCAGTGGCCTGCGGTGCCTTGCAATGAAGAACATTGCATTATATTATCATTTGGTTCAAAAGCAAAACCTTGAGACACCACACTGTCATTTCACACACTCGCCACCTGTGCACTCACTCTCTGCCAGTGACTTACTGTTAGGCCAGCAGGGCCTGTGGGTCCAGCGGAGCCAGAAAATCCATTGTCTCCAATGGGGCCCTGTGAAAGCCACGCATGGCAGACCACAGTCGCAGGGTGATAGGTCAATGCCAGCCAAATCACCCTGTGGACAAACTTGACACTTCCACATAACTTGATAAATTACATAAATGACTTTGTCTTGTGGTAATAGGTTTTACCCTTTTAACTGGCACAAAAAAAGTGTCAGTTTTTTGTTCCAGTTAAAAGGGTAAAACCTATTACTATATCTTGTTACTGGCAAAGGAGGTCTCATAATGACTTTGTCTTGATTGCCTGACATTACAATAATCTCACCTTGGGCCCAGGAAAACCTTCAAAGCCAGGAATTCCTGCTTCACCGTGGTCCCCCTGTGAAGAATACATTTTTTAAAGATATTTATCATTCTTCAACTCCTCAACAACATGTACTTGTTTTGAACAAAACCCGATTTTTCTATTTTTAAACTTTATTGCATATTTACAGAACCTCATCTGAGGACTACGGTACATAGCACAACATTGTATAGAAGACTATGAAAATATCGATGCAGTATGTTTTCAGGAAGATGCATACGTGTTGTTTACATCTACACATGTCGCAATGTAGGTACGGTATTGGAGAAAATATATTGTGCATTGACTACATTTCCTCGCTTAGAGGCATGCTGGCCTATCACATTTATTCGATAATTATAACTAAAAATAATGTCTCTGCTGTATGTATGTTGAATTTCTTTTGCACCGTACATTGCAAACTGCGCTAATCAATGAGCCACAGTGAAACAATGCCGCTGAAATTATATAATATTATTTAGTTATTTTCACATGGAAACGGATATGTTAAAGAGACACATTGTCTGCTTATTTAATTGATTATTTGATTGTCAGGTCATCAGACTAATCATGCCCTGGTGTATTTTTTACAGAAGTGTCATGGGCTTAGCTTTTTTTAAAATCTCAGTATAATGTTATCAACTCTGTGAGTACAGTCTTCCTCTAATGTAGCTCGAATAAAATCTAATCCTGTAGCAGTGTGATTTTCACATATGCTAGTACCATGTTCAAAAATGTACCATGACAAACTGTTCAGCTTCAGATTTTATAAAAAAAAAAATCAAGCACATTGGCGGAAAAAAATATTTTTTATTCCGCTGTGTACATTAACTTATAACAATGAAACAAGTATTCTTAGCTCTTTCGGTAAAGTCACGTTGAAGGGAAACAATAAAATAATAAAACATATATTGTTTTATATATCACGTTGAAGGGAAACAATAAAATAATAAAACATATATTGTTTTATATATATTTTATTACTATATAAAGCAATATATATTTTATTATTTTATTGTTTCCCTTCAACGTGACTTTACCGAAATAGCTAAGAATATGAATGACTGCAGTCACGGAAGCTTTAAATCTAAATTTAATGAAACAAGTGTGATATATCTGCACATGTTTAATGAACTTGCTTTGTTTATGTGGTTATAATATTTACCAGCTGCCCCTTCTCGCCTGTCTCCCCTTTGTTGCCCTGAGGGCCGTCGCTGCCCAAAATTCCTCGCTGCCCAGGTATCCCGGGCTGCCCATCCATACCGCGATCACCCTATGCAGGACAGGGTTCAAAGGTCACAACGTAAAATTGCACAGTAAACTTCACGATTAAAAAAAGTGTCAAATGTATATTTTTCATGAATACATTTCCACTGTTTCTCTCTCTTTTTGTGTCAACCAGATTATAAACCAGTTGTGCTCTCTCATAACTCAATAAATTATTAACTCCTGCAGAGCAGTGCATCTCCCTGTGTTACAGCACGCATAATAAGATACTGTATAACAAAAGCACTTCTGAGACCCCTTCAAATGACCTCTTAGACACATTAGCAGTGACGCACCATCCCATTTACCCTGCTGCAGCTAAATGTTTGTCACATGGCCGTCAAACTGAACATTTTTCAATCTTCAGAAAAAATGTTTCGTCAAATGAAACTAAAATATGACGTTACATACTTTATGGTCACAAATTAATGAATTGCTACTCGGCATCTATTAACATGTATTCTTAGGCTCATATTATATGCATTGAGTAATGCGTATGAGAATCTATTGCTGAAGGTATAAGGAAATAGTATCAATATTTTGAAGTTACATTTAGGTTCATAGCACGAAAACCAAACTATACAAACGAGATGCAATAAACGAAGCTGATATACAATAGATATGAGCCATTAAAAAACTGCAAAAAAATAAATGTATGATTTTACTGAATCCTGAACATAACTGACGAGGGGGAGGGGAGATGAGTCGGAACGCATACTTGTTATCACTGGGTAGCTTTCTCAGAGAATGTGCCGTGCAAATTAACACATTGAGCATGTGTGGTGTGTTAATTCAATGGCTCAGTGCAAGGGACATGAAAAATAGAATCCTCCAGTGCATGGGGTGTATAAATTTAAATGGCTCGCTGCACGAGCTGTGTAAATGTAAACGCCTCAGTGCTTGTGGAAGGGAAATTTACATCCCACTTGGCGCTGCCATCGTTTGTTTTGTGTTTCAAGGCCTGCTGGGTGCAGTGTGAAAGCTATCATTGTGCTTTTTCTCTTTTGCTAGCAAAGCAAAAGTCATACATTGGGTCCAGCTCTCGTTTAGCTGTGGAACACCGGGGATGGGCTCGGTCATTTTTCCACTTTGGAACGGGAGCCAACGTGGATCCTGCCATCAATATTCTTTCACAGGAAAATAACCCCCACCCCCCCCTCCCCCAGAAAACTCCTTAAACAGAAACACACACTTATGAGCCAAGTTCAGATTTTCAATGCTGGCATCAAATACCCCAGTGTAATGACGATGATGTAATTGATCTCTTTGCTGCGTTTTCGGGTTGTGCCGCGCGTTGCTCAGCATGACGTCTGATGTTTCACTCCAAGTGCAGCTTCCATTAAGCGTCTATGTCATTTCCTGAAAAAGCTCCCAGCACATGCAGCGAAACGTCTGACATCGTGCCAGACAACGTTCGGTAGCAACCTAGACACTGGAGAGCTATGCAGCAGAACCAACAAAAAGGAAATAACGTGATTCATGTATCTATCTGTGAAGGACTCGCAAAAGACTGAGTTTCAAGGCTTTATTTCAGGGGGTTCTTGTACAATGTTTTTAGGCCAATTCCTCATTCAAATGTGTTTTGCATGTTGGAGAAGAAGTATAATATCTCACAACATCGGAAAGAGCGGACAACTACATGTAACTAAACATTTTTTAACCGGCATATTATTACACAACTGACAAAAACATTGTATACCTGTTTATTAATGTGCTTGTTTGCACTCCTGTATGTAGGCATTCAATGTCCCAGAAACACTTACAGATTCCCCAAGACAGCGACGCTAATAAGTTGAAAATCGTGGGGAATACCAGGACACGTGGTGACCCAAGCGTCACCGCCCATGGAATAATGACCACCGCCTCAACCCCATCCAACCAGAGGACAACATTTATTTGACTGCATTTGATCTGGATGCCAGAGAGCTCACCTTGGCCCCCACGAGTCCCGCTGCTCCCGGTTGCCCAGGTTTTCCGAGTTTTCCTTGAGCACCTGCCAGGCCTGTTCTTCCAGGTTGACCCACACTGCCTGCATCTCCCTGTGAACAAATACATATCTTCACTCAATGTTGGAGGCAATAACGCTTTATATCTTAGTGTGCGTGTGCCCACTACGGCGTGGAGGAGGCTCATGAAGGACGCTACTGGACAGTTGGAAGCAGTCGGCCTCCAGGAACAATGAAAGGCAGAGGAGCGACACTCCCAACAACAACCGGAGTGCCGGGTGGCTAAAACACAGCAAGTTTGCATAGTAGGGTTACAGGTGGTGCATCGGCCAGTCATCTCAGTCAGTCAACCCATGGCACCTGGGTCAGTCCCATGACCTCCTGCCAGTGGGCGTTCGACACTTCGTGTGGCCTCAAAATGCACATAGCCTGGCACAAGCACTGTGGTGACATCACCGCCACTTAGTGGCGAATGGCGATGTTGTACCCATGTGTATTATGTTTGTCTCTATTTGTCTTTGTAGGTGCGTGGTGCTGGCCACTCACCCCGTCGTGCGCCGTACTGGCCTTCAAAGGTGCTTGCTAACAGCACTTGCCTCAAAAGTCTGTTGATGGCTACACGGAGGATATTTGTCTTTGTGTGTGTGTCTGGAGTGGTAGCGTAGTGATTATCACACTGCAGTTTGGTTTATATTGTATATATGTATGTTGAACTTCTTTCACACCGTACGTTAGTCTTTGACCTCCCATAGGTCGACTAAGCTTTTAAATGAGTACTTGATTTGGTATGTAAACATTAGCACTGGGGAGAAAAGGCAGCTAGGCATGGTTCTAGCCACACCACCCCATCGTGTGTCATGCCGCCCTTCAGCGATACTTGCTAACAGCACTTGCCCCAATGGTCTTTTGAGGCTATATGGGGTATCTTTGTCTTGTGTGTACTGTTTTTAGGCACTTACACATTGTGTATATGTCTGTATGTATGTATGTGTTTCTGTGTGTATTTATACGTGTCTATGTCTGTACATGTCTTTGTGAGTGTGGTCAAGAGTATATGCTTAATATATGTGTGCCTGGGTATGCTGCTTGCGTTCGTGTGCGCATGTGCTTGCGTATATCAGTCAGTGTATGCTTGAAATGGATCACTCTATAACTGTAGAAAACCTGCTGAAGATTAAAGGTTTATCCTTTAGCTGTCAGTGAAGGGACACTGCCATCTTAAAGAAAACCATCTCCATATATGCATTCAGGTTTTCTCCCACTGGTCTGGAATTCATCACTTGACACTACACGAAGAATGAATGCAATAAAAGAAACACAATAAACTTCACTCACTGGGCCTTTTAAAGAATCTTTAACATTTTACACGGACATTCTTCAAAGCTGCCAAGCCGCAAATAAGGAAGAGCACCATCAATCACACATTCTGAAAACCACAAAATGCTGTGAAGCAGCCAAGACTATTGATATAATTATCACCTTAAAAGCACAAAAACTATGAAATAATTTTCTTGAAATACTAAACAGATATCCCAGAACATTTGGAAGCACAACCAACAATTGTCATCTTCAGCTAGCAATAGCTTAGAAAAGTGAGAACTGAATGTTCAATAACAAAACGATCAACAACCACGAAAGTATGAATTTGTTGATATCAAATTCTGCACTTCCAGTGGATGAGCACAACAACTCTTTGTTCACCCATTGTGTTTTAGTAGTATTCATAATAACACGATAATAGTCTTCAGCCCTTTGCCAATCCACTGTTGGATGATGGTCTCTTTATGCGGTTGCAGTAATGGTGAATCGTTTGGCCACACTTCATCGCGCTGGTCAGTGTGGGTTGGTGAAGCAGGAAGCGGTCTAGACATCGCTCCCCACTGATGTTGGCCTTGACCAGGACACAAATTCAGCTTGCTGCGCTAAACACTGTGCCGGTAAACATAGTATATTGGCGCGTGGCTGAAACCGTTGGACCAACATTGGATCAAGGTTGGCCCAACGTTTACTGGGGCACCCACTGCTCCACACCTTCGTCACGTTGCTGTTAAATAATCTCGAGAGCCGTAGCGAAAACGGCATTACGGCGTTTCTAATTTTCTTGCGCTCGGGTCTCAGAAAAGCTGCGTGGTTGTCGTGAGGGAGAGGCGCTTACGGGCGGTCCCGGTTTCCCGTCCTTGCCTGGCGCGCCCTCCAGCCCTCTCTCACCGTCCGGCCCAGGCCAGCCCGGCAATCCTCGTGGCCCATGGGGCCCTACCGGACCCTGTGTAAAGGACAATGAGACAGAAATAAGGTTCGCACACTTATCCGTTACACGTCGTAGGTTCAAGTTAGGATTTAAGGGTACGAGATTTGCATTTTATAGGCACATAAATGCCTCAGCAACTCAATGTGCCTTACATAATAATACAAATTTCAACTTGAAACACGCACATTATTTGCTCGCTCTCGTAGAGGAAGAATGCCTCAGTGGCACGATGAATCAGATACAAGCAAAATGCCAGCTCTGTGATGATCCAGCGCCAACAATGGCCTGAGCTCCTGCGATCCGCTATATATTCAGGTGTTATCGGCCAATAAATGAATACTTACATGTGGGAGGAAACTGGAGCACGCAGATAAAACCCACACATGTGAGTGGAAAAACTATATCTCATACAGACGCAACAGGTGGAGTCAAAATGCTTTTCTGAACTCTCTTCTCCTAGTGAGCCAGGGTCTGGTACCTCAAACCATGGAAAGGGAGTTTCACAAAACGTGTGCGATCCACCAACCCTTTCCTCCACAGTGGTGAATTACAGGCATGCGCCACCACCAACCAGCTATTTAAACCATCTTCATCTCAACCATTCCCATGTCCTGCTACAGTCTAGCCAAGGTGAACTCCAGCAGAAGCTGTACCTGTGCGACGCAAGATGTACACTGGACTGGCCTTTCAAATAGGCATTAGTCTGCCAGTGGAAGGTGATTTTGCGAAATGGTGTTTTCCCAATTCAGTAATTTGAGAGTAATTGATCTAACTTAGAAATTTGGACCGAGTGCCATAAGTGGGATTGTGTGTACAGTAAAATGTGCTCCCAACTGCCTTTGTCACCTAAATGCTGATGTTTATAGTTGACACTATGTACTAACTTTAGGCTGAGATGACCAGGGGGAGGGCCAGTCCAGGCTAAGATGCCAATTGACACCTGTTTTGTTACCTCAATGTTCCCAGATTGGAAAAGTCACGCGCGGGCGCATAACACAAATCTGCCATTGGAGGTTCTGTCTCGTTTGACTGGGGCTGTCCCCAACACATTTCCTGTAATAATAGGGTTTTTTCCCCTTTTTTCTGGCAACAAAACTGAAACCTTTTTGCGAGGATTCATGTCTGCATTAACCACAATACCTGCAGTCAAAATGCAAAAAAAACATACTATGATAATATATGCATTGTCCTTGAAACTGATTGGTCCACACCAAGGGACGGCTTTCTTTTGAGCCTCGACCCAATTGGTGCTCGACCAGATGACGCCAAAAGGCGTCATCCAAACTCCACTTGCTGGAAAAAATCTTAAAAAGATTTCGCTCGACCAGACACAGTTGCAGCAGAAGCTGACAAAATATTACACAATTAACAAAACCTGCTGTTCTTTGCCAACCTCTACTCGCTTTGAATCAGATTATTTATTTATACTGGAGGAATCCGATGAGCTATAAAGCTCTTTTCCACACATGTCCAGAACTTTAATAACTAGGTATGTACAACAACTTTGCTCAAAATAAAGGAAATAACTGTTGAAGGGACACAACTGAAACACATAATAGTGTAGTTGTATACATATGGCGATTACTGAAGGAAAAGTAGAATGAATACGATGAAATAAAGAGGTGAACGAGAGCAGGATGGGGTGCCTTTTCGGACAACTACTTTTGCTCATGGAAAGCAACAAAGCAAGGTATGTCAAGGAGATTTTTTTCAATCAGTGCATACTGCTTGCCCATGATATGCATTGGAAACATGAACAATTGAACAGTTTATTTAGAACTCGCTTTTTTGCCCGTCCAAGGACGGGTGTAAATTTCAGTAAATCTGAAACTTGCAAGCGAAAAGCAGACCGCGACGTGATATTCATTGCATCAATTCGTGTGCAGTTTGTAAGGCTACGGTGACACAGACTTATTTAATTTTAAGGTTATAATCCCTTGTTCATCATGATGGCCTTTTTACTTCGATGTCTCAGTAGCGTTATGGAGATCACGTGACGTGAGGGTTCTGCCTTTGTAGTGAGGGTTGTCAGTTGACGCACAGGAGGGGGGAGGAGGCGCCTCGCCCCCCCCCCCATGTGGAGTGACGTCAGCCGCTAATTATTATTAATGGCGGGGGGTGTCCATTTGGAAGACGTCACATCTTCATGATTATTAATGAGGGAGGCTGTTCGATGTGGAGTGACGTCACCCGCTCAATGATTAGCAATGGGGGGGGGGGTTGCTCCATGTGGAGTGACGTTACTTGCTAATGGTTATTGGAGGGAAGGGTGCGGCATGTGGAGTGACGTCACCCGCTCATGTTTACTAATGAGGGGAGGGGTGCGGCATGTGGAGTGACGTCACCCGCTCATGATTATTAATGAGGGGAGGGGTGCGGCACGTGGAGTGCGCGACCTTCTTGTGCGTTCGTGTTTAATTTCCATGCAGGCATGAATATTAATGAAGGGGGGTGGGGCTCTTTTGCAGTGACGTCACGCACGGATGTAGCACTGTGCCGCGTAGATTTCTTTTTGACCGTCACTTTCTGTAAAGAAACGTCAAATTTGAAGCGACTTTGCGAAAAAAAATATATTTCCGCTCGACCTTCTTCCACGTGAGTGTAGAAAGCAACCCGCTCATTATTATTATTATTTAATTGTTAATGACGGGGGGGGGGCATGTGGAGTGACGTCACGTGCGGGACACACATTTCTGGGCTATTATAGTAGTAATTACCCTGTGAGCTAAGAAGCTCTTAAATCGGGTTTCATCAAGAAAATAGAAAAAACTATTAAATTTAAAACACGACGTTTGCAATAGGTCGCGTAAAAAAAATCTAATCACAATAAATACAGCAATGAAAAAAGTCAACATGGACTCTGAGAAGGAATTCAGCAACAAATACCGTCTCCAAAAAAAATCGGAGACATCTCGTTGACTGTTACCAAGAGTGGATTTTTGGCAGGAAACATTGTGAAAAGAGATGATAGCCTTCAGATGAGATTGGCGAAGGAGTGGCAGCCAGTGGAGGGAACACACCCCTGGGGATTACATTCGCAGGACCGTAAGAGGGTTGGTGACATCATATATGGAGAGGCCTTCATTCAGCAGTGGAAAGGTACAAGTTGCTGCTCCTGATGATGATGATGATGACAGAAGTAAACAAACTTAACAGGCAATACTGCAGAACTACAACAACGTACCGTAAGTCCGGCTTTTCCTTGAGTTCCTGGTGTACCAGCTTTGCCCTTCGTGCCCTGTGGGTAAAGGCATTTGGATAACACTGCCATGAATGTGAGGTAATGCAACAATAGGATTTTCATACGAGAAAGCAGTCGTCACTTGGCTTGCACATGGCACACACGGGGTGGCCAAGTTGCTTCTTGAGCCGAGGTCCACGTGACAGCGCAGAGCTCATGGTGGATCTGAGGTTCAAGCCTCTCAGGCTAGCACTGTCAATACAGGAAAGCAGCTGGAGATGACTGAGTGGCTCAAGAAGCTCACAATGGCCACGTAAGACTCACGAGAATGAATGAGAACCTGGATGTAAAAATGGACAGCCACCCATTATTAAGCAACGAATGGTCTGAGCCTGACTGCACAAAACAAAAACCCATTGGGCATACAATTTAAAACTGTGGTTTATCATGTCAGCACATTGCAGGTATTGTTCGGGAAGGTACTCACCTCGTACCCTTTAGGTCCTTTTGGCCCTGGATATCCCCGCTCTCCCGGCTCGCCCTGCAACAACCAAGCAAGCTTATGAGCACACTAAGAGCAATACACTGCTTGTGGTGATCGGAAAAGGAGAAATGAACTTAAGAACGATGATCTCGGTGAAGCCGGATATGGAACACGTTTGAAAGACCGCAAGTCGTGCCATTCTGTGGAACAGTGCTGTTGGCGGTGCGACTTACGATGGGACCCTGCTCTCCCCTGGCTCCCCGTGATCCGTCAAAGCCGCGCTGGCCCTGAAGTTAACAACAAGCACGCATTTACCTCATTTCCATGGACAACTAACCTGAGTTGGAAAGGGTCTGAACTCGAGTCGAAGGGAAATTCACATTGGCTCAAAGAAAGCGGCATTTCACTGCCGAATAAGACTTCCCCAGGGCCAAAGGTCAAGACTGAATTGGTGACAAAAAAAATGATGGTACCATTACCTACTACATATTTCATTGGCATGTTCGGTGGTGACGATGCATTTCCACTCGGCCAGAAATTTGATGTAGGGAATTCAGGCCAGCTCCCACCCCCCCCCCCCCCGAGAAGCAAAATCGGCCTGGAGAAATCTGGCTCTGGCCCATAATGGCATTGAACGTGTTTGTCTAAAATACAAAGAAAGTGGTGACGGCGGAATGACCAACTGCAGTACGCACTTGGGTTTGTGGCTCGTGGAAACTAGCTAAATCTCCACATAGATGTATCACGAGCACTGGATTCTTTATTTTTATTGTAAAATTTGACAAGGGATGTGCTGCGCTGAAGGGCCCCGTGGCATTAGTGGATTGCTCTCTCCTGTACCACTAGGCAAACCAGCACCATTTACTAAATAGGCCCCACCCTGCTGGTGAGACCCGTTGAAGTTGAGACTGATGCAGTGGGCATGGTTTGATCAAACAAATTCTGCTGGAAATCAATGATTCAAAAGAACCATTGGTTTCTAGACTTAAATATGATTTAATTTTGAGGTAACCAGGTCGCTCAGATGTCAGAGAATTGAGATGGCATTATTGAATCTGGGCAGCCACCACTAATTACACCGAGTCCTTAAGTACTATATAGTGAGTCGATGGTCTCAGACTGGTTACCAATTTGAGTGCAAAATTCCACAACTGATCATTAAATCTACTGTATCAGTTTTATACATCCTACTCTCCATAAAAGTCTCCTACAAGAGACTTCTTTATAGGCCATATTCGTTCCACTGCTGAATTGAAAGTCTCCCTCTGTCATCATCATCATCATCCCTCGTAGTTATGTAATGCCACAATCCATCATACTCTTACACATTATCTAATCTCAGTGCTCTAACCCCATGGTAGTCATCCTCTATGAGATGTTCTCTTCGCTCGTTGGCTGCCACGCTTTTAGCAATCAACAGGCACGTTTAACAACTGTATTGTAAGTTAATGCTGGAATTTGTCAACATGCAATTGCTGACTGAGGTGGATTATGAATTCTGCAATTTGCAAAAACCCTGATATATGGAAATGAGAGGGCTTTACATTGGAGGCAGATATGCAGGTACTGATGTGTAAAGCAATGACCACATTATATAATGGTGAACCAGTGGCGGGATTGATGAGGCCTGTTCTTTCGCCAAGCAGAGGCCCAAAAGCCGAAAATGCCAAGCAGCCAGCAACAAACAGAACTATCGAATGTGTAATATATAAGAATTAAAAAAAATTTGAATTGAGAAAGGTTATAGGAACTTGGAGGAGGAGATGATGGAGGGTACTTACTGGGTATCCGACATCGCCAGGTTCTCCCTTCTCTCCGGGAGGCCCGACTGGGCCCTGCAAGTGACATGTTTTAATGATGTTAAAGTTTGCACGCTCAAGTCCAGTAAATCAGCATTCCAACCATAAATGTGTAGGTAAGCCATGAAAAAAGCTATCTCATGTTGGTATGAAGGGCAGTGGTAAAAATGTTCTGAGAATTATACCAATTGTTAGGCTTGTTATGAAATCTCCATTTTTAAGTACCAAATATGATACATTACCTCATGCTATATTTCTGAAACTTCAAAACCCACTGGTCTGCGAGGTGAACAGCTGATGGCATCATATTCTCATATGCATTGATTTTAACAGGAACCCCAGTTTCCACTTACGTGCAAATCCCTCATTCATAAAGTAGGTCGAAAATCCCGATGCATTGTGAAATATCATGACACAATCTGAGTGTTACCACCCCCTTATATGCATGTGTGTTTTCCAGATACCCCCTGCTTCCTCCTACATGCCAAGTGCTCAATAATGGACATGGGCAAACATTTCATTGCAGGTCCCTTCTGAGAAAGAGGCTTGAGACTCAGTGCTGCTTTCCTACACGAGTAAAGGACATTGTTAAGTAAGGCTGTTTGTGTGTTGAAAAATAAATTAAGTGTGCACCGTAGCTTGTCATTTTAGAATCCCCATTCTTATAGGAAAAATAACGCAACAAATGTTCGTCGATAACACTGTGGCCTTGGCAGAAAAATGTATAATGGGCAACATTTTGGGTAATGGCCCTTCTTCATATCACATTCTTAAAAACATTGTGACCACCCGCTGTGCGTTTGTCAACTGCTGGCAGTGTGGCGAAACCGTGAGTGCAGTGTCACGCACGACTGTGTCAAATTCCAGTATTACTCTGCGACTGTGCCCAACTTGCGTTTGTACCATGAGGCCTTTTGGTCCGGGGGGGCCAAACTGTGTTCCGGGCTCGCCTGCCTGTCCCTGGTTAAACATGCAAAACCCGCAGCATACACAGACGACATTACTGCGCATGCATAGGCATCGGCGGGGGGGGGAGGGGAGCACGATACATAAGAGCACTGCTGCTGAAGTTGTTTTTTCCGTATTAACATTTTCCAACGCACGGTACGCTTCAACAATAAACACACTGGCCGACATTACAAGTCCTTAATTGCAGTGACCCTATTGTTGGAATCTCACGGGGTCGGCCATTCTATTATTTTTATACACAAGAGAGGTGGGGGAAGGAGAGCGCAGGCACCGAAGTTGTTTTGTAGAGAACGTCAAGGCTCCCGGAGCCTTGACGCGGCGCAGCAAGGCCGAAGCCACGGGTGCCACCACGAACCTCACTCTCGCGTCCTGCTACTCGCTAGATCCCTCGCTTGCAGTGGAGTCAACACCTGACCTTCAAAGTGTGTCGCCAACTCCAATGTCTGCCTCAGTCACCTGTCCTCACACGTAACTATCTCACTCATTACAACCTCTTTCTGATGACATCTACAACAACAACAATCCCTCTTCAGGTTTTTTTCTCAACTTCCAAGTTGCTTACACGATCTCGATATGAAATTCCTAGCATCCTTTACATGCACCTGTGTTCAAGACCATAACCTTCTTAGGGGCTTTGACGTGGCCTAGTGGAAGGCACATTCGCCGCTTGTCGCAGAGGTTCATGGCCGTGATGATACTACACGCCGTCCGCTTCACAGTGGACATTAGAGATCCCCTAAAGTCGTTCCCAAGGATGGAAAATTACCTGCCAATAACTCAATTGGGATTATTCACATAACAGCAGTCATTGCGCACCTCCTACTGTCAGACAAATACTCTTAGGTTGTCAGCCTGGTTAATAACATTAATTTGAAACGTCTTTTATAGTTGCATTGTTAAATTGTTACGAATGATGAAACAGGGAGATTAAGTATTGAACGTTTACCTTCTCGCCCTTTATGCCCGGTGGCCCAGAAGGGCCAATAGGTCCTTGGTGACCCTAAAAAAAAAACAATAATCATATATAAACAATATACAACTGAAGAAAGAACACGTAAAATGAAACAAACTATTTACATGTGTAAATACACAATAATAATGTAATACATTTCCTAATTTCTGTGACACAATTTGATAAATAGTCATAAAATGTTTAAATGGATTTAACAGAATTTCATGATCACCAAATGGAGGTGTAAGAAACCCCCCCCCGCCCCCCCAAAAAACCAAACCACTCGGCGTTCCACGTGCTGCGTCAGCAACGTGAATGATTTGAGATCCTCAGAATACATTTCCTCATCACTGATTCTATTTGTCACCGACTTTCTTCTTTCTCACCATTACGAATACTATTATATTATTTAAAAAAAAATACGCGTGGACGGACGTGGAAGGGAAGTGCAGCGCAATCGTTACCGGGTAGCCAGGGAGCCCGTCCTCTCCCTCGGCTCCCATTGCACCAGGGGCGCCCTGCGGCGAAAGGCACAGCAGCGGTGTTACCCGGCCGCTGCTCCATCAGCGGCAAGGTGAGAGACCGCTCTCACGAGTTGTACAAACAAGAGGCGGGGAGTTTAACACGCAGTAGGCTTTCGCGACCAATGTTATCCACAATAGAGCTTTTTGGGTTAGATCGCGTAAGTATAAACGTGTCGTTAAATCCCGCCACCACCCGATACAGCCAATTAGTAAGGTTTGTCAAGTAAACAAAACGAGCCAATGAATTACTAGTTCAGCACGTATTCTATGGGTCTTTCGGTAAAGCCACGTAGACAGAAATCGTCTTCAGCAATTGTCTTCGGGTGGCCCTAAGAATCACCTGAAGACGATTGCTTGTGTTGCGATCGAAACGTCGTGATGTTTTTATTATTTTTCTATCTACGTGGCTTTACCGAAAGACCCATATAATATGTATTCCTGCAGTCACGAAAGCTTTAAGTCAAGATTTAATTCAGCACACCAGTGTGTTAGAGTAAACCCACAACATCTACAATTCGAGTACTCGAATTGAGAGAGTAAACCCATAACATCTACGAGTTGTTCTTTAGGGGTGCAATGATGCATCGAATCATAGAAAACAAAAATTCTTAAGTGTGTGATGTATGCATCGACTCGGCAATGAGAAAATATACATAGGTTCACGTTGTGACCCCCGCAGCGTCTAGAGGTGCTACCATTCAGTACAAGGTATTTGTATTTTTATTTTTATAAATTATATATTCTTAAATCAAGCCATGACCATGAATTGTAACATCGGATTTCAGAGGGGAGTGGCTAATCTTTGGATGATGACTCTAGGCGCAGCGATGGCGAGATGTTGGTTGCCTCGCCTGGTGTGCAGGAGGTCGTGGGTTCGATCCTGACCCTGATGCCTGCTGTATATTTGGAGTTTGCATGTTCTCCCTGTGGCCGTGTGCATATTTCTCCGGGTCCTCCGGTTTTTCCCTCCACGTTTTAGAAACACGTGTTGCGAATGTTTTGGTGCTATAAATTTCCAGACGATGAGCGACTTTGTTCAGCTATCATCTTTGGCCACGTCGCTTCTGAAAAAAAAGAGCCATAGAGCTCAGTGGGCCTTACTTGGTTAAATAACAAAAACGTTTTTAGTTTACGTCCCAAGTGTTCACGCTTTGTAAGGGTGCTGCCCTCCAGTGGCCACTCAGTTCATCGGACAGGCATCCCTGTTTTCCCATATCAATACTAAGCAGAGACGTTATGCCTTGCTCACCCTGGACTTAGCACTGAGAAACGTACGCGAGGGTGCCAAGAGCATCTGTGATGTTTTATCGGGGGCAGTAAATCTTGAACGCGTCTTTAGCTTCTTATTTATTTACTTCTTGTGCACATTCATTCGTGTAGGGAGGCTCCATTTAAATCTATATAAACCTTATTGGCAAGGAGGCCCCGTGCCTCCAGGAGTCAGTAGTTATCGTCGCCACGGGTAATTTTCCATACGAATCTGGCCAAGGAAAAGCCACGTGTAGGGGCCAAGCCATTTTTCAGACATGCTGCTGGGCTCGTTCACATTTTTGCTACTGGACAGCAGAGTTCCCTTTCATAAGGCGCCACACGCTCATGTCATTATATTTCTGCCGTGCCTTATCATTGTTAATATTATTACTATCATTGTCACCATAGTCACCAAGGTGAGGGTCTGGGAATAGGTCAGGTCAGGTTGCAGACAGGCAAAACTTTTTCGTGTGGTTCAAAGAGGACATCGTAGTGTATTGGCCTCTCTAGGCCACCCAGACTCAAGATGAGCAATATTACATCAGAGGCCCATTTAAATGTAATAAAGAAAATATATCTCAAAACTTGACACAGCCTATGAACAAATCACGTGGAATGTACTAAGCAGGTCTGAGCATGGATAATTATTTTATAGGAGACCTCCATGCATTAAATAGGTTGTTATAGGCTGCTAAGGGTCTATATTGTCGGAGCACAGAAAAAAATATATTGTTAAACTGTGTTATGTCAAAAATCAAATCTAGAATGTGTTATGTCCCCCGACCTGATCCACACAGCATGGGGAGGCCCTCATCCAGAAATGGATTTCCAAATGTGCTGCACACGTACAACTTACCACAGGACCTCTTGATCCTCGTGCCCCGACAGGGCCCTGGTTTCCTTTGCTGCCAGACTGGCCCGCTTTTCCTGGTTCTCCGATGTGACCCATTGCTCCCTTGTCGCCCTGACACGAGCCAGCCAGCCAAAAAAAAAAACGCAAACTCAAAACTGGACGGGCACCATGATGTACGCTGCAGCTTGTCAGCAGCAGTGATCGATGAGCTCACAAGTGAGTTGTGATGCTCTTGGCACAGTTTCAACTGTTGCTGCAAGTTTGTTCGAATGAATATTGCAATTTTTTCGGGAGCTCGTTTTAAAAATAACAATAGAAATAATGGATGGAATAAAATTCGGCTAATAAGCCGGTGCAAGGGTCTTCTGCAGTGAGTTTTATATGAGAAATGGTAACTGATATGTAAACAAAAGCTCAGGCAAATGAGCCACTATTGCTGTATGATTTAAGATGCATCTGCCTGGGGGTGTGTTTATTTTTGGAATACTCACTTTCTTCCCCGGTTTTCCTCTTTCGCCGAGTTTTCCCAGCTTCCCTTCCATTCCCTGTAAAAGAAGGAAGGTGCCCAGTGGCAAATTCCATTCATTAGCGGTTTACAGGGGACCGAGCGGCAGCACGTTTCCCGCTTGTTGCAGAGGTTCGCGGATCGAGCCTGGCAGCTGCCCTGGTTAATACTGTGAGTGTAATAACCTCCATCACCACAGATCACCTGCTTCACAGTCGGTGTAAAAGATCCCGTGGCGGCATTTTAAAAAGAAATGACCACGTGTGCTGCAGTCATGGTCCAAATTTCATAAATCACTAAAAAATTACCTAATTGGAGACCAGCCACAGAGCAACATTGCTCTCTGCTGGCAGATTCATGCCCACTTTCTGACCAGTGGTGCATTCACCTCGTGCCACACAGGGACAGCTGCCAATGGGGGGTGGGGTCCAGATGCCACAGGGCGCCTCGAGGTGTACTGCATGGGAGGCACGGTCGAAATATCTACGACGATGTGTAACGTAACGGAAAAAAAAATCACCCGGAATGCATCCACTCTTGTCAGATTTCAGAAGAGATATCAGAAGCTAAGCACGTTTCAGCCTGGGTAGAGGGTGGCCACCATGCACAGCAGGTTGCTATAGGCTGATGTGGGGCCTTGTGGTGGGCATCAGAGAGCAGTGCAGCAAAATCCATTGTTGTACTGTACGTTTCCGCTCACATTCAGTGTTCTCTTCTTCGATAACCCAAAATGACCAGCGTGATGAGGTATGGTCAAATAACACCCACGATCTGTATGGGCATTGGGGAGGCCTTTATCCAACAGTAGATTTCCAAACGGATGTACAATGTTAGTGGAAAATATAATTGTATTGAACGGCATATAAAATAATAATTCACAGTTTTAAACAAGGATGCATCTTGACAAAAGTAGTCAGGGTGAAACATTAGCTGCTGTTCAGGTTTCCTTGTGCATGTGTATATTTATTTACGTAGAAAAAAGGCATGCACTTATCCACGAGCACACCAGCATTTGCTGGGCATAGTGAAAAAGCTTGGATGCCGATTTGCCGACAAACTTAAGTCCACACGCTCGATTAAAAGCAATCCAGGGGATTCCGTCATCCTTCTATTGGCGATGCACAACACTCTGCAGCGTTGTGTTCAGTTTTTTCGGGTTCCTAACAATCTGCTGCTGTTTGGCGTTTGGATTTTTTCTTTTAGCAGCTTGGCACTGGGAGCACTGGAGAATTATTTTCCAAAACTAACACAGAGATTACAACTTAAGTTTTCGTTTGGCTACAGAGTTATTTTTTTGAGAGATCGTTCATTTGTTTATGCATCAGCTGGGGTTTTGCGTTAAAAAGCGACAATTTATTCTCGGCCGACATCTCAATGCTGGAGTCAGTAGGTGAGCTGGTAGCAGTTGTCAGGGCAATGCATTTGCCAGACATAACAGCAGGTCCCGCTGTGCTGAGACCACCAAAACCCGAACCTTTGGTGCCCTGAAAGGCCAGTTTTGGATCCAAGTGAGACGCAGGCAGCAAATGTGACGAGGAGCTTAGCAACGGGAAACTCACCCTCATACCCACAATCCCCGGGTCTCCAATAGCTCCTTCTTTCCCCTTGTCCCCAATGTCGCCCCGTTCTCCATCCTCCCCATTCAGTCCCAGGTCTCCCTTCTCTCCCTGCACCAAGAGACGGTTGACAGAGAGATCGATACACACACATATTCCTGCTCAATCACCTTTAAAACTGAACAGGGCAAACAGAGAATGTGCAGAGGGCATGTGCTTTTTGGTTAAAGCTGTAACAAGGCACCATGGTGGCAAATTAATATGCATTTCCAGTTTCAATAGTCATGGAACCTGGCATGACTGAAACAGGCAGGCAAGGGAAGGAGCTGAGTATTGCACATCATCTCTTATTACCGTTCAGCGTGGCTGACGTCTGTCTCACCTCTTGTATCCAGACAGCACAGTCTTGCTGTTTAGGAAAATACAATCGGCTTTGCCAACAACTATTTTAAACATGCTTCATGCTGAAACGTATCCAAAGGAAAACACCAATACCGGCATAATGTGTTTATTAATTTATCAGCAAGTGGGATGAACAATTACAAATTCGTTCAGCTTAAGAACTGTGCTAGACTGCGTGCACACTTTTCCTTTGTCCATTAAGGGGCTCTAAAGCTATTCATTAAGAGTACTGTCAATATCTGTATTTTCTAAACTGCCTCTTGTTCAACGCAAGAACAAGTCCCATAAATATACAACAAAAGGCATTTGCACCACAGCACATGACACTTCTTGGTAAACAAAAAAAAATCAAACACATTGTGATATGGCATAATCCAAGCCACTGTAAAACACTGCAGGCCACGTAGAGAGGTACAACTGACTGGGGGAGGTTGTTTTTGTTGGGTTCGGAAAGACTTGTGGCCGGGGAGGGCTCATTGAGTGGATAATGCAAGACACACCAAGTCGCCTTTTTATGAGAGTTGTGCTCATCACCAGGGGACATGAATGTCTCATGTCTTGCCAGCGTTAAAGCTCCGATGCTGACTGTTCACAGACAGCAAAATGCCTGTCCAAGGAGAGCCAAAATTGACCACCTGATATAGAGATATACTCTTTTCCCTGCGTGCAACAGGGCCACATTGCATGAAAATGTTTCATAACACCAACAGTGGGTCAACGTACTTTGATTCCATCTTTTCCTTGTGGTCCATCATCACCGACTGGGCCTGGCAATCCCTGAGGTACAGGCGTACACATTAATACATGTGTGCGTGTCTGTGTGTGAATGCATATGCTGTATGTGTGTATATTACGCTAGCCTAAACCGTATTAAGAACGTGTCTAAATCATTATGAATGCAACACACTCAAGAGAATAAATGTGGTATTTATGATTCTAGGCACAGTTACACTGGAACACTCCAGTAAATGTAATGCTACTGATTTTCATTATAGAAATATTTTTTAATAGCTGCTAACAAAAATGTTCATTGTAATGGCCTGCCTGCCGAGTGTTACAAGCACCCCTGGCCTAACGAAGAAAGATGCCGACGACTCGCCAGACGCGGTGTCTGCAAGTGAGGCCTATTTGTTGTGAATGAAAAGAAGTCCAGCGTATGATTTACATGCCATTACGTGCTAATGTACGAGATGAGCAGCCCCGCTGCATCTGTAATCAATCTGGAGCGCTCCACGCGGCCCCAGTAAAATACGCGCTGTACCGCCGACGCACGCGAGTGCGTTTTGAAAAACAGATGACGCGCTTCTCCATTCTGCTGTTGCTTCAACGTCAAAATCAAGAATCTGTGCCGCAGCGGGAATGTCTGCAATGGAAGTTGCAAGACACCTTCGCTGCATCTCATCAGCAGTGCCCTATTAGTGGTTTCGTGCACTATTGCCACCGGGCAGTTTGGCTGCACAGTGTCAGGCCGCGGCTTGATCCTGATGAGCCTCGGTTGAGCTCATAACAAATCTAAGTTTCCTGCAAGTGTCAGGGCACTCAACTGGCGTTGGAATAAGGGTGCACTTTGCTCATTAGTCCAAGAAAAGTCTAAACCGGTCTGCATTTTTGCCTTGTGTAAGGTGGTCTCTGCGTCTTAATCCTGTACTTTGAAGGTGGGGTTAAAGATCACGCTGTGGCAGTACAGCAAGGCAGCGCATGTTAATGATTCCTGTCTGAGCCTGAGTTGAACTTAGGGCCCTGGATTTGCAAACACGGCCCTGTGTTGTTTCGAGCAGCGCAGCTTTGGAAGCTGAGCCTGCCGCCCACTCACATCTCCCGCTGCCCTCCTCCAACATTCCATGTGCTGGCGTGTCTTTGTGGGGTACCTACCCTGGGCCCCTCCAGACCGGGCTCCCCTTCACCTCCTAATGGCCCAATGTCGCCCTGCAAACACAATTACATCATATGAAAAAAATAAGAATAGGTTTTGCCCTTTCTGGCAATAAAACAAGAGGTTGTTAAGATCTTTAAACACCAAATAGAAACATTTTGCAAGGGATCAAGTCTGGATTAACCACACACAGGACTTGTGGTGAACATGCAAACAAACATGCTCTGGTAATATACGGCATTGTCTTTGAAACTGATTGGTCTACACCAGAGACAGCCTTCTTTAGGGCCTCGTCTCAACAGTGTCAGACCAGAGAATGCCAAAAGGTTTCTATTTGGTGTTTGAACACCTTAACACCTATTTTATTGCCAGAAAGGGTAAAACCTCTTCATATTCTTTCATACTATGACACTGGCAAAAAAAGGTCCCACATTTGCATCAGCCGCACATCCGTACAAGCTGATGCACACATCCTCTGTCTGTGGCAGGTTCAAATCCCATTGAAAACAAATGTCTATGTTTTGAGTACACACAAAGTAATAGAGAACATATGTAAACAACCGGTCAAAATTTAAGCTTGGATGGATTAGTTGAAACCCCAGGGAGTTCTTGTGTGGGCTCTGCACTGATATTATTTTAAGATAAATTAGCAAATAAATATATATTATTTTGTAACAGTTCCATTATTATACTGTACTTACTGGGAAGGACCATGCTGGAAAGACAGTATAATTAAATTAAACTTTGGAAGGGTAAAGGGCTTTGTTGGCTAAAGATGAATCGTACAAGCTTTGACATTTAATGCTACATCCCCGATTGAAGGCCTCTGTGTTGAAATACTGGCTATGAGTATTTCTCTTTCTTAACGTCTCCTTCGCGCTCTCAGATTCGATCAGCTGACACCACACACCAAAAAAGCACGAGTCACGGTAGCTGGAGGGAGATTCTCTTTTACGAAATAAAGGTAGTTTTATGTAACGTGATTCAGCTGAATTGGGCTTGGCACAGACGAACAAGATGACCTTTGTCTCCGATTTTAGTACAATTAACATCACATGACTCATTACACGAACAATTTCAGAGCTCGCTTCGGCTATTTACATCATTAACGGATTTTAATGTTTGTATTCATCTGCCCCAGTTTTTTACGATGTTTCACAACACCCGCAGCAAAACAGTTGTCGCTTCTACACAATAAGGAAAGCACGGGTGACCACCGCTGTTGAAAAGTGCTAGAATCAATAGTAAACGAATTAATTCAAATAACTCCCGACCTGCCGACCAAGAACCCAGCATTATTGCATGTGATAATACAGGTTTGCAGAAGGTTTCAAGGTTTGATCAATGAAAACCCATATCTTTGCATCTGTGATGTCATTTAAGAGGACAATTAATAAAATGGGCTGTTCTTTATGAGGAAGGACACCAAGGTCATGAGGGAAAACAAATTGGTATCATACCAGGGCTTAAACTGTACATAATTCAACCAACAGTTTGTACATAGTGCCCCTTAAATTGGTGCTTTACCAATGCAAAAATGAACAATGTGGCCGAGTAAATGGCATTAGCTTAAAAATGAGAATTTGAGTTGCATTACTTTTTGCCGAGTCCACGTTTTCCTCCTCAAATCACACGCATAAACGTCAAAACGGTACTTCAATGCTTTGCGAAGAAACCAAATGTCTGGAAAACTCATTATTGGGACTGGTGGATGCGACGAAACAACCAAGCCACTTAATATGAAATGCAAGTCTACACTCATTTGGATAATATTCATAGGTGCAGCCGCGTAATTATATATTTCTAAAGCAATTAGTCTGAATTGCGAGTGGCCTTTTCTGTATCGGCATTACCTTTTCACCTTTCTCTCCTTGCAGTCCGCTCTCCCCCGTTGGCCCAGGCAAACCCTGCCAAAGCACAAACAAAAGCAACCTTGTAAGAGATAAACATGGGGGAAAAGCAGCTGAGCGTCAAAAAACCCATTTCACACACATACACAGCCATGGGGTGGTGAATGCCAGTGATGGGATTTCAAGAATGAATTCATAGCTGTAACACTGTTTTCAATTTATACAAACCCATTCTGCACTGATGTGGAGAATGCATGTTGAACTTCTTTCACACCGTATGTAGCCAACCGTGCTAATCGGAGGTGCAAGGGCCTTAACAGACTGTTGGGGCAAGTGCTGTTAGCGAGCACCTATGAAGGCCGGCACGGCATATGAGAGGGTGGATGGCCAGCACCACGCCCGGCCGCCTTTGTCACCCTCGTGGCGATGTTTACACAATGCACCAGGTACTAATTTAAAACCTAGGAAAGGCTCAGGACCGGCTCAGATATTTCGTCACTGGTGTTGGCCGTGAGCGGGAATCGAACTTGGGACGCCGGGTTCGTAGCGCAGCACGCTAACCGTTACACTAGTGCTCTCAACTCAGGGACACAGACACAGAGACTCACACAGGGACACCCTGGCTGGGGAGACCAGGCTCGCACCGTGGTTATCAGCATGCAATGATTGCTTTTTGCACTGAACAGGGCATAGTTTCGACAGAGTGCTCTAACCACAAACATCTGGAAATTCAGCAGCATTTGGCTAACAAGCTGGGCTCTGCTTACAAACTAAGACGGTAAAAACTGGTCCAGAGTTCGCTCGCTTAACAAAATGCTGTAGGATAATATTGGTCTGGAAAGCAAGTTAGGCCGATGGGCAAAAATATGTATTTATATGTGGAGACACAGAACAGAGTTCTGCTATGCATGCTTTTGTTATAATTTAGTGATAAAAAGGCTTTATTTATAGTTCGTTAGTGTGACAGGTTAGTTTAAGAAACATGAAAACAAGAACAAATACTGTTTTAAAAAATAATTATTGGAGGGTGGAATATAAGCATCGTGGGTGATGTTCAAATAAAAAAAAACATTTGTTTTTCCTCAAAAGCAAAGACATGAGTAGAAAACAATTAAAGTGTACAAAGTAACGGGAGCGATGATTGTCAACCTTCCAAACATTAACCAAGCCTAACCAAGGTTTAGGGAACGGAGGCAGAATTAAGTAGTCTTACCAGGGCCTAGCAATAATGTCGAGAAGCTAAGGCAGGTGAGACTTAGATTGTTTGAGCACGTGTTGAGAAGAGACAAAGAAGATGTAACCTGAAGGGTTATGGAGGTGAGAGACCAAGTATGTATGTATGTTGAACTTCTTTTGCACCGTAGGTAAGCCAACCGTGCTAATCGGAGGTGCCAGAAAGTTTAGCAGGGCTAAAGAGATGCCAGTGCAGAGCAGAAGAATGGAGTGAGACAGTGGGTGAGATTGAAGGATATTGTGGAACATATGATCGTGGATGTGACTCGAGAAGATGCACAGTATATGAGTACATTGATGCTCTTTGGTTCTTTCGGTAAAGTCACGTAGGTAGAATAATAAAACAAAATAAAAACTGCATGCAGTCACGAAAGCTTCAAATCAAGATTGAGTACATTGAGATAGACAATCCGAGCAGCTGACCTCATGGACGTTTGGCTTTGGCTAACAACCCAGCATTATCTTCTGATATATGGTACAACTATGGTGATTGGTTCATAGGCTGCATATCTCCCCAATGTGTACAAGTGTAAAAAGACATCGACGTCTTTCGATGTCCGTGTATGTGTTGTGTGCATCTCTTGCAATCTCCAAGTATCAGCATCGAACCTGTGTTCCAATGTCTCCCACGGTGCCCATCTCGCCCTTCGCTCCGCGGGGTCCCTTTGAACAAACAACACGTAAAAAGTGCATGAAAAGAAAATACTTGTGTCATAAAATGTAATCCACATTAACGAAGCTACGATGAAACTAGAATGCAAACTAAGCTCTTTCTTCTTAACTCTAACGATTTTAACAAAGGTGGCACTGCCACCGTAGCAAAGCACATCCTACTACTTAACCAGATAGAAGTGTGTGGTTGTCCACAGTGGTCATGTGCAGCAGAAGCATTAGCTACGTGTTTGTGAGCACGTGCTACTTTCTCTGCGCTTTATGGGCAGATATTTGATTCCGACCCTGGCACCTGTATATTTGGAGTTTGCATGTTCTCCCTGTGGTCGCGTGAATTTTTATCCGGGTCCTCTGGTTTTCCCTCCACATTTAGAAACATACGCTATGAGTATTTGGCTATTTTAAATTTCCACATAAGCCACTTCATTGAGCTTTCATTTGTGGCCAGGTCACTTCTGAAGAAGAGCTATATTGCTTAATGGGCCTTACCTGGTAAAATCAAAAATTGTTTAGTTTAGTTTGTGTGCGAACCCCACCAACCCAGTGATGGCTCGGCAAAATAAAAACAGAAATAAAAAAAAACGCCACCCCATCATTAATACTTACCTGCTCATAATAAATTATAAACTGCGTGCACCCCCCTCCCTCCGCGGCTTCCCCCTCTCTACCACCACAACCACCACCCTGTGGGCTTCAGTGCCCCACCAATAAATATATCCACACCGGCCACCACTGCCACCATACACGAGCGTTCATTGCAGTTATGTGCAGCAGAATTGTTGGCTGCATGTTTAACAGCATGTGTTGGTTTCTTTGTGCTTTTGTGTATGAATCCCACCACCGCCACGCATCGAAATTATTAAATGCAATTTCACGCACGGGTGGTCCAATCGGTCCCTTGATTCCCACTCCACCAGGTGTTCCCTGCAAGCCCTGCCAAAGACAAAACGTTACTCGTTTTATGATTCTCCGCTCACCTGCCAGAAGGAGATGTTTATTGAGTGTGCACATGTACAAGGGTTTAATCGCTGGACAGCAGCCAATCAAAAGCTGAAAAAAGCTAAAGCATTGCAATTCACAAAATGAACACATTTCGAAGCAGAATGGAATTTTACAGTGACTAAAGTAAACAAATCAACAAGTGAAAGTTGATTTGGAAAATGTTGACATGGTCCTCCCATTGCATTTATCCTATATCTCTGCAAAAAAAAATCTGTAAGAAACTGTTGGAAATTAATTTTGTCGTAGTGCTTACCTTACTGTTTAAACTTTTGCATGGCTTAATATTGCAACTTTGTCAATTTGTGTCGTGATGGTAGCACATGCCAATTTAATGGAAGTATTCATCATATAGTACAGGACATTAAAATACAAATTACAATAAGTCCTGGTACATTCAGGATAACCAAATGTATTTAATTGACATTGAGCATTCACCTTTACTACCATAAATAAAGTTACATCATCAATCATTGAGCATAAGCTGAACACTTACACACTAACTAAAGGATAACCTTATGCTTTAGACAAGAACTTGAAAATGCATATGCACATTGATAAGGGCCTCCCCATGCCTTGTGGTCCATGGGGATTACTTAAAGTTACTTCACCACACTGGTCAGGGTGGGTTGGTAAACGCAAGGAGCATAGCCATTGCAGCATAGAAGTACAGTACAGCAATAGCTTTAGCTGCACTGCCCTCTATTGCTCACCGCATGCTGCAGTTCCATAGCCCAATGGCAGCCGGCTTGTGCATGGTTTGTCACCCACATCATATTATCCAACAAAAAATGAATGCTTTGTAAAATGATGGACATATGCAAACCCATGTTACAACGCACATCGTAATGCTGATGGCCTAAGAGTACAAAGTATCAGTCGAACACTCACTGGAAATCCAAGGGGCCCTCTGTCCCCAGGATCGCCAGATTTTCCCTGAAATGACACAAACGCACATGTCAGGACACCATGTATCATCACGCTGCCATACACTTGTAAACAATTCATCTGAACGTAAAACACATGCTGTGAGAGTCAATGATAAATTATTTTTGAGATGGGAGAGTCTGGCACGTGTGCATGCCTTGCACGAGGAAACTTCGGGGCAACTAAATACTTACGATAAATCCTTCAATACCAACTTCACCAGCATCTCCAACAGGACCCTGTCAAGGATTACAAGCACGCTTGTTAAGATGCGAAATAATTACGTGAACAGAAACGAAACCGACAACATTAATCCCAATGATAGGAAATATTACATCTGACTGATGTGTGTGTTAGTGTACATGCAGTGTACTGCACCAGGGCCCTTAATGTTCTCGAGTAATATTTTCCTCTATATTTTCCGAATACTCTGAATTGATTTCATATTGAGCTTGAAAAGTTATTTTAACCAGACTGTTTCTGTTGAATCCATGCGGTAGGCAACAGAGGGCAGTTTAGACAAAAAAATCAGTGGTTGTAGTGTACTTGTATGTTCCTTTTGCTTCCCAACCCATCCTGACCAGCATGGTGAAAAATGGACAAGTAACTTCCATGACCTTCATGACGAAGCAAGGCTCTCATTCAGCCCGTTGATTGCTTCAGGACTGTACATGTATTTACCCAGGAGTCTTAAGACTCTGCATTGGGATGTTAGGCCAATACCATTCACGATTGTTTGGCATGTGGCCGAAAACTGCTTTATATGGAGAATATCAACACACGTGGGTGGAAAACACTCCACACAGATTGATTCAATCCACAGACCCAATGGAGTTGAGCAGACAAAAATCTAACTGTGGATATCACCTTTTGCTTGCTATGCTGTCATTTAATGGCTCCTCACAGCCATCATTTAGCTAATACTGGTCATGAGACATTGACATTTGTTTTTTTTAAGACGAACCCAAAAACTGAATTTATTTCTTCAGTGGAGCGGGAATTTGCATGACAGCCCATGGCTATGGTCACAGATGTTCCTCCTTGCGTGCGTCTGCCTCCAGTGTCTCTGGAATATTAATGTTACCCCCTTGCCCCGAATGGCTTTAATGAGCACGTGTCAAAGTGACGTGGTCTACAAATGTACGGTGCGGTATAGGGTGCAACATTGTAGACCACATTATTAGCGGTTTGTGAGATAAGGCAGAGAGAAGTTTTGGCTCAGCTGTAAACACGTCTCACTCGCTAAGTTTGAGTCTTTCAAGCATTAATAGGTCCACAGAGTGCCATTCCTTGGAGTGGCACAGACGGATTTCAATTAAAAAAATCCCCTAGATGCTACTTTTTTTAAAGTTAGAATCGCTATTTTGGCCTAAAAAATGTTTAAAGTGTTATTACACTCACACTAATGTGGAATTTCTATTAGGAGTCGCTCTCAAACCCAAAATCAAACACAATTATTAATTTCAATTACATCCATTACACCTCATAGTTCCTATCAAAAAGGAATAATTCAAGGTTTATAATTGAAATTTGATTTTTTTTTACAAATTAATCCTCTGCTGATATACACGTATGAGGCAGACCTGCAAAAAACGGCGTTTTTCCATTTGCAGGTATGTTAAATTAGATTCGTCATTTACTTGACCAAAACAGTGCATTTGTAAAGTTAAAACCTGGGAGCAAGGGATTCTCATTTCCCCTTGGCTGCCAACAGATCCAGGTGTCAAACCTTCATTTGGCTGCTCTTTTTGCTCACCTGTCTGCTCAGGGAGAATCGTTCTCGTGATTAGAATAACAATGCCCTTCATTTAAAACTCAGGAAAGCCTCACTGAATCTCAAGTATCGCTTGTCTGGAGGGCTACCTGCCACAACGGGATGTCTAGCCAGTTCCGCTTTAATGAGTGTTTTTCGACTTCGTGTGTGAGAGGCGAAGGGTTTTACCTTGTTACCCTCTGCCCCCGGCTCTCCAGGAAGGCCATCTTCTCCCCTCGGTCCCTTCAATCAGAGAACCGCCACCACAGGCCCCATCAGCAGGTGTCACTCTCGCATTGCACAGCGGCAAGCACTGCTCCTCCCGGCTATCCATTCAATAACTCTACCTCTGATACTGTACCACAAACTAGAGCTCATGTCGTTACGTGTAAACTCAATGACATTTTTTTTTTATCTGGAAGGGAACGAAGCTAATTGGTATTCGGTGAAACACAGAAGCATTTCACTGGCACGGAAGAAGACATTGACATGCCCAGCATCTAACATCTCTTAACGAAAATGTTGAATAATGAAAAAAATATTATAGTAGCTGGGCCATATTATTGATAAAATATATTTTAGCAATTAAAGTCATTAAATGCCCAATGTACATGATGCATATATTATGAGAGTAAAATGTTTGTGGAATTACAGATGTTTTTACATTGCACATGTCATGCAAACATTTGAATATAGTTTGTATAGCTACATTAAATACAAGATACATTGAAAATGTAAATATGGTATATGCACACTTTTAAAATGATTTACTCAAATCTCTTTGATGGCTCATATTTAGTAAATAATGCAGATGTATGTGTACACAGTGTACATATGTAAATGTATAAATTACCACATTATATATCGCGCTGGGTTTGCTGTAAGCATTTTGTGTCCTTCAGCACTCTATGTAATTTATCCACATTGAGCAAAATGTGCTTCACGTACACAACGTTGAAATATTTCCGAGGCAATTTGTGAAATTAGCGGGCGTGCAAATACCCTTTTCCCTTTGGGTCCAAGGGGTCCTCTCCGGCCTGGTAACCCGGGCCTTCCCTGAAAAAACAAACACTCGTTTTTTTATTTATTTAAAGCTTTCGTGACTGCAGTGATTCCTATTCTTGGTTCTTTCGGTAAAGTCACGTTGAAGGGAAACAATAAAATAATAATAATACATATATAAAACAATACAATTCTCACGACGTTTCGACTGTAACACAAACAGTCATCATCAAGTGTGAAAACCAACGGCAAGAAACATTTGAAAGAAGTGGCGGTTTGTATTTATTAATTTATTTTTAAAACGTTAGCACCACGGATAGCGATTTGACAGTTTGTTTAGAAGGACGAGTCCATCTATGTTCGGAAAAGAGGAGGGGGGGGAGACGAAAAATTATCAAGGGTCTGTGGACCGAGGTGGACAAAATAAATGCTTTCCGAGAGCTGTCCGGACAGATGGCTCAAATAAACTTGAGAAACAATTTGCACTACCTGTTGCATTAACCGAGGCGAGGCGAGGCGAGCCGAAGGGAAAACGCACGTGGCCGCGCATTCGTCGGACTGGAAAAGTGGCTCCTATCACTCAACGCTCACTCGGCACACGGTGCCCCAAACATTCCCCATCGGTGTTCATTGTCTTCATCCATTCGCGGCTCATGCGTGTGCCAATGATTTGCCTCGCGGCAACGTGGCTGAGAGAAAGCTGTTATCTCGGCGCAAAGGGGCCTCTAAAGGCAATAAAGGGTCTATGAATAATGACCCATCATTCAACAATTTCCTCGTAATTTTCAAAATTTGCCATATTTGCACAAACATGACACCTATTCATCTTGTGAGTGTAACATCAGGAACTGTCTGTTGTTGTTGTCAATGATGTAATGGCAGGTAGCTCGCTCAGCTAATGCCCTGTTGTGGTGATACTGGGCAGAGATAGCAAGCAAACAACTGAACTATGTCAGTCTGCTCATTTGGCCGTGGCGATGATGACAGTGGCTGCTGTGGTATCCACACGATTCGTTATAACCTAGATGTATTTAGAAAAAAATCGGCCGTGTAATCGTGAGCATATTGATGACATGGATTTCTTGAAGTACAGTACTATATATTAAATAGTTTTGTTTATATTTAATGTGACTGCCTTCTTAAGAAAACTGATAACGTCATTTTTGTCCATGCAAGAATTAAGGGAAGGACAAATATGAAAATATAGAAACTGACAATAAATAAATAGCCTTTGCAACTGCACTGCTGGATGAAGGTGTCCTCCAACCGTGTTGATCATGGGTTTTTGTTAACCATACTTCACTGTGCTGGTCAACGCAGGTTGTTGAAGTAGTGTGGGGGGGGGGGGGGTGAGGATCTGGTGAGACATCACCACTGATGTTCACCATGGCCGCGAATAAAACTTAGGTCACCGACTTCACAGCTCTGCGTGTGCGCTAATCACTGCCCCATCTGTCCTCCCTTTCCCCCATATAAATCAACAATTTTTATGAAAATTTACTTATTTCAAAGTACATTTCAAAACTGGCGAATTTCCATCGCTGACCATTCATTACGTGCGTTGGAAATTGCGGTGAAGCTAAAAGTAAACAAAAAACAATCAATGCACGCGCATCACTTTATAAATTAGTGTCTCAAAAGAAAGTACGGATGAGTGGACCCTCAGACCGCAGACTACCCTCAAAGTAGCAATGGTAACAGTTTAACAGCAGGAGAGGGTGACAATTCGTGTTTACCCACAGTGTCAGTGTAACCACGAGGGAACCGTTCCCCGTGCAGCTGGCACAAGGTAGGCACGCAGGAATGAACGGCAGGGAAGAGCAGCAGGTGAGGGCCTTGACAGTTCGGCATGATTAAGATGTATGGCACCCGGGCAGAACTAATCGGAGTGTAAACTAATCCCCTAAGGGAGCTCGAACCTGGCTGCAGGGGCTGCTTGGTCACTAAGAAACAGGGAGGAAGATGATGGCCATGTGAATGAATGGGCTGACACACCCGCAGGTTTGGCTGGACTGTTTTTGTTTTCTTCGTGTTGTAGGTTCACGGGTTTAATAGTTCAAATGCAAGCACAACCCACTGGTAATGTCTCACAGGAGCATTATGAAACTATTTACATGCTGTCTACTGATGTGTTGTAGCAAAGAAAAAAAAGTGTGCTGTTTTCAATTGCTATATTTTCATATTTAATCGTCCTTTCCTGAATTATTGCGTGGACAAAAGGCTCCTCCGCCCAAACTGAGATGCTTGTATTCCTCTGGGACTATTGGTCATCGGGCAAATAATGACGATAATTTAAATGTCGTGTTCTATGAAAGAATAACAAAAGAAAACGAGTGCAGCTGACTCCGTCACACTGTTTTGGCTCTGGTCCTGCAACTGATTGGCCAAGACGATCACGTGACCTGCACTTTGATGTGCTGGAAATGTTTTAACCACAGGAGAAAAAAAGACATGTGCAAAACATCAACCTTGGCCGAGCCATGCATACAGTGGGAAAATGTGGCAATTACAAAAAAACCCCGTAAACCACAGCTCGGTACAGTCAGCAAAAAAAAACATTGTTCTCAGAAAGCAGAAACAAAGTTAGTGGAAATTTTGGCCAAGAAGAAATTATCATAAATGAGGACATTAACTGTGACCACCGTGATTTCTGTGCATTCCGCGCTAGATAGTTTGTCCAAGAGGAAGACTGTGAGGAATAGCTCAATCTATTGCCCATGACAGAGCACTGAGCAAGCGCTGCTGTTGCAATCCTGTATTTAATGATAGCGTAATAATATTATTGTCCTTATTTACACAAAAAAAAACCTCACTGGGATTCAAGATTTTTTTTTCAGAAGGGACCTGCAATGAGATGTTTAATCATGTCAATTAATGTGTCTTTGGCATATGGGAGGAAATAGATTCACACAGATAAGATTAAAGAATTTGTTGCTGTACTTCCAAATGTCGGCTACCTTGCAGCCCAAGCCTACAAGACCTGGTATTTTCAGGCAGCTACCCATTCAAGTACTAACCAAGCATAACTCTGCTTAGATTCCAAGAACTGACAATATCTACATCAGGAGCATTCTGGGTAATTTCCTGTATTTGAATAAGGATCGGCTACTTAGGAAGAACCATTTGATAATTTTATTTTTTCATGCATTTTTGTCTGGGTGGTGCGTTAGTAGAGTGTGTGGTTCGTGTTCAGAAAATTTCAAGTTGAAATCCTGGTTGGGAGTCAATTGATCCCTTCATCCCTCCAGGTTTGATAAAATGAACACCAATTTTAGGGAAAGCTGACGGTGGCTATCTTACGGAAAGATTCGCCCTCCCAACAGGAATGGGGAATTTATATCACTGGCTCAGGGCTTAATTGGGCAGGATGGAAAACTTCACCTGTTAATTCAAAAATTATATTTGTTCACTTGCTTAAAATTCCACATTTTTCTGAGGGCCCCACAGTGCAAAGTATGGCATTTTCTCTGACCTCACTCTCTCTGCTCCAAAGAAGGGCCATGCCTGAAACATCAGCCTACATTTTTCTGTTATAAAGCAGTGTTGATGATGAATAGGGTGAGTTTTTCATCTCTCATGTAGACGATAGCCAGCCTGACTATATAGGAAGCACATCATTCCTTAATGCCGTGCACCATGTAAGCCAGTGCTCGCCTTCAAAACAATAGCGAGGCTTTCAGCAAGAGCTCCCAGCGCTCTGCTGAATACAGGAACAATTCTTTACAACTTTACGGAGCTCCAGGTGTCTGTGGCTTTTGACAAGCAGTGATTGTCCGTCAAAGCCTTAGCAGGGGGTTAACTTCAATGGAATCAAAAACCTCCCCTTCAGCCCATGTGCTTGTGCATTCCTTGTTTTGAAACAACATTAATATTGCCTGAAATAACACCCTTCTCCACACACACACAAGATTATCGCAATTGCCCAGGTTTTTCCAGTCGCCTGGCATGTAGTACATTAAACCGTTATGAGTTTTCACGGGCAGGGTTTACATTCAAAGATAATCTGACAGCTTCACCGTGAAATTTTGGGTTATTACAGCTAAATTTCGACCCTTTTCTCACCTCTTTCTTCACGGCGACGGCACGCAAAGCTTTGTGTTCATGTACATTCCACCCACAAAGCACTTCTGAGATTAAAGGCCATCCCATGAGAGTTTTGCACGTTGGGGTTTTGGATAAGCCACTCTACTATTGTGAAGTTTCCTTTAAAAGTGAAAATCATAGACGCAAGGTCCCTCGGAGGCAGTCAACTGAGGTCTACAGCCTTCCCTTTGTGTGGCGATTGTGGATTAAATGTAATCTTGGGCAAGATGGAACGGAAGAAACTCAGGTGTAAACACAGGGTGGCTGAAGGCATGTCTGTTTACAGATAAAATGTGCAAACAGCTGTTAAAAATAAAGGGTTTGTGCCAAGTTTACTTCAGTGTGAGTAAAGACGACTTAAAAGTTATTAAATCTCAATTCACGAAACATCAGCCTGTCATAAGCGTTCAGTCTCTGCAATCTATAAAATCGATACAATGCGGTCAGTTACACCGAAATCATTAAGTAAATTGATTGACTATATCAGGGGTCGGTCACCTTCAGCTTCCAGAGCCGCATGCGGCTCTTTAAGGACTGCTTGGTGACGTTATTTATTAAGGACCCCCGTCTCATATTCACATGCATTGTGGCTCTTGAAATATTGAAGTTTTTCTTTACTTATCGCCTTGTTATTTTGGTTACAGACCCCCTGGACTACGCACAAATGGTTGTGTCATATCGACAATTAAGGCATGTTTCTTCCAAAATCAATATAATGAGCAAAGAAAATAATATAACGACATTTTGCTCAACGGACGACATCGTGGTACCACGATGTCAAGGCAATTCTCGTTGCAACAGAGCGGTGCAGTTTGGCACTGCACTACAGCCGCCAACAATATTCGAACAATTTCCGTTCAAGTACTGTACATGTAAACCATTCCCCTTATTATCGGTGATTATTAGATAGTAAGATAAACAGAGATAAATAACGTTGGCCATGCCAAAAGCAGCCACCTTTAATGGAAATGAATGGAACTCTCATGGAGCCGACATGAAAATGATTCTTGACTTTTTGATTGACTTATTTTAAAGTATCCTTCCGTTGTGGTGATTAAAATAATATTATTAGCATCTGGGTCTGATATGTTTTTGATTTTATATGCGAGCTTTGTTTAGAAAAATATTTACTTATGTATATAAAAAAAAGAAAATAATACTCCGTGCCATTTTTCCTTTGTTACGTTTTTCAACATTTTGCTCTTTGCTTTTGGTACTTCCGAAAGGTGGAAAGGCGATGCAAGTGAGATTATTACGCAAGAGAGGAAACCAAACAAAACATGGACACTTTCAAAAGCCTTCTATTGCACCATTTATAAAAACAAACCTGCCGCTGAAACCTTCATATCCTTGCCTTCTCGTGTGGCTGCCCGTATTTTGGTTACTGTCTTTTTCACCGAATGATAAATAAGGTCAGGGCGTTGAGTGACAGAGACGGGTCGTCTTTCGCGAAGGCCCCCCAGCCACAACTTCTCGGAGACACCACCGAATCACAGCCACGGCGTCGTAACGGTTGACAACATTCCCTTGATAACAATTTCTTAAAATGACGCAGCACGTCCATCATATTGAGCCACGCAAAAATTCTGGAAGCCAGTTATTGCACGGCAAGCAGGAAACATGATTGCAAATCCTACCCAAACTGAAATTACACCTCGTTGCAGCATTTAGGGAACGGGAGGGGGTGGTGTTCTGAAGTGGCGATTGTCACGCAATTTCACGATCAGGACAGCCACTAGTGGCATGCGACAGTTCGAAGGTTTCTCCAGGTCCATGGTGGCAGTGTTGAATGTTTGCACGATGTCAAGCGGCTGTTACAGTTGCAGCCAGAGGGCTTCATGGGGGAATTTTGTACAATTTCCAAGATGGCTCATTACCTGAGGAATAACCCACTCTCGTCCCACTGCATCTGCTACGTGCAACGTGTTCAAATTTGAAACAAATATATTTTGGGAGGAAGGGATGAAGATTAATAAAATGATTAAATGGTCTGTGACTAATAGAAAGTAATTGTAATTTTCTGCAGCAGGCATTAGGAACTATTAAAGAATGTTACATTGTGAGATGGGATAAAGTAAGACAAATACATGTCCAGACTACACAATAAGTTATTAAAGCCATATGTGCGGTGTTGTGAGTGATATCCCCTCACATGTTCTTCCCATGCACTAAAGACTGATTATTCGAATTGGCTAAATAACGTAATGGTGAACCCTCCTGATGAGCTCTGAGACTCAGTGAGACTTTCGTGGAGATATACATAACATTATCGTTATTAAATAACATTTGGCGCAGTGAAAATATATGCATTTCAATCAATATATTTTTAAAATATTTAATCTTATTGTTATTTCCAGTAAGCATAGTCGCTATAAGTCCCTTAAATTTTAACCTTCGGCAAAAGTGGCACAATGACCTGGCTTGAAAATTCACAAATAATTAGGAGGCACAGCCCAAGTGTTGGAAAAGGAGAGAAAATCATCAACAGGCTGCACCGAAGGCAGCAGGGTTCAGATAAACTTACCAGACCACGGCAAGCGCGAGGCGAGCTGACTACTCAGTCGCAAAGTAAATGTATTCAACAAGCCCTGCTAATATCAAATAATACGCGCTCCGATGTAATAATAGTAAGGCCGCAAGGGATTATGGTCACGCTCTACCTCCTCTTAATGAAACACCTGTAACGTTTTTTTTTGTTTACGAAGCCAGTTCCCCTTCCAAAAGAAGAGATGTTTAATAGAGGAAACCCAAAGCCCGGCGCAAATGAGCAATGCTTTTTAGCAGACGTTAAAATCAACGCAGAGGCCGGGTACGAGCACGGGGGGGGCTGACGCAGGGTGCAGTTAGAGGTGGCGTGGGTTCACGAGCAGAGCGGGATACATTTTTTTTTAACAAACACTGTGCTGCTGTGAGGCTCAAGGCTAAAGGCACCGAGTACAAATAAACAAAGCGGTCAGCAGGCCGCCACCCGGGGGACTGCTGAACCTCTCTCTCGGATGTCTTTCACAACCCCGACGACGACGTCACAGACGCTGCCCGCCCTCCCAACAATTCCATCCTCACCCCCCCCCCCCCGTTTTATCCCCCCCCCACCCCCACACCTTCCCCACCCCCCTCTCTTGAGGTCTTACTTCCTCCCACCTCCTCGTTTCACGAACAGTGCCTTATTGTGTGTGCGGCGAGTTAGCTGGCACGGCCAAAAAGGCTCTTGTTAAGGAAGAATGGGGAAGGGGCACGGTAGGACTGGCCTCGAATTTTGCATCTCCCCCCCCACCAGGCCCCCACCGTGTATCACTCACCGGTGGACCTTCGGGCCCCACTGGTCCCTGCTCTCCTGGAGGTCCGGGATAGCCCTGCACAAAAATAGCAACAACAGCAACAGCAGCAGCAGCAACAACAGCGGTGAGGTGATGCTTGATTATTGCGAGCCACCACCACCGCCCCCACCACCACCCACTTTGTATCAAACGAGTCCCGAGTCTCTTCGCAGGCACGGCACATGCAGGTGGACGCCGCACACACCGCTGGAAGTGGTCGTCAACGCCGAGGAAATGATGCAACAACAACAAAAAGGTCAATGGAGAGCAAAAACTTGTTTTAACATTACCTTAAAATATATTAATGGATACAATTTGCGCGTCATATAAACCGGCAACAGTTTCCAAATACAGTGCTGAGTTACATCAAAGCCAATTCTGTCTGTCCTTTACTACGATGAAAAAAAACTCTCTGCAGTTGTTTGTGAACATCTTGGGCCATTGCTTCAAAGGCAGCTAATGGAGCAGACTGGAAGTGGTGTGCAGTCCAACCATTATCTAATAATATGGGCAATGTGGATTGCATGAACTTATCAAATACGTAGCCATGTGGTACGGCAGTCAGAATTTCATCAGAACTCTTTCAAGTGCTGAAATTATGAATCAAATACATTTATTATTCATATAATTCAGCATATTGGGGGTTCTTTTAGTAAGCAATTAACTGGCACCTGTTTTAATAACTATGAAACTAAACTACTTTGATTTTACCAGGAAAGGTCCACTGAGTTATAGAGCACTTTTTCAGAAGCGACCTGGCCACAAATGATAGCTCAACAAAGTGGCTTATCATGTGGACATTTATAGCAGGCAAATTATCTAAATGCATGTTTCTAAATTTGGAGGGAAATACCGGAGGACCTGGAGGAAAATCCACGCAACCACAGGGAGAACACACAAACTCCAAATATACGGGCGTCAGGGTCGAGATCGAACCTACAACATCCTGTATACCAGGCGAGGGAGTTAACATCTCGCCACTGTGGCACCCCGGTTGATGCCAAGGATCTGGCCTCCAACACGCAGGACAACTCACACACTCCCAGCGTGATGACAAGTGATGACGATGATGACGTCGTCATCCTCCACACTCATCTTCACCTCACGCCCAATGCCATTAAAACACGTTTAGAGTCTCGTGCACTCATTTATCTATTCTATCCAAATAAATAATCGATAGATTAACCAATTAAATTAAGAGTCGATTGCTGCAGCTCTAACCTTCTGTCATCTACACATCAGCGAGGTGTGAAGAAGTTCTGCCATGTAACTGGCTCCAAAGCCTCCTTTACACAGACCATAGTTTACATTAAATTGACAGAATGCTCTGACTGCAAGCGTGCGTTGGCTTTCTGCCTGTATTGGGTGTTTACATGATAGCAGCAGATACACAGCAGTCTTTTTTCCAGCTCATCGTACGCACCAAATTACCGAGACTGCACGACTCCCTCTTATCTCTCCACCACCGGTTCCGCTCATCGCTCTATTTTGTTAATTAAGTCTAGAACGGATACAAAATCTAGTATTGTAGCCACGCTACAACAAACATTCAGGCAGTTGAGAGACAACTAAAACATCCAACCAGACTTAAAAAAAAATTGTCAAGCAGTCCGAATGGCAACTGCCTCCATTCCGAGTCAGTTTCAATAAAACATTTTTAAAGATGAATACCCACATTTTTAGTCATTTCTAAACCACCTGAAGCATTTCAGGTGATATGCCTCAACTGTTTCTTTTTAGAATGCGTGTATGCTGTCACAGCAGCCAATGCTGCTCACTAACTTGGTACACTGGCGTGCAATGACTGGGATTAGCAGGTACCCAAAACAAGAGACCTGATGAAGATCGGTGGAAATACCAACTCCAGAATGTCAGCCCGCACAATTCATGGTCAGGGAGTGCGCCTAGGTTGGACGCGGGGTTCGTTGACCTCTTGGCACTTGTGCATGTGGAATGCTCTTGTAAACTGCCTGCCCGATTGAGAGTCTGCTCCTCGGTGTACATTGCTGAGATCCCTGGGGCGTGACATCAGGACACTGGAATAGGGTTTAAATGAAAGGGAGCTGTATCCAGCACAAGACCGTTTATGGCTGCGTGTGATGCTGAGGTATATTTCATGAAATGTGGAACCTTTTGACAAAAAAATAAACACAAGAATATTTCACCATTCTTTTGGGAGCTTTATGGTAACGTGAAATAATATAAGGGACGTTCGGCAAAGCTACAGCATTTGTTAATTTACGCATGACAAACAACCCAATGCAATACTAAAATTGGGATGTGTCATGGAAATATCTTACCACTTCACAAAATAAGGGGAGCACAAATGTTACATAATTGTTAAAAACAGTAACACAGTTGAAAATAACATTTGCTGATACCTTTAATGCTCCAATTATTGTGAACTTATCTCGTTTTAGAGCAACACTGGCACGGCAAACACAATTACAAAACGTTATATTCAACAATGCATGCATCTTAAGTGCATTCCTCTGCTCCACGCGCAGTGATAATGTTTACAGTGAAACGAGCAACATGGAGGTCTGTGTATGGTGAGCCGCCCGTGGCTTCGTGATAATGTGACTGTTTTTCACCTACCAAACCAGAGATGTGCCAAACTTACTGCTTACCATGGCTCCTTTCTCTCCAGGGGGCCCAGGGAGACCCACTCCCCCTCGTTCCCCCTGCACGCGCAAAGGAGACAAGTCGCCGGATGAAGCTGGTTGTAATCGCCAGCGAAACGTTGTACTCAAATTGTAAATGTTGCGGGTTTACCCTCCAACACACCGGTGTGCTGAAGTAGTAACTAACTGGCACGTTTTGTTTACGTGACAAACCTTACTAATTGGCTGTGTCATGTGGTGGTGGGTTAACGACACATTTATATTTACGTTATCTGAAAGGAAAAAAAAAACCTTTATTACGAATAATATTGGTCGTGAAAGCCTATGTGTTAATCTGAAGAGAGACACACGAATGCCTCAGCGGTCTTCGACTCACTTCTCACTACACCAGCACAACCGGGTGAAGGTGAGATTCGTGCACACAGTCGGACTGCTACCTCTGAGTTTACAAAACCAGGACATATCATGGGAAGATGAATATCTCACGGTACCGGAAGAGGAGAGAACGACTTCTTAAGTGAATTGTCCTGAGCGGTGTGTTATAATGCAACTGACAAAAACAGGGAAAATGCATACATTTCCCAGGACAGATACATCAAACGATGGCACAGATGGCAATCCTAGCGCACAGCCATGAGGATAATGATGGATTGCACGATCACAGCATATAGTCGACTAAACTTTGAACAAGAATATGGAGGTGCCAACATGCAGGGACTAAGGTGATGGTGCAAAATGAATTTCCTAACAAAACAGAGACAATAAGATAGACTCACTTTATCTCCAGCTTTTCCCATTTCTCCAATCGGGCCAGTCAATCCGATGAGTCCCTGTCACAAAGTTGCAATGTTTAGCTTGGGCAAGTGTCGTGGGTGAGTGGCTGTTTAAGCAAGCAGACCACACAGGAAGCCGGTGGGAACATCGTATTATTATCATAATCGTGATCGGCCATGTTCAATCCACTGCAGGATGAAGGCCTCCACAGGCTGCCACCATCTCCCACAATCCAGGTGAAATTTTTGTGGCTTATTTGGCTAAGTCGACCGAAAGAAGAGCAGGTTAACTGAGATCCCGGCTTTGAATTTGAGTTACAGCCACCATCGATTAAATTGGGTTCTCATATGTAGTGAGTTGTTGATGGTTTCAGCCACTTCCGAACGACTACAACAAAAAATGTTGCCTTGTCATTTAAAACGGCGAAACTCTGGCCCTGAAAATAAAAATATATATATCCGTTTCACTGCCATTCGACGAAGAGTTTTATGCAAGTGCGCCCCAGGGTGTAGATAAAATGGTCATCTCAAAAGTAGCTATTTGTCATATCTGGCTCCACAGGCCATTTCTCTGGAAGAGTTACACACAGATACGTCGTCTTATGACCCGATGCTGATATCACAAATGAATAAAATTGAACTGAAAATGTGATAAAGTCAGCATTAATGAATTAATAAATTCAAAGAATGAAGATGACTGCCAGCTGTGGTGGCTGATATCGACACGGATGTGCGTTACTCACAGTATCTCCAATTTTGCCGGGCATTCCGGGGTCACCAGTCTCACCCTGCGTACACACATCAAAACAAATGCGTGCACACGAGTAAGCATCGTTAAATGATGGTAAAAAAAACAGGTGAGTTTTAAGACGCGATTTAAAAAATGCAACAGGACGCGAGGTTCCTTCGTGGACCGAGGCAGGGAATTCCGCGATCGTAGAGGCCGGCTGCAAGAATCTCGACGGCACTAAATGCAGCGTAGTTCGTAGACCCTCTCAACACAACCAAGTTTCAATACACAGAACAAAAAAAACAATGGGCACTCACATCAAGGAAGAATGAGGAGGCATATGCTAATTTCTTCCAAGCTCGATGCATTGTTGATGTTTGTAATTATTTTCAAGGAGTGATTAAAAAAAGTGTAAATATATAATGGTAATATCATTGGACCTCCCTTGCCAGTATCAAAATATAAGAATAGGTTTTACCCTTTCTGGCAATAAAACAGTTTGTGTTAAGATGTTAACACACCAAACTGAAACCTTTTGCAAGGGATCATGTCTGCATTAACCACAGATACTTGTGGTGAACATGCAAACAAAAAAAACCATGGTAAAATCTATTCTTAAATAATGCTAATAATTTTACTTTAGTTTGCTTTGGCTTGGAGCAGCAGTTGTTAAGCATGGTCATCTTGGCAGCATTTTCTGCGCTCTACTGTAAACAATACACCACTGAATTTTAACCCTGAATCTGCAGGTCAAGGTCAGATTTTCAGCAGTTTTATTTATTTTATAATATATGTGTATATATAGAGTATTATTGTTATCTCAATATTTAACAATTAAAAAAGGATCGCCAAAATGTGACCAATGGATTTCAATTTCCGAAAACCTGCTGAAGAGCCAAGGTCAAACAGTCAAAAACAGAGATGCTTGCCCTTTGGTCCAGGTGTCTCTTGACCTGCAACATTCGCCAGTATTCAGAAGGGGAAAAGGTCATGAGCTCTACCTTGAGTCCATCTGGTCCGGGCTTCCCAGGAAAGCCTTGGCTTCCGGGATTTCCCTGCAAAATTACAAGGGTTACGGTCAATGTTAGTTCCGGAATTCCACTGCAGCCAAAGCGAACTGGCCGAATGAAACGCGCGTTATATTTAACGGAAGGTCAATGTCTTTTTCATGCCCCCTTTAGCCGCGGTGTGACGGACATCTGTTCCAGACTCCCCCATCTGGCCTCAAGTGCAAATGACTGCAAAACCATTTTTTAAAATAAATAAAAAACTCGACACATTAACCAATAATACCACCTTAAAATATATACCTAATAGGTGAAGTTTGTATGTATGTATGTATGCTGAACTTTTTTCGCACTGTACACAGCCAACCGTACTAATCGGATGTGAAGAGGAAAGGGCAACAAACTAAACACAACAATTTTTCTTCTAAAAAAACGAGTTTTCAATCGAGATTTAAAAGTGCATAGATCCAGTGGCTTCCAAATCTCAGAAGCCACATTTCACACAATGGCCCTTCTTCACAGCACATATGGAGGCCAAACAAGTAAGGTGATATCTCTACCTCTAACTCTGCTGGCCTATGTCCAGTGACGAAGGGCCATTGCCTGAAACGTCACCTATTATATATTTTATGGCAGTGTTATTGACGAATTTGTTGATCTTTATTGGAATCTGTACTTGTGCACCACTGCCAATGCAGCAGTATCAACAAATAATTACTTTTATTTGATATAAGTGGCACTTTTATGTTGTCTAAGTATATACAGATACAGTCAGTAGGAACAAAGGCTGAATCGTGAGTTTAGTCCAGTATAGGGACCGGGAAGATATGTATTGTGGACCTACTGGTGGACCTGGAATTCCTGGTGGCCCCAAAGGTCCCTCTTCTCCCTGCAAAAGAGATGAGATGCACACACACACACACAAAGACAAAGATCCCCCGTATAGCCTTAACAGATTGTAGGGGCAAGTGCTGTTAGTGAGCAGCTATGAAGGCCGGAACGGTACACGAGGGGGTGGGTGGCCAGCACCACGCCCGACCGCCTTTGTCTCCCCAGTGGCGATGTTTACACACCGCACCAGGTATTCATTTGAGGCTGAGTCGATCTAGGGGAGGCCCAGGACCAGTGCAGATAATCGTCAGTGGTGTTGGTCGTGAGCAGGAATCTAACCCGGGTCGCCAAGTTCATAGCGCAGCGCGCTAACCGCTACACTACCGCTCCCACACGCGCACACACACACACAAAGATTCCTCGTATAGCCTCTAACATACTGTTGGGGCAAGTGCTGTTAGTGAGGACCTATGAAGGCCAGCACAGCACACAAGGGGGTGGATGGCCAACAACACGCCCGGCCGTCTTTGTCTCTCTAGTGGCAATGTTTATACACTGCACGAGGTAGTCATCTGAGGCTGAGTCGAACTAGGGGAGGCACCCAGGACCGGTTAAGAAAATCGTCACTGGTGTTGGCGGTGAGTGGGAATCGAACTCGGGTTGCTCCCCACACACACACGCATGTACACACACAAGCATGCCTGAACCCAGCTTTGTAGCAGAGGACACTTAAAATAACACGAGCTTTTTCTGTTCATTTTGGAATATTTAAATGTTTTGGAATACCGTCCGGCATTTAAAGGTTGTTGGCTTGGAAAGGTTCCAACATAAATGAAGCTGAACATGAGCACGTGTGCGTCTGCAGTCCTGACATGCCTGTGCACGTTTGTAAATACTTTAGGGCCGAGGATCCAAAGCCAGGCGGTTTCAGATTCACCAAACAGCACTTCAATTATATGTTATGGTGCAGCCGCCTATATAATGTTTTTGCCTGACATTGACCCTTTATTGGAAAATAAAGTTGGCAGAGCCTGCCCTACGTGAAAAGTTTGGTGGACTAAGATGGAAATGGCTGTCTGTCACAGTGTTGCATTTGGATAGTGTATCAAATACCAACATAGGAATCCATTGAAGTGGCCGATTGATATTGATGTTCAATAGCTGATGACAACAGTTAACTAAAACAAAATTTAAAAGGGCATAATATTAGTGGCAAAACCATGTTGATTCTCAAGGAGTGAAATTGCTCGATAGGATAGCTGAATTTTTACTCGATATGCCTTTGAGTGTTAATTCTACAGCTAAATATGCAACAGGCTCCAGTTCATGGTGCTTGATTAGGATAGCGTTTGTGTTGAAGTTTACGTGTGGAGTGTGAATGTGGTGGTTAGCACACTGCCCAACAAACCCGGCGACTCGAGTTCAATATCCGCTCAAGGCTAACACCAATTGGCGAATATCTTAACTGTCCCGGGCCTACCCTAGGTCAACTAAGCCGAGATACAAAAACGGCCAGGTGGAGTGTTGACCACTTACCCCCTCTTGAGCACCATGCCGGACTTCATAGGTGTTCGCTAATGGTGGCTCGGCTCAAAAGTCCAGATGTCTACACATAGGATTGTATTTTGTGTGCGTGTGTGTGTGTTTCCTCGTGTCTTTCCAGAGAGCATTCAAACATGGACTGGTACTAACGTCAAGTCCCTTCTGGCCCGTTGGTCCTGGTGGGCCCCGGGATCCTGGCTTGCCCTGTTTGCAGGAAAAAAACAAACAAAAAAATTTAAATTCCAATGTTAGTGTTGGATAAACACAGTCGCCCACATCCCCTTGTTGACATAGACGGCTCGTTACAGTAAGGACTATTCATCACCATCGGTAAAACACTGCTCGAAGTTAACAGCAGTACACTATTCATCATTTAAGGTTGCACAACACCTAGCACAGTAGTTGGCTTTGAGCGGTCAACCAAAAAACATTGGGGCGCTCATCATGCCGCCGTCTCTCAGCACGCCCGGCAAATTAAAACGGGCGCGAGCGTGAAGTCAACGTGAGGCTCTATTTGACGTCCGTATATTAAAAAGGCTACAGAAACACGGAATTGTGAACAAATTTTTTTTTTTCTAAACTGAAACGCCGCTTCAGCGATGAAGGCTTTTGTTGGCTCTTTCAGCATTGCGCTGAGGAAAAAAAAAATACCCTTGTGAAGCCGCGGTTGAGCAGTCAGTGAAATTCATTGGGTCACTGTTGGCTGATGGAAAGCAAGGGAGTGAGCAACGTGGTTAAATATAGACAGCAACATGTAATGGTGCAGCCCTGAAATGCCTTGCTCGTGTCGCTGCTGGTGGAACGACCGCTCCCTAGAGGGAGCTCCAGAGAGCACCACGAAAGGGTATTGGGTCTACTCTTCCATGCTGGCCAACACGTCTTGGAAAAGGTTTCCGGAAGTACCCACCACATTACAAGCGACCTGATCAAGCGTCAGATACAAATATTTTAGTGTAAATGCAAGTGTAAATATATAGCGTGGAATAATAATAATAATAATTTTACCTTTGGCCCATCAAGTCCATTAATACCTGGTGATCCAATGGCACCAGGAAAGCCCTGTGAAAGCACAAACGCATTCTATTTTAGAGAGAAGCACACCTATCCTAAATTCACATTGTGTTTCTACGAAACAAATTCGGACCGTACAAATCCTGTGACATATATTCAGCCCTGGACATTGGTGTTTAATGACCTACGTTGCTATGAACGATGACAAAAGGCCAATTGCCGTAGAGCGAACGCTTGCAGTAAATCTGCTGCATGACTTCAACCGACAAATCCAAACAATAAATGTAACACTGCTATTAATGTATATTACAGTTTACAGAAACTGTAGCAAATGTATACTCTTTGGTTTTTTCGGTAAAGTCACGTAGGTAAAATGAAAACAACTAAATTAAATCGCGACGTTTTGGAGGCAACATAAGCATCCGTCTTTAGGTGAAAACCGTCAAAGCAAAATTGTTGTAGCAAGTTAAATTTTGCTGTGACGGTTTCCACCTGAAGATGGAAGCTTGTGTTGCCTCCGAAACGTCGTGATTTAAGTTAGTTGTTTCATTTTACCTACGTGACTTTACCGAAAAAACCAAAGAGTATGAATCCTTGCAGTCACGAAAGCTTCAAATCTATAACAAATGTGTAGATGTTTCACTGTTATTAAATCAGAGTAGTGTCAATATACCACTTAATAACTTGTTGTTAAACAAAAAATATGAGTACACTTACATTTTAATCTAAAACCATTCAAACTATGGAATAGAAAGAATATATTACAAGTATGATAACCACTTTTAAATCATGTAAGGGTGGTGGTCACATGGCTCAGGGGACAGTGCTGAGATGGCACTTTTGAGATCATGATTTAGAGCTTGGCCAAGTGTGATTAAACTGCATTCTCAAACAGATTAGTAAATTGAGGGTCTCAGCCCGGTCACAAACGACTAAAACGAAAATCTATCGCATGAAAATTTGTTTTTTGACCGACGTGCAAACAAACCCCTCCACGCAGAGCATAAACAAGTGTGCCCCTTATGTAGAGACGGCGTTTCGATTAATGTGAAATGAGGCCACATAGTGCACCGCTTGCTCAAAGATTCTCATGATATGATGCTGTTAACACAATCGTAATTGATTTGTTTGTGTTCAAAATGTAATCGCCAAATTTCCAATATTTATATTGTTTCATTGACTTTCTACAATTGCATTTTTAAAATCTGTTGTTTAAATTCAGTGTTAGTACTGCTTACAAACCTCTGGTCCAGAAGACCCGGGGGGGCCAGGCGGTCCCGATTCCCCGGTTTTTCCCTGAAGCAAAGATTATAATCGTTCAGTTGTTTACATAACAGGTCATTTCTCTCTGTTTCTACCCAGATTTTAAATGAAGAGAGATATTTAGATAATAAATAATCATGGGTAATGCAAGTGTCCATAATGAACAGATGTAGGCACATTGGAAAAAAATTAAGAACGAAAAGTATTCGACAAAGTATAAAAACGGAAGTTCACTGGGTGGTGTTTGTCGCTTTACATTTAACCTCAAGCGATGTTCAAAATGTGGCACTGAAAAATAACTTGGTGTTCGATGAAATAACAAGGTAGTCGACTTACTGCTATTCCAGGATTTCCAATAGGCCCAGGGAGACCAGGAAAGCCTAGGTTGCCCTAGGAAAGTCAATGTAATTTCAGAATCATTTGTTCACAGTTGTTTCAGTGAACACTTGGACAGCACTTCTGGCATGACACACTAGAGCGAATGAGGTGAAAGCAAGACATGTTTTTGTATGATAGACCACAACAGGAATATAAAAATACAATATCCTTGGATGCTCAATGATGAAGCATAAGGGAACGTAGTATAACATGATATTAATCCACAGCTGTATTGCTTTGGCTCAGCCCAATTAATCCTAATCCTACCTCTCAATCTATCTATATCAGCTACAGGAAGGAACAAGTGTGTCAACCAACGCAGTGTCTTGGTTAATTTCTGCAAGTATGACGTGGAAAGGCTGAACATAACAGCAGTAAACTAATTTGGCATGAGGATTGCAGTCATAAACATACCCGATTGACTTGTTTATTTACAATGTACTATTTAACACGTAGGCTTTCTCGACCAATATTATAACAGATTTGTTTTGAATTTTGATTTAAAGCTTTCGTGACTGCAGGGATTCATATTTGTTTTGGGTTAGACCACGTAAATATAAATGCGTCGTTAAACCCGCTACCACTTGACAAAAACGGTACTTGAATTGTAAATCGTGTGAGTTTACTCTCCAACACACCAGTGTGATGAACTAATAACGAATTGGCATGTTTTGTTTACGTGACAAACATTACTAATTGGCTGTGTCGAATGGTGGCGGGTTTAATGACACATTTATATTTACGCGATCAAAACCCCCCAAAAAACTCTAATATGGATACAATGTAATATATCAGCTATTATTCCAATCTACATTATCATTGCTAATACCGCACGTAGTAATTGACTTATATAGAGATATTTACAGTATAAAACGATATCTGTTTATTGGCTTGCCTATGAGGGTTGGAACAATGAGCTGAATTTGACAAGGCATTTGAGGTTAACATGTGATTCTCTGCAGATCCGGTAAATTAATCCTCGTTGGAATGAGCTAGCCATGCTGAATGGGTTCTATTTTAAAAAAGTATTCGCACTACCCCAACAGCCTGTGTTGGGAGGGAGGGACCTAAGGTTATCTGTTAACGGAGGCGGCTCATTGCTGGCTGAGCCTGCACGTCACAGTCCAAACACTTCACGTCACAATAAAGCAATGGGCGAGGATTTATTGTCAAGCGGCTTTGTAATTCATCAGACGCTTTCTGCCTGGTGACAGAAGGGCTCTTAAAGCCACTCTGGCAAGCCGAGGTTTATACTTGCTTGGGATTTCTTCCCTGCGCAATGCCCACAAATGTATGCCAAAGGAAGACAAATGGGCAGTCGGTCAAATGGGGGCACAGTGGTTAATGCACCACACTGTGACCCCGGCGACCTAAGTACAATTCCCCGCCAAAGCTAAGGCCAAAGGTGAGGGATATCTGAATTATCCGTGCCCACCGCAGCCCCTTTCACAAACCCACACTGCCCTGCTTGGTTTAGTTTAGTTAAACAACTCCCATTACCGATACGGCGTGGGTAGGCATTCATCTAGCAATTAATTGACAAAGGGCTGTCAATTATTTTAATAATACTTATAATAATTATTATAATGATAATTATTAATCGTAACTAGCACTGGCCCACGCATTCGCACGAGATACGCAGCCGGGATGGAGGGTGGGTGGGGGAGAGGGAGAGATGTCAGAGTGACGCACGAACCCAGCTCAAAGTCGTGGGATGTGGGTGACATCATCAAGCAAATGTGCGCGGCAATGTTACTATGGCGCACTTGCACGCCTGTGCGCCAGCCAGCCAGCAAAACTTTTTTAAAAGAATATAACATAACATGATAACGATACAGTGGGGTAGAGTGGCAATGTAGTGATTGTAGTACTGCACTGTGAGCCCATAAACCTGAGTTCGATTCTTGGCCATTGCTAACATCTGTGGCAGTTACTAGGTACCCCATCCTTGTCACTAATCGCAGTGGCTTCGCATGGAGACGAATGGTAACTAAAATTTAAATCCAGCAGTGGATTGACAAAGGGCTGTGACATATTTTTTAATGGTACGATAACAAGTTCTCTTATGTATCCAGGAAATCCTCACCAAGTCTCAAGACTCGTTTTTCAGGAAGATCCCACGATAATAAGGATGTTTGGGCAACAGTCCACTTAGTATGCATTTGCGTGTAGCAGGAAGGCAGACAGCCTGGAGCAAACCTACATATAAACCAGAATTCTGTTCAAAACCCCACACAGAGTGGTACGCAACCTATTTTCTGTGCTGCCTCTTCCAAGTATTCTGTCCTGTCTCACTCAAATAATCTTGAATAATCTAAGCCAGAGCCATCAACCACCATGCCCTATTAACACAAGGTGCTAGCAGAACTGTACATGAACCCTAAACGTGCTAACGACTATATAATGATGACTACTCTCGTTTAGCCACATTAGCATTTTTGGAGCATTTTAACATTCCAAGTTGACAAGTCTAAACAGCGAGGTCTCCGATTCCTCAGCCCATCATAATCTATGTGTTTAGGTTATGCATCAAAAGGCATTTTCTGGCACACCTTCAGATTTCAATCATTCCTGGCTGTTCACAACTGTCACTAGCTGATATTTTGCTTTGCAGCACAACGTGACGCAAAAAAAGGCTCTGGCGACGAGAAAAGAAAGCGCCCAATCAGGAGGAGGCTCCTGCTTTGAGCACAGCGAGTAGCAGAACAATGGGCGTAAATCCTCGGGGAAAGGGCAATTCAACACCCAATGCATTTTGTCAACAGTTCAAATTATGCCCTTCATGTATTATTACTGTTATCATCGTTTTAAAACTCAGCACGATTATCCACTGCAACTGTTTACGTTCATCATGGACAGTTTACAGAGCTATCGGGAGTCTCCAGGATGAATCGGCTAATGTACAGCATATGCCATTATGGGACAGGAAAAGTGATTGATTTAGCATGCTTCTTTCATCTATGCCACTTTTACCCTCCTAAAAATAATGACCTCCAGCCCACGTGTCTTTTTGTTGTCGTATTACGCCTCTAACATATACATTCTTTCACAGCCATTTTAAGACAGCAATAATAATAATGTTTATTATGTGAAAGTGCATCGTTTAAAACTTGCATTGCTGCTTCTAGGGTAGGAAAAAGCCAATAAAACCCCCCATAAAACGTAAAACCCTTAAGTTGCATAGTTCATGTAGAACAAGGCTCTGGAATAATGAGCTGCTCCGGTTATGTTCATGCCAATGACTGAATACATTTATATTTGTTTGTGGAGACACAGAATGGAGGTCTGCCTTTAAATGAATGTTACCAGAAATGCTCCACAACACCGTAATATGAGTTTGTATACATGATCGCTTTTGCATTGAACAAGGCACAGTCATTTAGCCGGAGTGCTTGCCAATAGCGTTTGGCAACCCAGCACCAATTGCTTAAGAAGCCTGGCACTGCTGAGGAAACCCAGAAGGTCGAAACCGGTTTGGAGTTTGCTTAAATAAATTCTGCTTGATAATATTGATCTCCAAAGCCAATAAATCAATTATAAAGAAATATTTTATTCGTAGGTGGAGACAGAACGGATGTCCGCTTTTATGTGTATGTTGTTACCCAGTAACGTTGACTCACCTTGTCTCCGGGGAAGCCTATCTCGCCTGCAATTCCGGCTGCTCCCTCATCACCCTGCGGTTTACACCACACGCGTGGGGCACACATCACGGCGCGGTACTTTGGGAGACATCCCCAAAACAGGCCAAAGCAAGCGGAGCTGCATCACAGCTGAGACCGTCGCAGGTGAAACAAGCTTTGCTGCAGCTTGACAATTCAGTCTCAGTCTCGCTCTGTGGCCTCAAAAACAAACAAGCAAATTACCTTTCAATGAAAGGAAAAAAATAAAAATGTTTGCTGCTAAGCAACAATGCGGCCATTATAACTACCAATTGTCCAAACAGCCAATAAAGAGCCCAAGCAACCCAAGAGCCACATTTTCTGGACTTGATTATTTTCTCTGGGTACCCAGGAGAGGCCTATGATGAAATGAGTCCATGATCCAAGAACAGATATGTGACATGTCAGGACCACCTGTGGTGGCATTACGAGAGTGGATCCACTTTCTTTATGTAACCAATAGCAGAACATGATGTGATAACCATGTGAAATGTGTGGCGCTTTCAAATGATCCACTCTTACTAGCTGTATAAATGAATCGGGACTACTGACGTTTTGCGATCTTCAGTGGTACAAATTTCTGCTCTGGCCCATGGACTAAATGAACCGGACTGTGCTTGATCTCCGATCTTGGGGGCTATGCAGGGTTGAGCCTGCATGGTGCTTGTACGGGTGACCGTACAAGCACCATGCTAAAGGCAGCTGTGGGGTTACATAGTGGTCAGCAGAAAGCAATGCAGCAAAATATATTATTGTACTATACTCACATGCCTCTATGCTCCCCACCTTCACCAACCCGCAGCGACCACCATGGTAAAGTAAGATCAAATAGCCGCCACGCCCCACAAAGAGGCCCTCATCCAGCAGTGGGTTGACAAAGGGCTGTACGTATACATGCGAATGCTCACAGGTTTATTTGGGCCGGACAAAACCGTGCGATAATCTGCACTCTGAGTCACTGCCGTGTCAGCCTGGCAACTTGCTTGTGCCCACACAGGTTCTGAAGCGGGATTTTGAGTGGCGTCCACGTTAGTGACCAGAACATGAATGCAAACTCTGTTTGTTGACTTTGTGCTCGGAGGTAGGGGACACGCTCCGAGGTGCCAATTGGTTAATTATTTGGTAGTGCCCCGTACTGGGGAATTCGGTCAACTGCAGTGTGAAAATTGGCCACAATATCGCCTCCGCTTCAAATCTATCATCTTGGGTTCTCTGTTAATGATTCAGCTTCCTCTTGGTCTTTTCCAGACATTTTTTTTGCAATGTGCTACACAAGAAAATACATTAAATAAGGCCTTTGTATTAAGAATAGGTTTTACCATTTCTGGCAATAAAACAGGTAAGATGTTCAAACACCAAAACTATTCTTATCCTCTGATACTGGCAAGAAAGGTTGCATGTTGTGGTCTTTGTATTGTTAGAATGTTTCCCCGCATGCAATTGCCGATTACAGACGACACTCCTGGAAGTTGAAACCTTCTGACGAGTTGCTGCTTACACAGCAAAACCTATTTGGGAATTCTTTCTATTTAATTTAATAGAAGCTAAGGCAGAAATTATGCAAGTGTTTTATATAGGCAGGCACAGGTGTATGGATGGTCCAACTAAGAACCTCTTATGCACTGCCTAATGGGTTGTCGTGCCCTGTGTATGACACATGCAAGACATCCCAACACGAGAGATAAATGCCTCGCTGGATAATATTCCCAGAACACATTTGCAGTAAACTTGTGATTGGCCTCTTAGAATCTCCAAACTCGGGGTCTTGTAAATCGCCCTGCTAAACATTTACACTCTCCAGATTCTTGCAGATGTCAAGAGAGCACAAATTGCACGTGAATAAGCTCCGATATTAATGTGCAAACATATATTTTCCTGAAATGTAATTTGGGATAAGTTGTATCTAACGTTACTCTTACTACTAACAGGTGAGAAAAACAATCACCCAAGACTTCATTATGAATCCTGAGAATGAGCTAGTCTTATACAGATCTTCAGTGTTAAAGTTATGGTGAAATTATCATTCCCTGTTCTATCCTGTACAGTATTTTCTTAAATTAAATAATCCTTTTTCTGAGCATTCGCAAAATGCAAACAACCGGTCTCATCTCAACGCAAGACCGTTTAGACAAAACGTGGTATGTTAAAGGAATTGTCAGATCACCTTATCACCTTTCACTCCCGGCTCTCCGAGGCTTCCCATGAACCCCTGCGAGAGATCAATCATAGCCTGTTTAGCACAACCGTTAAAAGAAATCTGTAAATCTGTAATATCATCTGTAATATTATCTTACAATTGCGAATGTTTTTTCGGCTTAAAAAAATGTGTAAGCTCTAAGTGCATCCATCAACTCATCCACGCATTCCTGAACTCAACTTTCAATCCCTCTTTACCCCAACGTTTAATGCTTGTTTAAAACCACACTGGCTCAAAATGGTTAGGATCAGCCAAAAAGCACAAAACAATCCTGACAAATTGTTTTATTGAAGGAATATGGGGCCATCAACACCAAGGCTAAATCAATATTCAGCCTTCAGGCAGATGTAATTCAACATTCTGCATCACTACGTAAGTGACCTAACAGATTATGCAGGTGCAACATCATCGTTTGTTTACCCACAACCCTTTTAATTATATAACAATACAAATGCGTGTGCATTGAATGCAATGAAAGAATTGGTTTACATGGGTACATCTAAATCATGGTCAGTGGGGTAAACGACTATTGAAGGAGATACGTGTGGGGGTTAAGACATTTCTGCCTCTACCTTGGGGCCCACAAAACCAGGTGGTCCAATGTTCCCTTGAGGTCCTGGATCGCCCTTAAACACAAAAGAAAAAAAATACATTCAATAATGTCATTTATATGCCCAGGAAAGCCCTGCGGAGTCTCAGGGCTGTATTTAAGGAGCTTGCTGCACTTCTAAGTTGGGCAAATTCATTTTTCCGAAGAGTATTTTGCACATTGGAGAAAACCAAAGCGCCTGGGGAAAACCTGTACAGGCGAGGAGAATAACACACAAACGTCTACACAGTCGGGTTCATTTAACCCCTTTGCGGTACTGCCATCTGCTGGCCAGCACGCTGCCCATTGGGTTTGGGAGTGTCACAAATCTAAGCGCACCAACCACTGCCTCCAAAGCACCGCAATATAGGCGTGCTCCAGCACATGTGACCAGACCAAGATAAAAAGCTTCGGACCATTAAATAGTATTCAAACGGTCAAGAAACGCTACGTGTAGACGTGTTGTAAAATCGCAACGCAAAACATTGAGGGGACCTCGAGATAAATTCGAATTTCAGAGATGTCAAACTGAGACACGTTTTACGATGCCATCACCATGCAGTGGCGACCCGAGACAAATAGCTATTGCTCATGCAGTGAAACGGAGGCCCTACAGCTGCTCTGGGTAGGGTGGCACGTCATCACGGTTTTGTGAAAACAAAAAAAATATGAATGTAAAGGCTGTGGACGGACGATTGCTGAGAGAGAAGGGGAATGAGGAAATGGGTCTCTGTCGTCAGCTGCTTGTGTGGCTTCTGATACAGCTGACGTGATTGGTGCCTTGCCTCTTAATGACATTACCAGCAAGGATGGAGGAGAAAAGATGATTTCCCACAACGGATCGGGGAGAAAAGATGACTTACTACAAAAAAGTACAGTTTCTAAAACATCTCTGCGTTTGCTTCACTAGCATTCCGTTGGATTGGGTGGGCAGGAGGTGGGAATGTGAAGTGATCCAGTTCACATTTGTAAATTTCGCACTGTGTTGATACATGACCAGTCGCCTTTGCAGGCTGCACTTTGTTTCGTAAAAAAATGTTGGAGAAATGTTTTGGAAATCTGCAAAGCACTGTTTAATGCCTTTATCTCAAAATTAACTATTCATAAGTATCATAAGCCAATATCCATTGGTGGATGAAGGCATCCGCATGCTGTCACCATTCCTCATGGTTCTACACGTCATAATCAATCTTATAAGATAGCCTATCTCGTTGTTTCATCTTCATAGCGGCTATCCACTTGGGTGTGTTGCTTCTCGTAGGGTAGCGGTAGTGCAACGGTTAGCGAGCTGCGCTATGAACCCGGCGATCTGAGTTCGATTCCCGCTCACGGCCAACACCAGTGACGACTAGCTGAACCAGTTCTGGACCTCAGATTCAAATGAGTACTCAGTGCAATGTGTTAACAGCGCCGTTATGGAGACAAAGGCGGCCGTGGTGGTGTTGGCTACCCACCCCATCGCGTGGTGGGCCGACCTTCATAGGCGCTCGCTGTCAGCATTTGCCCCAACAGTATGTTAAGGCTATATGGGGGATCTTTGTCTTTGTTGTATCTTTTGGCTGCTATTCCATCACCATTGTCATCCGTAAGCCATCGCCGCCTTCAGCATTGTGTTCTGTCCAGCCAACTAAATTTCCTCCGCATTCAATGTGACATCTCTGATTTGGGTTTGTTTCCTGAACCATGTAATCCTCTTCCATCTGTCAACATAATCCTCAGCATGCATCTCTCTTTGCTTAAAAAATCAAAGCCAAAGGACTTATGATGTTTTTCAAACGGCAAAAACAACGTTCAACAATGTGCAGCATGCCATGGATATTGAGACTCAAGGATGCATTATTTTGGCACAATGCGGAAAGTGGCAGGGATTCTTCGGGTGAGCTATTCATCGTTGAGTGTGATGTGCGCCATCACTCTCCTTCCAGTGAATACTTTGACTTTTTGGTGCTGCAATTTGATTCAAAATCAATTATTTTTTGGTCCTGCTCTATTGTCTCATTGGTGTTGTCTCTCTTTCCTGTTCTTCCTCAGCCTAAATACGATAGCAGCATAACATTTGCATATCATTTACATAAATCCCAAATAAGATATTCATACATGCACAATATGATGTATCTATCAGAGGCATAAGATGCACTATGAATACATGACTCCCATACATTGTTACATACTTTACAGTTATTAGCAGTCTGGGCAAGATAAGGATGGGCATTTACAACATGTGAAGTAAAAAATGTATTAACATAACAAGACCACAAGAGCAAACATGTTATGTGGTCTCTACACTCGAGTTATATATCACAGTAACATTTATGTTCGATAAGTTTATGGGTCAGAAACTTTAAGATATGAAGGTCGGGAGGTTGTTCAGATTTAAATTAGAGAAGAAGTTAGGCCAACATTTTGGGACCAAGTAACAAATGTGGTTCCCTCCTCGGACCGAAAAATCCGAATCCGAATCTTTACTTTGACTGGAGGAATCCGATGAGATATGAAGCTCTTTTTCACAGACGTTCAGATACTTAGGGATGGTGCAGAGAAGTGCAAATGCTCTGCGGGAAGTTGGTAGAAATGCAGAGAGAAGAAAAGGATGGATTCAGGTTGAAGGAATGTAGGCCTCAATAACATTTGCAGACAGAGATAGATGACTGCCTCTCCTGGAAAAGAATACACAACTAAAAAAATGAAACAAAATCGTGGAAAATGCTGTGGCTAGCCGTCTCCATGTCAAGCGTGTCAAACAATGAGACTGCCCCAGCCTATGAGTGTCGTCACGTGTGGTCTCCATTTTGTACTTACGGTCAATCCAAGGACTCCCTTTGGGCCTTCTATTCCAACTTCACCCTGCAAAAAATGACACACACACACGCCCACACACGCGCACGCGAATAGGTGAAATATCGCAATGTGTTTACTTGCCATCGCCGTCAGGGTAAGACGACTGAGTAATCAAACAAAATAGAAAACATCTCGAAACCACCTCACAGTCAATCGCTGGAGCGGTTAGCCAGAAGGTCTGTATGCGAAATCGTGCCATTGTGTTGCTCTCAACGCGCCCCGCGTTGGAAGCCCCGCGTGGATGCCAGTCATGCCTGCTCCACCACTCTGCATGGGCGATGTTAAATGTGATGTAGGGTGGCATGGTGAAGGCGTCCACGGAATTGTGTTCAACAATGCGAGGATGTATTTTGAAGTTTCAGCGTTGTTATTTTTGTGCTCGACGGCGAGCAATGATGTCGTTTCAACTGATTCACTGAAACAAAGTAGATAATTGGGGGGGGGGGGGGGGGCGGTGGACTGGGCTGCTGTATGTGGGAATGACTGGGCCCCTGTGAACTACTGAAACCAAATGTAACTCAATTTGATATATAACTTGTACCTCCTGTCATTACATTAATTTTTCTAATAACTTAATCCTAGGAATGCAGGAAACTGAATGATACTTTGTCAGTACAAATATTGCCGAAATTTTTGTTTTGTAATACATTAATATATTGGAGTTAATTTAGCGTTGCAATGATTACAGTTATTTTATGAGTGGCCCATGGAAGATGGCACATTCTCAAATCTTCATACACAGAGGAGTTATAACCCTATAATAAACAAAGGCAGCATTAAATTTCGATTTAAAGCTTTCGTGACTGCAAGGATTCATCTTGTTTGGTTCTTTCGGTAAAGTCACGTAGAATGAGAATAAAATAATAAATTGATAAAATAAAATAACACAATAATATTCTCACGACGTTTCGGCCACAACACAAGCGGCCTTCATCAGGTGAAGGGGACGAGACTGTCTGGAGGACAGCGCTGGAGTGAGAAAGCCACGCTGAGATTCTAAATGACTGCAGTTATCACTGCATCACTGCTTCTGTTAGTCGGTGACATTTGGTCACGTGTCTAAGGATGATGACCTCAGACACGAGAACCACAATGCACTTCTTCTATAAATGCTCATGGTTTTAGCGTATGCACAAAGGCTGTGTGCTCTTTTATGTTGCACGTTTCTGCGTATTGTTTGCAACGACAAAAAATTCGCATGCATCTGGTACCCAATTTCACAAAGGAGTTCACCGATTTACTGACAAGTGGAACGGACAACACAAATAAGTTCAATACACAGGCTCCACAGGGAAATGTCCCGTTCTGATGGCCGTGTAGTATAAAACTAGCAGCAACTCCCAGGGGAGGGTGATTAATCTAGAGCAGCACAGTTTCCTCATGCGGCCCTGGTGTGCATAACATGGCAAGATAGGAAAAGAAGGTCACGCACGAGTGGAGGATGTGTGGGCGATAGGGCACTCATTGAGAAGAGGAGAAAGCACTAATTCATGGGGTTTTTTTGTGAAGCGCAAACAATTGGGGTGCATTATTGATGCTCATTAGATTATATTTTCCACAAGTAAATCCCTTAATTGGCATGAGGCACACTTTTTTTTTCCACATTTGAGCGCTTGCACAATTGTGAAGGGTGAATATGATACACTCGTGTTTCCACTTGCTCCCAGCTGTTCTCTCGCACACGATTGTCCAAGTGGAAAACCGATGCATATGCGCACAAGCATAAATATAATATGCGACAAACGGAAAGGGCAACGTGTTTGTAAGTGCATAATTTTGTATGCGGAATACGATATTAGCATTTCCATACTTGCAGTGGCTATGACCTAGAAAGGATTAAAATCATGTAAAAATTATTTAAACTTGAAACTATAAAACGAGCTGTATAGCTCTTTTTCATAAGCGACCTGGCCACAAATGAGAGCTCAACGAAGTGGCTTATCATGTGGAAATTCAAAGCAGCCAAATACTCTAAACGCATGTTTAGAAATGTAGCGAGACAAACCAGAGGACCTGGAGAAAAATCTACGCGATCACGGGGAGAACATGTAAACTCCAAATATACAGCAGGAATCGAACCCATGATCTCTTGTATACCAGGCGAGGTAGTTACATCTCGCCAATATTCTGGCTGTCGTTAAAAATCATTATCACAGTTTCTTTGGGTGAACTTGGATTGAAGATGCAGTACATAATATTAAATGGCAAAAAATAATATATATCCTTTTGCAAATCCACTGCTGGATGAAAGTGTCACAACAACATGTCCATCAGTGTGCGTTGGCGAAGCGAGTGGTGGGGGGCAAAGTCCGGTTAAGATATCACTCACCACTGATGTTAGCCGTGGCCGGGAAATTATTTTAGGCCATCACGTTTATAGGGCAGGGTGCGATCCACTAAACTTCACCGCAGTTTAGTGAATGAATAATTTTCTATTAAAAGGTTAATTTAAGAGACATCACCATTGCACTATTTTGCTTAGAAGTGTGTCAGAGAGTGAACGTAATAATGGCAGATATGCGTTTTATAAACCATTGCTTATTAAACAACACTAAATTCTCTGGACAAGGAGAATGTGTAGAAACATGTATAAAAATGTACAGAGAATGTTCCCGTTAAAATCCCCACTTATGAGCCTGGGATTTCCTGCAGAGGTATTATTAAACAGCCAAACGGGAGGTTAATTAATCTGGCACAGAAATTCTGGGTGGGGTGGGCAGACACTTCTCCCTTCCAAAATCACTGTGCACCCTCAGTGCATGTAAGTGTGGACGTTAATTCCGAGAGAGAGACTTACAGGTTTTCCATCTGGACCAGGCGGGCCTCTTTCCCCATAATCCCCAGGAAAGCCCTGTTGGAAGACAAAGGTGGCGATGCCAACAGACAAAACATTTTTAAACAAAAAATTGAAATGAAAAATAATTCAGTGTGAACAAAAAAACCACAGCCGATGCTCTTGAAGGCCAGATCAAACGTCTTTATGTAGATAGTGCCAATAAAACATTTCTCAGCTGCAAATATAACAGTGACTTAAATGAGATTATATCTTTGTTGTCTTGGCAGATGACCAACATTACAGGGTGCTTCTTAAAAAAACACACACAGCACATGCATGATCATTTGAGAAAGAAAACAACTTCAGGGATATTAGAAGACACCAGGAGAGAGTGAGGGTTTGTGCGATAATTTTCAGCACAGAATACTAATGAATACGTTTGCAATAGTGGAGGGCCATATAGATGAAACTGACTGTCAAAAATGCTTTTGTTGCAAATACTTCATTGAATGAAGCTCTGAAGGTAAAATGTATTCTAAAATTACCATATCACTACTTTTTTACCAAAGAAAACCTCACTGACTCTCAAGACTCATTTTCAAGAGGGTCCTGCTTGACAATATTTGGCCAATTATTATTGGGCATTCGTGAATGGTGGACGAAGTGGCTGGAGAAAGGTCCGAGCACACAAAATAAAGACATTAAAACTCAGTCACATGTATTACCAAACTACTTTCTGTACGGCAGTGCCTGGGTGACACGATCACAAATCTCCACTCGCCCATCCTCCAAGTCGGTGAGAACCATCGGACCCAGCCGTTCACTTACGTGTTTTTTATGGACACGAGAGACTGATGGCGGACGTGAAACAAAGCAAAGTTTTGACGACCACATGCCACATAAAACTGCCTTCCGTTTCCCCCTAGCCCAATTCTATCATGGCGGGGCGTTAATCAACAGGAGGCAAAACACAGCACCCATTTGTGCTGTACAAGTTACACTTCCCGATCGTTCCCATGCACTGAGCGTCAGCGTGGCGTGTGGCACCGTTTGCTTGGTTGACAAATCACAATCGCTGCTTTTTGGAAAGCCAATAGGGCCACAGACATTTTCTTGAGCAAGAAGGTTGGGGTGGCACGGGAGGCATCGAGAGGTGGGCGGGGAGGTGGGGGGCAGCAATTGGTGGAGCTGTTGATGGGCTGTAAAAGCCACCCTAGGTGTGTGCACACATCTGTCAGACGAAGCCCTGTGTAAGCGGAAACTCCAAAAGCACGCCACGTGACTTGCTGGGTCATCCATCACTCCACGCTGTTGAGGAATTTCTGAAGGGCATTTTGTGTGGCTTATTTTATATTAACCACCAACAATGGATTCATATTTTTTTTGTAAACCAGTCATGACTTATTCACTGCTGGATGAAGGACTCCCTAATGTCTCTAACTTGTGTATGATTTCCTAATCAACGTATTTATCATTCTGTCATTCAGTGAAACTCCAAGCATGCGCCTCCGTGAATGTGTATACCGTTTCGGAAGCCACTGGAGCTATGAAAAATATTGATCGAAAACCCATTTCTTTCTAACTACTTTTTGTATTTAGTGTGTTGTCCTTCCGCCGCACCTCTGATTAGTACAGTTGGCTACGTACGGTGCGAAAGAAGTTCAACATACGTACATACCTCTCAGATATTGTTCCACTTTAAAAACAAGTACAGTACGGTACACTCACCTTTACCATTTCCACTCGCACCAGACTGATTTATTATGATCTCTTGTTTGTACATATCATCTTATTGGGACAGTTTATTTTGTAGGCATGTAACAATTCGCACCCGTACAATTCGATGAATGGTAACGATTCGGGTTTTGCAATTCAATTATTAGGATCGATGTTTTTTTTTTCTATTGTGGTTAACGGGGTGTCTCTAGTGGCTGAAGAGTTTAGATGAACCTATTGCACGTGGCATATATGAAAGGAAACAATTGTATTTTTACATATCTATAGGGTACATCATATTCTTATTATTTTTACATGTAATATTCATTGCATATATTGTGAGAGTAAGAATCGATTTTTCAATGATGAATAAATGTATCATTAGATGTCTAATACTGTGACTCAAATATCATTGTTCATTTTAGCTGAATCACGATTGTTTTCCTGTTGAATTGGAGTTAAACTCAGGCTACCTTACCTAAAGTAAGATGTAAAATATTGGCCGCGTAGAGAAGTAAAATCCTTAGGTGCAGTAGCTGTTAATGCACGGTGCGTCTACGGAAGATGTATGTCAGAGGCTGTGAGACACTTTATTGTTCATGTGATGGTCGTTAAGGCAGCAGTACATCGATGAGAATGCACCTATGTACACAATTTTTTATCTACAGGCGGCACACATTTCCTTTCCGCACAAAGTATTCCTATCAGGGCATAAGTACACGTTAAACTTCAGTGAATATTTTAGCTTTTTTAAGGTATACAACGCAAGTGTTGAACTTTTGAGTGTGCAATTTTAAAATGTGTCGGCGCTATTTACATTGGCGAGAAACGTGGGCACGCAGTGGGCACAAAATAGCCCCGTCTCCAAATGGAGGCTCGGCTCAACAGATGTCAAGGAACCCAATTTAAACCTGCTTTGCTGGCCACTCGCGATCGATATTTTTACAAATTGCAGCTGACGCGGGCGTACACTGGTGTCAAGTGAACACGCTGACGTACAAAACGCTATTTTTGGAAAGACCACTTGTTTGTATTTATTTTCTTGTTGCACGAAAACAACGTCAAGCAAAATATAACGCACTGCAATAATGATAATGAGAACAACCACGAAAAACTATGAGGATCGACACATTAAAACACACTGCTGTGTACAATATTTCGTGCAGATTTTTAGAATGATTAAAATCATATGTTTAGATTTTCAAAGTGAGCCTTAACATACAAATAAAATACTTGTTAATAAAATCGAGTAAAGGCTTTGGCTGCTATACATTTCAACGTGATAAGATACCTTATTGAGCTATCATTTGTGACCAGGTCGCTTATGAAAAATAAGCTAATAGCTCAGTGGCCTTTACCTGTTGCAATACAAAAGTTTAGTTTTATAATTTTTAGTGATCTTCTTACCTTTCCTAAACTTTGCACTCCTATCATGCTTTTGTTTCGTTTGCTGTTGTAACTTTCTGATCCGCTCCTACTGGACATCTGTGAAAAAGAGCTTTATAGCTCATCGGATTCCCCCAGTATAAATAAAGAATCTGATTCTGACGTTACGGTTAGAATGGCTTCGCGAAACGTGGACCCTTAAAAAGCTTGAGACGCACACGTGGCGCTACTTCTCTCTGCGATGTCCACCCATGCCACCCACGTAGGAACACAGCAACCCGCTCTGCGCAGAGCGGTGCTACACAGAGACACATTTCTGACTCTTCGCGAGCAGCAGACCCGGCGGGGTTCTCGTCGCTACTCTTTGTCATTGGCTCTGTCAATGCCATTAAACCTATTTTAATGAGAGAGCTTACGATGATGATTATGATGATGATGACTAGATGCCTCTGTGCTGAAAATAAAATCGAAATCACCCAGAATATACCTGATCTCATATCTCAGAGGCTAAAAATTGTTGGGCCTGGAGAGTGCTTAGATACTTACCCACTATGTACAGCAGATTGATATAGGCTATGGGGAAATGTGGTGGGTAGCAGTGGAGTGCAGCAAAATCCATTGTTCTGTACTTTTATGTTCCCACGCCTATGGCTCCCCGACTTCACCAACTCAGACCGACCTTGTGGTGCGCTCTGAGATGTGCGTTATGTTGCGGGCACATTACAAACCTAAGATGTTTTATGTTTAAATAACTCACATGGCCTGCATGTGCGCGGGAAGACCCTAATCCAGCAGCGGATTAACAAGGGCCTGTACATGGACATAGCACTACTCGTGTAATCGTTATCAACAACACTGGCAGATGCATATACATGCAGGAGATTGATGGCTTAAACTTAAAGCGAAACAAAGACCCCACGTTCCGATTGACACCACTGTAAAAACAAACGTAATTTGTAAGCACGTCATTATAATGAGCGTTCAGGTGTAAAGAAAACCCCTCCCAGTGCACGATTTTAAACGCGTTCTCCCACAGACACGTTCTGTTTAACACTCCATGAATACGGATATCATTGAGAGAGAACCCCCTCCCCTCCACAGGTTATAATCCAGGAGTGTCTAAGGAGACAAATAGAAAGTGTGTCAAGAGCCTACCGGTCGTCCCATTGTCCCTCTCTTTCCTGGTGCGCCAGGTACACCCTATACAAAACACAGCGCACGCACGCACACACACACACGCACACACACACGCACACACACACACACGCACACACACACGCACACACACACGCACACACACACGCACGCAAGTACACACACGCACACACACACGCACGCACACGCACGCACACACACGCACACGCACGCAGAAACACGCGCAGGCAATTACGAGGCATCCACTTACAACCTCAAGAAACTTATAGGGAGCTCAAGGGAATGTGGCAAGTTCACTGGCGAGAGTGTGATAAATGTGAGGCTATATAGCACCACGGGATATCTTGGGTTGTCAATGACTCAACAAGGAAACAATCAATTTCAGGTGGGCGACGCGATTACTTATTTCAGGAGCCAAACAGCTTGTCATTTGAAAGAGGCAAATTAGTTGGTTTACAGGAATTAACAAAACAAACTATCTCCAGCGAGGGAAAGAAACTCGCCACACACCTGCGTAAGGATACTTTTCATGACCTACAAATTTGTATTTTCTTACGCGTAAATATGTTTCTTTGTTTTATCAAACGCCGCAGTTATAAAGAAAGAATTCCAGGCCCACTCCCCACCACGTTGTTGCGGGAGAACTGGCATTAAAAGCACGTGCCTTTATTCAACTTAGCCATAGGTACGTTTTAATGGCTTATTTCGCACCCCCTTGCTGCAAACGTGCCAACTGTGTGCAGGCTGACCCCAAGCTCCTTTGCAAAGAGAGGCGCTCTTCCAGAAATCCAATCTCTATATTAAATCGAGCGGTATTGTTCACGTAAATGGATAACGGCGAGGGAGGGGGGAGAGGTCCTTCAAAAGGGAACCCCTTTAATCACTTGTCGGAGCCAGGTTTTTTGCTAATGGAGGAAAATGAGGTTGCTATTCATTGCAGTTTTTGGTGAATGGGTTTTTTTCAATCATACCAATTTTTTTTCTCATAGAGTTTGACAAAGGAGTCATGTGAGGAAGAGGCCAAATAAGGTCTTTACCATGGTGGTCTGCAGTTCGAGCAAAGGCCTCCCCGCTACGACTGGCAAAATTAATTTGGGAAGAAGCTGAGAACATTAGGTAAACACTGCAAGGAACTTGGGTTTCTACAAATTGCTGGTGTAAGGGAATATCACAGGAATATCCCGTCTACAAACCTTAATACTGAGACTTGGGCCATTCTTTTTTTTTCTAGTTGAAACAGGCTGGTTAAAGACACGTTTCTTATTCTAGTCAAAGCTTGCGTATGGCACCAATATGCTCAGGAGATTAATGCCAATATTGATGTCTGCTAGCCTCGCGAGGGCTTGAGGGGAGATTGTGTAATTTGCCGTTCCTCCTCCCCTGAAACAGCACAGAATACAGTGGTTTACTATACGGTCCATAGCTTGGACTGCATGGCCAAAATCGCGCGACTGTGGCTCGTCTTAAACTTTCCATTCGTGAAGGAGATGTGGGCAATGGGCGATTGATGTTCTGATGTGGTCGATGGTTTTCCACCACCTGTTTTCGATTAAGGATGGCAAAGCCAGGAGGTGTGATGTTTCTTATAAACGATAGTAAACGTCCAATAAGATAAAAGTTCCTCTGGTTAATTTCTTATTTTTTGGGGGTCATATTTAAATTCGAGTGATGGTACGAGTTTAATGATTGGTTTTAGAGTGAGCATTAATTGAACAGATGTTTTGGCATGGACTGTAAAGCCACCTGCTATAGCCAGCTCTGGGGGCTCTGCTAATGATGGGTGCTTGCATCTGCTTTATTTGCAGCAGCAGAAAATAATAAAATGCACAAAGCCTCATCCATCACCATCTCAGAGCGAGGCAGAAGGATCAAGGAAAAACCCCATCAAATGATATTTTTTGTACCAAAAAATTAAGTGTCTGCAGATGTACAAACGATTGTGTACACACACACACGTGCGTGCGTGGGCACAGACACGCAATGCATTAACAGCAATGGGAGACTGCTTTTACTGTAACATGTTTTACCATCTTAAAATATAATGTTGAGGTAGCTGCTGATGCTAACCATCTCATTTTACAGCACAAGTGGTTAGTATTTGGGCTAGAGGTGGTAATGGGGCAGTACCCTCATGTGATCACCTTCTCCTCTCCACAAACACAAAGATCCCCGTATAGCCTTAACAGACTGTTGGGGCAAGTGCTGTTAGCAAGCACCGATGAAGGCCGGCACGGCACACGAGGGGGTGGGTGGCCAGCAGCACGCCCGGCCACCTTCGTCTCCCGAGCGGCGATGTTTACACACTGCACCAGGTACTCATTTTTTTTAGGCTGAGTCGACCTAGGGGAGGCCCATGACCGGTTCAGATAATCGTCACTGGTGTTGGCCATGAGCGGGAATCGAACTCGGGTCGCCGGGTTCATAGTGCTGCGCACGAACCGGTACACTACCGCTCCACACACGTGCACACACGCGCACACACATAGGATGAAGCAATGCAGTACTGTATTTTATAAAAGTGGAATTTCAAAAAGGAAATGCACCCGAGGTCCTTCAGCTCCTTGCGCTCCCACTATCCCCGCCGGGCCGATGAAACCCTGGGTGGACAAAAGTAAATTGTTAAAAAATATCAACCATGTGTAGCGTGTTTCTCTTTCTATTTTTCCTTCTGTCTCTAATGCAAGCAATATCTGGTGTGCATTATGAGGCTGTCGAGCATTTGATATGGCAAAATCCACTGCAGCGCTTTCCACATAATCAACGCTTACTTAAATGCAAGTTTACATTCTGAGTTTTACGTAAATTTCTAAGGAAATATGCATTTGGAAATGTTGCACAAAAAAACATTAAACATTGGGCATTGTTTACTATTGCAGGCGAGAATAGTAATGTTTTAAAACTTCTGTGTTACCCGAATTCCTTTTGGACCAGGTTTCCCAATGGGACCAGGTAATCCCTGGTGAAAGCAAAAGGAACAAATGAAAACCAAAGCTCACGTTAGTTCTGATGAAATCACTGGCATAGACATACACATTTCATTTAAAATCTCAGCTACCATCAAAAAAACATTCACAGTGATGCTTACAAAACCGATTACAAGATGTGCTTTTTACTTCACGTGTGATGAACAATTACCACCATCATTATCTGGAGTTATTAACACCTTTCTAGATTGCACACTTTGAAGTTTGAAGCCTGTACACATTTGTCACTCAACAAAATGTTTTCTGATTAAGAAATCAATATATATTTAAGCACAGGACTTGTATGCGGAGCAATTCAGAACATTCCATGTGTCACTGATCTACCGTTACTGCACCTGCCTGCCAGGGTAACCTTTGACCCCTGGGTTGCCCTCCAACCCCGGTGAGCCCTGTGGGCAGGAAAGACAAGATACAAGGTCACATGGTGGCAAGAACGGCTTAAAATGTCACATCCGGTGCTGGATCTCCTCAATCATCGAAGCTGTCAAGTAAACTTATCGAACTTCAAGCCAACGTCAATGTTACAAATGCAGTCCATCATGAGCAATATATGTAAGAACTTGCGTCGCTATCAAAAACACGTGTTTCTGATTCCGGCACTGCTAAACGGCACTGACCTGCAATTTGTGGACCTGACCTGTATTTAACACCACAGAATTGGTGACCCATAAAAACCTCACGTTGAAAAAAAAAAGCACTGCAGCAACTATATTTTGAGCAAGAAACGGCACTTAAATAAAAGTAAGTCTACCATTAAAAACGAATAAGGAAAATTATCGGCTATTTTAACTGGCCATTTGTGGCATTTTCAGTACTAACTGTAACACATTTGATTATAGACAGAAGCTAACGTGAATTGGGTAGTGAAACTTTCTATGAATTCCTTGAGGACTGTATTTTGCATCCGAGTTATTCTGTGACATTCCAGTCAGCCACGGCCATTGCTGTTTGTCTGTGGGCCGACCAGTCAACAAAAGCCAAACAAGCAATTAGCCAGAGAATCGTTTAACAGGGCCAGATAGCATCACTCCACCCATCCAGAAAGAAATATGGCCAGCACTAACAGTGAATATCCCAGTGGAATAATTACTACAAAGATGTGTCTCACATTATTAAATTAATTATAATAGTAATTATTATCCATCTATAAAGCATTCCTCGTGTTTTTTTTTCCCCCCCTTCGGCTTGCTGAGTGTTTTGTCTCCCGCACGGGTCAGGGTTAAATGTCGTTGGGGGGCAGCTCAATGTGTTTCCGAAACACGGGAATTGCTGTTGTGTATTTATGACTTGGTGGCGGCAATAACCTGCAGCGCATGCCCTGTGAGACAAAAAGGTTATGCTGCTGCATGCCGCCATGGGTATAAGCCTGATATGACGTCTGGGTTTCAAAGTGAGCGCGGGTGGACGTCGGTGTCGACAAACACGCCACCGGGCAAGTGGGTTTGCGAGTGTGAGGATAAAAATAATATACAAAATGCTTTCATGGCCCTCCTGACTTCAAAGGAATTTGTGTAACCTTAGCTGTAAATAAACCTTACAGCCTAAAAATGTACACTTTTTTTATGTGGACAAAGCTACATCTCAATAGTTTGAAGTGATTTTTGTAATTTAAATTATATATATTTAAAAAGTGTTAAACAAAGGAAGGCGAGAGCATGTCATTTTCTCTTGTGCAAATATGAAACATATGTACGTACTTTATTTATCAATTACATAACGTTTGAATATGCAATCATTAACGAAGCCATAATTAAATAATAATTAACTTGAGGTCATTGGCCACCTTTGTGAATGTTTAATTTGCCTTTAGAGCGGCATTCATCGTGTAATATGGAAATGACAAAACAAGCAACTTCCAAAACAGCCAGCAATAACCCATTTAAAACCTTGTCCATAACATAGCAAACAGTGGGATCGATATAAGGACTTGATCCTTGTACTTAGGTGTCTAATGAGGCTTCCCTTGAACTACCCAGCTGGGTTGCTGTGGATTACAGGAATAAAAACTGGAGATATAGGGGAAAGTAGGTCCAAGGTACGGACACTCTTCCTCTGCTCTGGCTCCAAGTCCAAAACCCATTGGGAAAAGACGAAAGCCGAGACCGACGTGAGCGTCTGCGCGACCAAGTGCCCCGGCTTTCGCGCGTCTGTGCCGGCAAGGGGCATCCCAAACGCGCGAGTGGCCCCCCCCTACAATTAAAATTCCTGTGTTTTTTTTTCCAACCAAAGGGGTGCGCAGCACGCCAAGAAAAACAGGGCCAGCACACGCGCGGAAGTGCCGCGTCGCTGATCTACGCAGAAATCTGCGTGGCCTTACAAGAGCCCGGGTCTCTGGGAGGAGGGCAGTGGGAATTGGCGGTGTTCTGCGTCCGTCAGTCCCTATGCTGAAGGATGTAAGCTAGAGCTATATATCACGCTAAGAGTTGTTTCATTTTCCTCCTAAAACATGAGAGCGGTTACCTTCTGCAACCAAAATTTTCAGGTGTTCTCAGAACACGGTACACCTATAAGTCTTACGAACAGGCATGGCTGAGCTGCCCAGTGTTAACCGAAATGGTTTGCCGTTTAAAAAGGGCACCTTGGCTCAATTGACCGACACTTTAATGGCCAGAAATTAAAGACGCAATCACATATACCCGGATGACCAATGGCACTCTTAAATGCATAATATTCCAGTTCATATTTAATGCTGCTTGCTTATTATTGGCTAGCCTTTTTCATAAAAAAGGTGTCAAACCCCTTGAAAATTGATAACAAAAACATTTATGAGTTTGTAACTTAGCACATGTAAAACCATTACACTTTTATAATTAGCACCTGCATGCATATATTTAGATTTGCATTAATGAATATGTATGTACAAATGTATATGTTAACAAGTTTAAGTTAGAATGTGACATGCATTGAGTTACCTAACATTGCAAATCCTTTTTTTTATTCTTTACTTGTCCGTGCGCATAATGATTTTAAAAACAACGCGAATTCCCATCACTGAAACGTGATGCATCGTTCAGAATTGGGGCTGGCCCTATTGCACACAAGTGAGAGTGAATAAGTTAGGTGCATGTGACTGGACCCACCGGCTCCCCTGGGTGTCCCGTCTGTCCCTGGTAACCTTTGGAACCCTGTTAACAAAAGGTACAAAAATAAGCCACAACACTATAATTGATTATTCCCAAAATCAGTATAAATCGCTTACAAAAATAAATTCTGGTGAACGTACATGCACTGGATGAAGTTTAAGCTTCAGAAAATGTCTATTTTTTTAAGTTTAAGCTTTAGTGGATAAATAAATTGTATTAATATTGTGTTAAATGAAAACGTATGAGTAAAAAAAAATCACCAGAATTGTTACACATTATAGTAAAAAGCCCAGGGCTCATAAATGTTTCCACAATACTCATTCAAAATTCAATAACTTTTTCCAATAAAAGTATTACTATGGTTGCATTTCCTTAACATGTTATTGTACACCCTCGATAGCCCACGCATGATGCAATAATGTTTTTGGGGCAGATCCACCCCCACGCACGAGAGGGCGAAGAATGAAGTTGCCCACGTGCTCCAAGCTGTCGTCCGTTCCGTCCGTCCGTACGTTCCTAAAGTTGTCTGCGCGCTTGGCAGCTGGCCAGAGTCAAGTTTCGTCTGCCAGGCACAGTGGCAGCTACATGACTCCCCGCTTAGCGAGATAACTCAAGTGATCGTGGCAGGGTTCCCCACTCCATCCTTGAGGAGCATCATCATCATATTTCTGTGCTGGGCCCCTGCACCCCCCCCCCCCTCTCCCTCCAAACTTGGAGATGCTTTTTGTACTTTTGCATGCGCCATAAATTTAGGCCATGCGGGGTTTTTTTTTTTCTGGGGCGCTGACGCTTTCACATCTGTCACCACCTGAGTCGAACTGAAGCGCTGCATCCAAAACTCGTAGTTAAATGTTTGGCCTCAAGTTCTGGCAGAGAGGCAGCGTGCGCTGCGTACAGTCTGCTGAGAAATGGCCCAAATCGGACTTGACAAGCGTGATAAAACATACGAAGGCTCAACGCTAGGCACGGTGCCGAAGAATTATTCGCGAAGAGCTACCAAAATAGCCCTGTCCATTTTTGTAATATCTCAAGTTAATCGCATACACTTATAGAGCATGGATTTGGCATATTTGCCGACAGCCATTGCTGGTGATCACCACGAGTATCAGGAACTGTTTAATGTCTACCTCTCTGCATATTTTAATGTTTAGGCGTATCTATGATTTCTTGGTTATTTTCTTAGTCTGCCAAGAGGTATTACAGCATACAATACATTGAGCTGCTGTTTACAAAAAGCTAACAGTACTGTATTATTGTTTGCTGTATTTCGCTTTAGGTGTGGTCACCTTACCTTTGAACCGAGTGGCCCATGCAACCCAGGTGGACCGATTGAGCCAGAGTCACCCTGTCAGAAAATTAGGAGTAAAGCAATTTACAAATGCAAATCACCAAACAAAAGTGTAAAACCGAAACTGTAATCAACGGCTTCATTGAGATGTGCCAGGCACACAGTCGACTTGCCCCGAATAATTTTCACCGATTTGACTGCACGAGCAGCGAAGCAGTTACCAATGTCTACAATCCACCCTAAATGCACGATGGCACGCGCAATTACGAACGACGGGTTAGGTGAGATATAAAGTGCGTGCCCTTTTTATATTATTTATTTGCAGCCATTGTAAATCCACTGCTGGATGAGCCCCCCCCCAAATCACCCAACTCTGTGTCGATTATGGGATAAGTTTGACCTCACTAATATGGCCAGTGTGGGATGGTGATGGTGGAGACCGAGAGCTGGTTAAAATTCCAATTTAATGAAAATTTCAGTTTTATATAGCATCATGCATGCTTATTGCATCTCACACTGCTGTACAATAACTGCATGCATAATCGCACTCAGTGCTCAATCCTATTTATAACAATTATTGAATAAATGAAAACGTCAGAAAATAAAAAAAATTAATAAACAAATCAAGAAAATGTATAAAAGCAAAGGTATAAACTACTAAAAAGTGATCACAACAGAGGTATTGGTCAATGGTGTTAGCCATGGTTAAGGAATCATGAAACTCATATTTCCAGCTTCATAGCGAAGTGTCGTGAGTATTGCACTACTGCGCTATGCAAACATGGCTAAGAATATGTTTGGTAAGTTAGTTGTGTCTGTCATGCATTAACGAATGGTTTTGTTAATAACGTATGTATGTTGAACTTCTTTCGCACTGCACGTAGCCGACCGTGCTAATCGGACGTGCGGAGGAAGGACAACAAGTTAAACACAAAAAAGCAGTTCTAAAGAAATGAGTATTCAATCTAGGTTTGAAAGTGTATAGCTCCAGTGGCTTCCTAACATCAGAAGAGCGTTCCAGAAGGCGATGTGGTGACCGTCTTTGTTCGATGGCTATCCAAATGCCGCTGCGAGGATGATCGGAGTTCGTGTGATGATGGTTAATGCTCCTTGACAAGATCAGCAAGGTATTGTGGTTTGTTTGTGGCAGGAGTTTTGTGTGTGATGAGTGCGACATTGTATTGTAGTATTCGTTTGGCAACCGGAAGCCAATGCAGCTCGGCAAGCACTGTACGGACATGGTCGGATCTCGCAAATAATAATGTTGGTAAACTATTTTCAGCCCATGCTAATACCGCACACTGCTTCCACCGCGGCCCATTATGTTTATTATGCGAGGGCCACATGCTGCAATTGCCATTTAAGTGAGTTGCTGGGGTAGCGGCACATTACACAACTATGTGGGGTCCATCAGTGATTTCCACGAGAAGCCTCAAGAGGCACACGATTGCCTCTGGCAGGGAAATACGGCCGGTGTTTGTCCTATGAGCCATCAAGCTGCCCGCCCCTAGAATACACGGAAAAATTGCTGCACGGTGGTGTATAATTTAAAACACACGTAGGTTTCTACAACGATGTCTAAAAACATCGAATAAAACAAAAAACCCCATATATGTTTTTTGATTCATACCATTTAAATTACAACTTGATTATTCATGATTAAATAATGTTACACATGCCCTCTAAATGAAGCACTCTAGAACAATTATCCTAACACTGGGTTAATCACTTAACTAGAACATTTTTTTCATTTTTTAAAATAATTTTTCACCATTGTTTTTCGTTTTTCCCCAAATACATTCCATTTGAGCTCTGGCCATCACGTAATTTTGAAACTGTAGGAGCTAGCAGTTCACCACCCTGAGTATTAGAACAGCCCAAGAAGATGACTTTACAGAAATGGTTCTGAAGTTACTTAAAGAGGCCTCTATATCCAATTTTTGGAGCACAGGCTGCCTACAAAGAGTGTCCGTCGCATGTCATTCGTACCAACGTTTTTCATTATCTCAACTATAATTTGACAAATTAAGTGAAAAACCAAACAAACTCAGACATTTATTTTGCGCAGGCATTGGTGACCAGGCTGAGACAAATCACCTCTCGAGAACGCAGTTTGTTTAATCAAGGGTGGCTTGAAACCCGGATTCGAATCCAGGATCTCAGTCAACCACGATCCCCCATAGCCACCTCCACGAATGTAAACTTTAACGAGATGTGTAAATGGGGGCAAAGTGGGAATGACCCGCCGGTCGCGATCTCCCACCGCACGCGGCGCAGCAACTGCACACACGGGCCGGCACACACTGCCTGCAACTCACCTTCTCCCCAGGTAGCTGCATGGGGGGGGAAATACCAGGGTCGCCCTTTTCCCCCTGGACATTGGAGAGCGTTAGGGTGGGAGCGGGATGTACAGGGTGGTGGGGGGTGTAGGGGCAGAGCGCAAGCGAGGACATTAGCGCAGCAGCAGCAGCATGATGCAGTAGCACAGCTGTGGATGAGACGAGGTAATTTGAACATAGGGCACATGTAAGGCACAGCATAAAAAAAGTATATTTTTTATGCTTTTGCTTCATGAGTGCGCTGTGTGAGAAGGTGAGTAGGTGAGTAAATGTGTCCTTGAGTCTGAGCACCACGTGTGTGTGGCTGGTGTAGCTGGTGGAGCTGCAGTGGTAACAATCAATATTAAAGCTGCCGGGGTGAGTTAAAGCCTGGTTTTAGTGTAACACAAGCTACTAAGCAGTGTGTATATATGTATGTGTATGCGTTTATGCATACGTGTATATACACACATACAGAAACACAGCACTAGATTAGGTTGCATAAATGCTAAAAAGTAGTGCATATTCATGAGGTATTGACCATAATTTCATCAATGATTGAAGGCAACACAGAAAATATGTAGCTTTAGGATAATCATGGAGCAATGATCACAGCATCCAACTCATAAATGAAGTCAGTGGCGTAGATATTGAGTATGCACCGGGCCTCAACGGGTCAGAGTGGCCCTGCGGCCAGGCTACAAAGAGGGAGGTAAATTGGACAGGGTGCCCTATTTCATTCCTCGCACAAGGGCCCATGCTAACCACTGTAATAAGTAGCAATAACTTTGGTGATGCATCTTAATGTGAAAAAATATTTCTATTGTCCTCAAATTCCTCCTCTGCGCATTGCAATACCGAGCGACGTGTACGGGAAACCCACAACAAGCAATTTATGCCTCATCCTATCATCCACACATCGTGTTTCACTTGTGAAAGTGTGGCCAATGAGGATACCGTGCCAAATTGTGTAAAAGGGTCCTCAGAACCTGGAAAACATGCAGGAGAAGGCTGCGACTAATTCTCCATATTTTAATCGTGGAGTAATGGTCACATGTGGGATTTGGGCCAAAACACTGACACACAATGGCTCTTTTTTTGCAAATTGCAAGGTCAATGAGAAACAAAACTTTACTTACAGAGAGTTGGTGCTTACATTGGGATTCGATTGTCATTAGGGATTTATTGAGGCAGGATACGAGTACAAGGGTTGCCCTTATCAATCACGCACTCTTTTGGCAGGGTGAGAGTTTAGGGAGATGGCGTGTGATTTATAGCCGACACCAGCACACACGCATACAAACACTGGCGTTGTGCTACAGACAAACGTCAGTGGGATCTTGAATGTGGACAAGCAGGCAGCACGACTGACTTAACGCTTAAATTAATATCCCCCCTCAGAGGGGGCGTGCTCGGTGATACCATGCCACTCGGCACTGGGCTACGGGGTAAGGTTTCAACTCCACCGTGGGCTGCACTGGGAGGCGAGTGAGCTGCCTCCGTGGCTGAGCGGCAGCCCTTAATTCACACCTGATTCTCTCTCCCATTTTCTTTCCAGTGGCCCTAGAGAGAATGCACTATATTTCTTCCTGGAAATACTTGGCAAGAGGCCCCCGGCTGTCAGTTGTGCTGAGTTAGGGGTGACGGAGACAGGAAACAGCAAACTCATTCCAGTTGGATGTAGAAAAAAATTGAGCAAAAAGGGAAAAAAAATCTCCACCACCTGCACAATTCTGGTGCGGTTTATGCGCATTCATTTCCCTGGGAGTGAACCAAAAAATCAGAGTTGCTGTACATAGAGGGGAGAGCATCGCCAAAAATGCACATGTCCGTGCGGGTATCTACGGTGTATTGCATCAGTGGAAAGTCGAGCATCAATGGCGGCTTCAGTGAACAAAGAGTGGGAGAAGGGATGGCAAGCGTCTCCGCATGGCCGGTTATTCATCACTGACGACTTCACAGTGCCATGAAAGTTTAAGATACAATCAGGGCTAGCATTAAAATTACCCGTACCAACGTGTGCCAATGTTTATTTCTGATGGGGTGCGGCGGCAACACTTTTTTAGCCACCAACAGGTGCTGTGACGACATGAAGCAGTAATGGATGTGTGTGTGTGTGTGTTTTATAAGAAGCTGTGAGTCCGCTGGGTAGAAATGCGAAGCATGGGTTGACAACTATCGCATGGGCAGCCTTGAGCGGTGGATCATTGTGGTCTACAATTATGCTTTGTGGATTTCGTAAATTGAGAAGCGAATGTGTTGGCTAATGATACCGTTCATGAAGCATTAGACTAAAGCTATAACACCCAACCAAATAAAAAAACACACTGAAGTTACACCTTGTGGTTCAATATACTGTACATGTATAAATTAAATGTAAATTTTTCCAAAAAGCTGTGTAGAAAAATAATAACCAATCAAACACATAGCTGTCTCTAAGAAAAATGTTCCACGAGGTCTACATTTTTGGTTCGTATAAATGTTGTGCTACATTCTTTGTTTAAAGTGCAATGAATGCCCCCCCCCCCCCCCCCCACTTAAATAAAATCAGCACGAATGTATTTAACTTGGTAGAGTCGGGATAAATTACGACAACAGCGTAAATTCTGTATGGCAAGCGCAGCATCAAATTTGGCCCAAAGCCTCGAGCTGAGGTCTGTTTTATAGGGGGTGGTTTGCATTTTCCCAATTACGGCAGCACTCTGCCAAACGGCACGGTAGCAGCCTCTGTTTAATATTTTTTGTTCAGAATTTTATTCCAATTGAGCTACGAGCGTCATGTTACGAGAAGTATTTATTCGGATTTGTTGCAGAGCAGTCTACACCGCCTGTGTTACAGAATGGCCTGTTGAAGGAGATATCACAAAACTGCTTCTGAGGTCCTTTTCAGTAACCTCTTCTTTTATCCACACTTATGGGTGCTCTTTCCCACATGATCTGCTCTGCAGATTATGTTTGTGACATGGCAGTTAAAACAAACATTTTTATTTACAAATGCTGGAGTTTTTCCAGATTAAGTTAAAATCAAGATTAATGTTTTTTTAGTTTTAACGGATTCATTGGTGAGCATACTGTGGCTGATCAACTCACTACAATTTGAGAGCCTAGTTTATTCACAAGTGGCTGAAACCTAGATTTGAACCAAGGATCCCAGCGGTGACCGACCCAGTCCCTTGACCTCCTGACCCTTGAGCCACCTCCAGCGTGATAGGCACTTACCCTGGAACCAGGAAATCCAGGGAGTCCGGGGTTTCCATGCGGACCTGGCATTCCCTGCACAACAAGAGGCCCAATGATTAATACAAGAAACAAGGATTGTACACTATTCACAAGTAACGTCAACTTCAAACCTCGCAAGTGACATCACGAAGTACATTTTGAACGCAGGATATTTTGGTGATTGAGCTCTATGCGTGTAACAATGCATTGGCAGGACCCTCTTGAAAAAAATAGGTAATGAGTATCAGTGAGGCCTTTGCTAGATAAACAAGCGCATTAACAATAAACATCGATACAAAATCATCCTTACACCTGTAATCTCTCTCTATGTGCCATGCCCTTTCTCAAATATGTTTGCAATCTAAGCCAAGCGTTAGGAATCAATCATATCCATAAATACAGCAAGTCCTGCTCGGATCTCTTCATGAAAAAAATCAAGCTAGATATCGTTTTCTCGTTTGCTGCTTACATTGGACCAGGTAAATATTGCTACATCAAGATAATCGCATCCGTTCTCCAGAAATGACGTACAGTATATTTACGTGCCTCACAGCACGACTTAACACGCAGAACGTCTCGACCAATATGATTCGTAATTGAATTTTGGCCCACATCACGTGAGTAAAATACCAGTGTGTGTTGTACACCTTTCTCAACCTAACACAGCCAATGAATGAAGTTGTAATGTGATTATAACCCGTGTGCTGAACTAATAAAAAAACTGGCGCAATTGTTCACGTGACAATTTTATTTATTTAGCCATGTCGGGCGGAGAGGGTGTACGACACACATTTGTATTTTACTCACACATGCACTTCGACCTAAACATTTGATATGAATTTCAGCTCAATGTTTGTGCGAATCTCTATAATTAAAAATAAATCAGCCTTTGCTTATAAACAAGGTATTGTTTTAGAGGAAAATACAATCGTAGATGCGTCAAAAGAACGGTGAACGCCTGTAACACTCTGCTCACTCTCGTCACTTGTAGAAAGAGTGCCCTCTTGATAAAAACAGAACTACAAGCGGGCAATGAAAAGTATTGTCGAGGTATAAACATACACAATGCCACCCGAGTTTGCGTGAGCAATGCTTTGACGCCATTGACTTTAAACACGCAATAATATGAATGGACAATATGTTAACGCTCTGCAATGGCGCAAAGTATCTTGTAGCAAAAAAGTCAAAGTGGTTTCCCGCTCAATCAATCATGAGGTAACGTTCGTATTCTGTTCACAGGTTCGAGGAGATGGCGGAAATTTCATGTTTCTTTTGGCAGAGTATCCACCGGATATCCACCATGGACTTAACACCAAAGTGGTCCTAATTTTGTTGACCTAGGAGAAAAGAGAGGCTGAGTTAATCTCTGACCAGGATATTATGTCACAATCTCTTGATTGAAAACCGGATGCTCTTCCACTGGTGCCATCCACCTGGTGTAGTGCATATATAGCACAGTACTGTACTTAACAATAAAATGTGTGAGTCCATGTTTGGTTTCATTGCCTCTAATTAACATTTTTTTTCTTACCATATATAACATGAATTTGAACTGAATTATGGTGATAATCTATAGGCTAGGGGGCCCTAAGCTATCGATTAAAAACTCAACATATCCATCGATAAACTATCATAGGTGGCTTAAGGTATATCGTATTTTTCTGTTCTCTCTGCAAACGGTCCTTGTGCAGAGTCGCCAACTTAAGAGATGTTGTCACTAGATCTGGAGAATGTCTGGTCTTCCCTGGCAACAAAACATTGCCAGCGCAACTTGCGACAAAATCTAGTGACTTTCTGGAATAAGCAATTTCTGCAATCACGAAAGCTCTAAATCAAGTTCCTGTAGTCACGAAAGCTCCAAATCTAGTGGTTTTCTGGAATAATGGCATGATATAGCTTTAGAAGAGGGTTGCTTGTGTTCATTTAGGATTTTAATTTTATTTGATCAGTTTACCATCTTTAACACTTGGTCAATTGTCCGCTGCCATATTTTGACAACTTTATAATGTTTATATATGGGAGGTCGCTCGTATGCAGCTTCTTCTCCTGCTGTCTAAAATCATCTTCCTCTTGAACTTTGTGCGGTTCAGGCTCTGGTGCCCTTGTTCACATCAAGACTTAAGACCCCAGTTTAACACGTAGGCTTTCGCGACCAATATTATTCATAATAAAGGTTTTTGGGTTAGAAAATGTTGTGGATTCACTCTTCAACACACCGGTGGGCTAAAGTAGTGAACTAATTGTCTTTTGTCAACGTGACACTTTTTTTTTGCTGATTGGCCGTGTCGGGTGGTGGAGGGTTACGACACATTTATAAATAACGCGATCTAACCCAAAAACCTTTATTGTGAACTTAAGACCCCATTTGTTTTCATATGCATGTCGCACATGTTTGTTTCTTTTCCCGTGAAGCGTCTGTAGGTGTGGTTGCATTTAAACACTGTGTAAATGTAAATTGTACTGCAGCTAGTTCAATCGAGTAACCCTGCTGAGGATTGTTTGGCAAATGTCTGTTTCAAGCGGTTGGCGGCACTGTTCCTGTACCCTGAGAGAACTTGCTAACGTGGTGAATTAGAAAACTGGTGGGGAAATGAAACGAATAAAAAACCACCTAAGGTGGTAAATCCAGAGTCATTTTAGAGTGTCGCTCGGCAGCAAATAACTTAAATTAGCACGCACGTTGGCTGCAAAAAAAGACTGTACATGGAGTGCATTAAAATAACAGAGCACTCGCAGGGATTAAAGAATGTGCAGACTCTTACAGTGCACAATTAAGTGGAAAGTATACAAAACATAATTATGGCAGAATGATTAAAGAAAATACACGAAATAATTACCGAGTCGCATCTGTACGTAAGAAAAGTAGGTTAACAACCAGCTATATAGTATGGGGCTCAGATCAAAGATACAAATTGACTATTCACTATAAAATGTTCGAAGGAGGTCATTATAGTTTGTTGAAAGAGGGGTATTGATTTTTAGCCTAACTCTCACACACACATACAAAAACCAACATGTTTTTTTTGAAGATTTTTAACATGTTTAATTGTAATTAGTATGCTATGCTTAATTGATTGAACAATCTGTTTTGTATATATATTGTTCTTTTTTTGTGTGGGTTTCATATATGCTCTCTTGGGTTTCCAACCTCACCTGCACACTTTTTTTTACCTTGTTTTTTTATCTGCACTGTTTGCCTTTCACTTGTCTTTTTTGTTCGAATAAACAATACAATATTAATTATTGCAATACCTAACATTTTTATGAATTAACTATTTATCAAGGTAGCTCATGTTTAATAATAATAATTGAGAGCCCATGACCAATGCACTGCTAGGTGAAAGCCTAGCAGTGCACACCATACTGGTTATGGGGGGTTAATTGACCCTTTGACCTTGCATCACCACGCCGCACAGTGAAGGCGGATGCAAAATTATCAGTTCAGATATCACTCACGACTGATGTGAGCCGTGACTAGAAAACAAACTCAGGTCACTTTGTTTATAGCATGTTGCACCGACCACTAAACTACCACACCCCCCCGAGTTACATTTTCTTTATTACAATTACTGAGCACAGGCCTAAAGGTAAAACATTCCAAGTGGCCAGCAACAAACGGCACGGTTGAGAGTATACTATCCCAGAGATAATATGTGTATTGCATTGTTGGAGGGAATTCCAAAGTGGAGCAGTGTGGTGGTTGAATGCATTGTGAGTGAGAGGAAAGAGTCCGTTTGGAAGGCCTCAACGTGGGTGTAGGAAACAAACAATGAAGTTCACAGGAACAGTTATAAAGGTTGCAGCAATAGAAGAGTGCGAGGAGGGAGACTCACCGCCAATCGAACTGATTGCTTTATGTTTCTGGAATGTGTATATTTACTAAATGTTTATATTTATGCAGTATAATACATTTATACAGCGTTTATACATTTATACAGTATAATAAATATAACATTTATATTTCTGGCAGGGTAGAACTGTGGTTAGCTGATTTAACTCACAATGGGAACATTTTGAATTCAAAATCCCAGGCTGGGGTCAAGATGGCCCATCACCCTGACAAGGCTCTGGTCAACATGGCCCATCACCCTCGTAAGGCCAATCAAATTAGCACCACTCTGTGGGAACTCTACTCCGGTTATCTCCTATAAACAGACTGGGTCCTGCTTGATATGGGAAGGACAAAGAAAATGTTTGTAACTAATGGTAAAAGTATCAACAAACTCTGGCGTACATGTATATTGTAAACGGTTAATGCTTTAGTGAAGTTGTAGAACAAAAATTAGGTTTATTGAAGAAATGAGTCTAGTTTTTTTTCTGACACTGAGAGTCAGTCAGTCAATGAGTTTATTTCCGGTAAGGCCTATTGAGCTAACACATTCCTTTCAACAGCGACCCAGGAGGAAAATTTGAGCTTTTAGATTTTGTCTGACTGGCCTTCTTTATTAAATATTTCAGGTTTGCAGAGAGGGAGAATTTCTTTGTCCGTAAAATAAAAAAAAACACATTATTCTCTAATGAGCACCTAACCTGTGAACTTGTGCATAAGTTCATAGAACAATTAAAATTATGTTTTATTTGCCACCTCTACCATGAATTATCTACAAGCTATAGCTTCTGTACTTCAATGTGACTCCTCGTGATATACCATGTTCTTAAACGTGTAAATGCAAAGTTATACGGTTATTTTGAAGCTGAAGCAGCTCTAGATATAATATGACCTGTAACGTTACGTTATTCTCTTAAGCTCAGCTCATGTGTGATCCCTGCATGTTTGTAGCCCTCAAGTTAACCTGCAGTCAGCACAAAGTGGGCCCTGTCGCAGACCTGATGAACAGGTTAACATTCCTGCCAAAGGAATCGCCTATGGCTTCAGACGGACACTTTTGGACAGATTTTTCTTTTCCTCTCTGCCACTCCTCCCACAAGCCGATTAGAAACACACACACACAAACACTAACAGGTGAAGCAATAAAAAAGAACTCGGAGGACACAGTGACATGCCAGCTATGGTATGGGTTTTTGTGTAGCTCGGAGCAAAGAGACTAACCGAA